GTATTTACTCTATTATTTGTGCGCAGTACTATTTTTTCGTGACGGCTCAGACCGCAGTACTATTAGAAACGCAGTGCAGTACTATTTTTTTCGATCTACCCCCAGCCCGCAGTACTACAGTAAATGAGAGCAATCCAAAGCCTGCAATCCTGCAATCAATCTGCAATCCAATTGCATTATTTTCGTCATAATTCTTGAAAGAAAAGCAAGTTGATTGCTCGCAGGCGCATGCGAAAAGCCCCCTTTATTAGGCCGATGAATCAAAATAAGAGGTTGGATTTTGCAGACAAGAGACGGCGAATTGACTGGGGCTCAGTAAGTCAATTAAATTTGTGTTTGATAATTTTTCATTGCTTTAGATCATTTGGTCAGGTAAAAAGAAATTCAATTGTGATGGGCCGGACGGTGGTTGCTCCTAATGGCACGATCTACGTAAAGACAAACTGCACTTTTCGCAGAGAAACTTCAAAGGAGGAGGAGTGATGTGCTGGGCGGCCTTCTCGTCGAGCGGACGGATAATTGGTTTTTGTGCCAAAGAAAATGAACTCGAACCAGTATCAGTTTGTTTGTGCTTCGACGATCTCTACTTCCCTTCCGGAGCCGCAATCGTCATCGAAATTTGGTGTTTATGCAGGAGAATGCGGCAATTCACAGCCAATTCATAGCAAAGCACGACAGCCTGGCTCCAAAGGAAGGGAATCCCACTCTTGGACTGGCCAGCCAATTCACCGAATTTAAATCCGCAAGAAAGCATCTGGGGCTATATGGTCAGAAAGATTTATGAAGAAAGTAACACCCCTGGAAGCGTCAGCCAGCTTAAAAAGGCAATTATAAAAGCTTGGCGGACCGTCGATCAGAATCTCGTTGATAGCCTTGTGGGAAGCATGGACAATAGACTTTTTCAAGTAATTCAGCGTCACGGAGGTCCAATCGATTATTGATTTGTTAACTTTTATCAGTTATTGCTCATTTTGTTAAAATTGTTAACTTTTTTCAAATGCCTTTAAAATTATGCCCACTTGTCAGAGGCACTTTTTGAATACATCTGGTTTTTCTTTAAAAGTTTCAATTATCATCTCCTGGATTTTTGCAGTTATACATGTAAAATTATGATCGTAATGATGTTTAAAAGACAATTTGATTGGATATTCAATATTTTCCAAAAAATCGTAAAAGTTCGACTGCCTTTAAAATTACATCCAGCAGTGTATTTGACAAAAATCGCATAAGCAAAAAACTGGAAAATTGCCAACAACGGGAATTCAAAACCAACATTACTTTTTCTTCAACCTAATAGTAAAACAAAAGGCTTGCATTTGAAGCCATCATCACGAGCAGTCAGCATCACCGAGATTCTCATTTTGTCGTGGCTATTGAAAGAACAGAAACTTCTTTGGATCCTTTTTCAGCAATCGTTAAACTGTTCGAGGCATCAAGAAACCTATCAACAAAATCTATAAACAAAACTTATAAAGAGTCAACACTGAAAAGGAATGACGAGAAAAATAGCTTTGAAAAATTGATGTAGGAAATTGAAAGATATTCAGCCAAAAATCTGGAACACATTTACTTAATTAGCAAAGAAATGGGCTACAAAATACTCACAAATGGAAATTAACTTTGGATAAACGCAAATTTGCGTGCACTATTATTAGAGGCGCAGGACTAATAGAGTAAATACGGTATATGTTTTAGTTTGTGCTTAAATTCACAAACCTTCTCTCAATCATCTCCCACAGGACAAGTCCCAAACTGTAAACGTCGTTCCGGTGGGAGTCCTAAAGAATTCCAGTTGAAATCTTCTTTTTTGTTTGGTTTACGCTATGGTTATGGTTATGCTTTTATTTCCGGACAACTTACATGAAATTCATTTACTCTTTCTCCTTGTGAGGGACTCATATATCGTTGTGTTCCTTGGACGGTCCCCGTACATGTCTCTTCGATCTTCTTTGCAAGTCCGAAATCCCCGAACTTCACCCGAAAGTCCATGGTGACAAAAATGCTGAAAACGTGGTTTCTTTATGGTTGAATTGTTTATTTTTGGTTATTGAACGAAAAAATCTAGCTAATGTTATTAGGCTGGTAAAGTTAGCTACACTAGCTTCTTAGAATTACAGGGTGATCAAAAAGTTCCTGCACATTTGTAAATGATTCATTTTCTAAATGAAAGCTAAAACAAAATTTGCCGTATTTTATAGTATTTTGAAGCTGAAATTCTGACGAACATTTCTAAGTAAATCACTCCGATCAGAAATTTCCAGCCTTTTAAAGAAGCCTTGCACTGTAAGACGCCCATAAGACAAACACGGTTTTACAGGTTTTCGAATAACAAGTTTTTCAAGACTATTTTACGTTGTTGTTTTGACAAGTGATTTTATTCTTTTAAAATAACTATTGAACTGTTACTCAAAACAAAAGTCCACATTTAAAAAGGATTTTTGAAGGATTTTTCAATTGAAAACAGGTTAAAATAGGTGAGCGCCATGACAGTTTGCCTACAGCACACTACTATGCTTCCTTGGAGAGCTGGGTGGCTCTGATCAGGATGGTTTGGGTGTAGAAATGTTCCCCAGAATTTTAGCTTGGAAATACTATTTAGTAAGTCAAAATATAGTAATTCCAATTTCGATCTGGGTTTTCGCGGAAAAACAGAGCTTTTTGTAATACAAAATCCATTTTAAATGTAGCCTTCAAAGTCCCCACACAAAAGTGTGTGGGAACTTTGATCACCCTGTAGTAGTTCGGGGAAAATCGCCTAGAGTAGACAAAAAAAACTAAAGTGGATAGATAACGGGTTTCAAAGATTTCAAAACTGGTTTTGAACCGATTTTGAATGGGATTCAATTATTCATTTTATATTTTAATATTGCAAACTTCTTCTCACTTTTCGGGCTTAATGTCCCGATGAACGAACTTCTCATCTTTGTACATGTATCCCAAAGCAGCGAACAGGCTTTCTGCCCATGAAATCACTGTGTTCATCGTGTAAATAATTGTTGGGTTTTGTAAAACTAAAACGGTAAGGTCCAGCTTACTTTTACTTCCTTTTACTCACGTGTACCCAAATTCCCTCGTTGACAATATTCCATGACGATTTCGAGCTTTCCTTCATTTCCTGTTTCCATGCGAAGCAATTTGACGACATTTGGGTGTTCGAGTCTATTGAGGCACTCGAATTCTTTCTGGAATGTGGCTGGATGGTAGTTTCTCGTGTGCATACATTTCACAATGGCTGGCCTGAAATGTTGAAAAGAATGCTTCGATAACAAAATTGAATTTGATTCAAGCTTCATCTTTTACAACTTAGAATTCTAAATTCTATTAGGTTGCAAACTAAGTCTTGATTCCAAATTCAAAACAATATTTATTGACAACCAAAAGAGCAATTTAGTCGAAATAGTCTCCATTATTTGCGATGACTTTCGCCCATTTTTTTCCCCCTCTCATAGAAAATTTTTGGTTTAAAGTTAAGTAGACTTGGAGCCACTTTTTGAGGTCTTCTTCATTTTGGAAGTGCCTCCATCCAGGACGTGTTCTCATCGATCTGAAAAGATGGTAATCTGTAGCACTGATGTCAGGAGAAGATGGCAGATGGGGTAAGAGTTCCCAGTTCAACTCGGGGATTGTGGAGCGGGTCAAATTTGCTGTATTTGAATTGGCGTTGTCGTGTTGGAGAATGACCTTTTTCAAATGGGAGTGCTTTTCATTAATTTTTTCATCGAGTTTTTTGAACTGGGAGCTGTATAATAGAGCCGTCTGCTTATTATCAAGAAGCTCCCAATAAATGACATCTAAGATATCCCACCAAAACGATAGCAGGTACTTCTTCTGGTGGGGATCTGGGAGCACATCCTTTGCGGGTGTAACTCCAGGTTCCACTCATCGTCGTTTTCTCTGAAATTTTGCAGCCACAATCCACTTTTTATCTCCTGTCACTGCACGCGGCAAAAAAAGATTGCCTCTCGTATCTAGATTATGTTTTTGAATAAAGAACTGATAAGCCAATTATTAAGCCAATCTGGAAAAAAGGGCAGCAATGACCTCTGCCCTTTCATGGGGTCGGTAAGGTTTTGGAGCACCCATTGACCGTAAATCCACAGTAAAGAGGTTCTTTTCAAATGTTACATAAGAGTATCCAACCTCAGCCCCAATTTCACGCAAAGAAATCCGGGGGGTTTTCGCGATTTTTTGAAGAATATCTGCATTTTCAGGCTTTCTGGACACCGGATCGGTCTTCATCCTCGAGAGAAATGCCCCCATTTCTGAATTTGTGAAACCAGCGTTTTATTGTACTTTCGGAAGAAGAATCATTCACATACACGCTCTTGATTTTTGCCAGAGCAACAGAGATAGAAGGCCGTTTTTTAAACTCGTACAATTTTACATCTCGGAAGTGCCCGGTTGGTAGATTTGAAGTAGCATTTGAATAAATAATCAATAAAAAAATATAAAAGAGGATTTGGCTTTCTGGATTGTATTTTTGAATAAAAAATTGATAAGCCGATATTTTGAAGAAAAACAGGGCGCGCCCTCACTAAAAGTAAATAAAATTTCGAAACTTTACTGAGGGGGTCAAGGCTTATTTTACAACTGAATATTTCCTTTATTAGTACTGTTGCTTTACGAATTTTGCTCTGTTCATCCCATTCAATCCACCCCTTTCTCTTTTCCACTCACGGTTCGTGTCCAATCAGCTCGTAGATTTTTCCAAAGCCTCCACTGTCAATCAAACGTCTAACAAAGGTTGGCTTCTGTTTGATCTAGGCGATAAAGTTTAGAGATTTGCACAGAATTCTCTCACCTCCTGTTCGATAAGTGTCGTTTGTGTGTTATCTTTGAGTAGGCTACCAACTTCACTAGTGGCTCGATTTCTAGAGAAGAAAAAAAACATGAAACATCAAGAAACCCTAAAGTGAAGGAACCTGTTTAACCCACCTCTCTTCTTCTAGAAGTTTTCTGCGTATTTCCCTCCTCCAAATGGCATATCCAACGACAATCAGGATAAGCAAAACGATCGTCAAAAACAGCAGCCCAATGCTGAGCAAGTTGTCCGTCCACTAAACTTTTGCCAATACTGAAATTAAGAGAGAATAAAAGTAATAAGTAGAACTATAACTTTAGTTTTGTCTTTTAAGCAAATTTTAAACCTGTAGTTGGCTTGTTTTCAAAGTTGGGGTTGACGCATTTTCAACGAGCTTCATTGGGGAAACTGGATCGTCTTTGCTTTCGACCTTCTTGATCCTAATTTTTTTGTTGACTGTAAACGAGGAATAATTATAAACTATCTTATCAAGTACAAACTTTTGGGTTGGTGAATTGAAAACTGCGGGACTTTGAAGTAAAATTGATTCAACATAAAACCATAACCATTCAACATAAATCATTCCAAATAATTTCCATTATTATTGACGGCTTCTGCCCATTTTACAGGCAATTTGCGGATTCCTCTTTTGTTAGGATTTTGGTTTTTGTGTGAGACAAGTGTGAGACTTAAAAATGGAGGACTGGAGATGTCCCAGTTTGAGCACTTTCTTCAAAAGAAACCCATTTTGTTGTCAATAGAAAGTTGTAAAGAATCAAAAATTAAGTTTATAGCCAAATTTCCAAAAAGATACACCTAGTAGTTTCGCTTAAAATGCAAGTTTTGTGAAAATTCGTAAATTTGGCATTTCTTGAAAACCAGTTTTTGAATCGTTCTGAAAATTTGGATATAAGCTTCATTTTTGATTCTCTACAACTTTTCCATTGACACCCAAATGGGTATCTTTTGAAGAAAGGGCTCAAACTGTGGCAGATGACAATAGCCCACAGTTTTCAATTCACCAACCCAATACTAATCTATCAAAATTACCAAAACTACACAAGTTATCTTTGTTTTTCTTTACCAGTTGCAAAAGTCGGCCCCGTATCCTTGTAGCAGCGACCTCTCAGCGGCATTCCTCAGCTCGTTTGGTTGGTGAAGCCGTTGAATGAGTTCCTCGATTACTCGCTAAATCACATGTATCAAATTTATTTGACCACAGAAATTACCGTATCTTCAGGTGTATTACAGTTTGAGCAACTCAATTTCAGCTTTCTATTTGCCTTTTCGAAAAGCAAATCCTGTTTGGTGGGCAAAGTACATGGGACCGGAGTGAAATTTGTCCATTGCTGGTTGCCCAAATTGAAGTATTCAAAAGCCTAAAGCCATAATATCTATAACGAATCAACTAGATTACCTAGTATGTTAAGACTGACCTGTACGGTGAACTCTTGTGACTTCTCCCCATTGAACTCACAGCGGAATTTCTTCCGATTCACCTGACCCCAACGGACCTTAAAATCCATTTTCCAAAAGCTGAAGCCCTTCCTAAACAAGAAAATAGTTAGGAAAAGTTATCGACAAACGTTGACGAATATTCTAGAGGAATGCAGTTTCTATTCGTCAAGGGCTCGTGCAAGGACCCGATCGGTTCTCCCAAATCCGTTTTTTCATCACTAGAATTTGTGAGGACTAGAATTTTTATAGATAGATTTTTATAGTCGCCGAATGTCTATGGCACTATGCTATAAGCTTTTTAACCATCTTCAGTCAAAAGCTAATTGTAGGAATTTCGAAGAGCTCCAAAGATTCAAATAAACCCACTTGCACCAAGCAGCCCATTGCACATCGTTGACAAAGAGTTTCATGTTATGCCCTAAAGTGAAATGTCAAGTTGAGTCTTTTGAGAGTGCACGTTTAACGAAAGACGTTGTCCGACATGGAACCGAGTTTGCAGCGTAGAAATCCCCAAATGAAAAAGGCAATTCGCTCTTTTCAATCTTTAAAAACAGCTTTGGACCTGGAAATGTTCATTTTAAACCTACAGGGCGCTTTTTACCTTTAACATACAAGTAAATCTTTTGACCGGCACACTTGTAAGCACCCGTATCTGCTGATTGAAGGTTTGAGATGTTCAAAACAAATCCCTTAAGAGAGTTATTAATTTCATCTTCAAAGTTTTCTTTACATACCTCAGTTGTCTGCTTTGTGGTTCTTCTTTGTGGAGACTCAGTAAAAGGTATTGTCCAATTTGCGCCTTGTGGACAGATGAGACTTAACGATTCTCCTTCTTGCTTTTGAATGTATCTAAACTTGTATTGTTGTTCGTTTAAGCCGTTGTCTTTTAATCTTTGTTTCTTTGTATGTATATTAGGCTTTTTGTTAAACACTACACACTAACAAGGGAATCATCAGAAGTGACCGTGAGGTATGCTTTCAACGGAGGTTTTCATACCTAAATATACTCTATAAATTATTAGGTTGGTCCATAAGTCTTGCTAACATTTTTGTTTAAAAATTTCTTCACAACCAAACAAGCAGTTTACTCAAAAAAGATTCCGTTGTTTTGGATAACCTTCGGCGATTTTATTGGATGTTGGCGAATTTCTCTCTCGTAGAAGATTTTTGATTTCGAGTCAAAATAGTTTTGGAGCCACTTTTTGAGGTCGTCTTTGTTTTGAAAATGCACCCCATCCAGGGAATGTTGCATTGATTGGAAAAGATGATAATCCGATGGGGCAAGATCTGGAGAATAAAGGAGGGTGAGGTAAGACTTCCCAGCCCAGGCTGTGGGTTTTGGTGCTATTGAGTTTTACCGTATGTGGGCGGACATTGTCTTGGAGAAGGATGATTGAAAACAATTCAAATCATTTTTTCTTAATTACTTTGTCGAGTTTTTGTAGCTGATTGCTGTATGATAAAGCATTAACGGTCTGCTTATTTTCAAAAATTTCCCAGCAAATGACTCCTTTGAGGTTCCACCAAAATGATAGCATAAGCTTCTTTTGGTGGGGTTCAGGGAGGACATCCTTGCCAACTGTAATTCCAAGCCCTACCCAATGACGCTTTCTTTGAAAGTTTGGGGTGAAAATTCACTTTTCGTTTGCTGTACTAATGCGCAAAAGATTTCCGATTCTCAAAAGAGGCGCAACTGAAATTGTGAACCCTCCGTTTTGGGGTCCATAAAGGTATGAGGTACCCATTTTGAAAAAAATGGCTTAAACCCGCATGGGGGCTTTTTTGTTGACGGTGGTGCCTAATCGCTCTATTTCAGAATAGAAATCGGTTCCCTTTTTTTTCATTGTGGGGTCTTCCCGCGGTTTGTCTTCAGGGATTCTCACTTTCTGAATTTGGCCACCAACGTTGAATTGTGTTTTTGGGGGGGGGTCTTGCCTATACGTCTTCATATTTTCTGCCACCGCAGGAGGCCCTTTTTAACTCGTACAACACATGTGCCTTGTGGGAGTCTGGGATATCTCTTGATAAAAACAAAAAGGAGGAAGCTTGGGGCCGCGTATAATGCTTTGAAAGGGGATTGATAAGCCGATGTTTTGGATGTAAACAGAATGGGGAAAGTCGAGTCGAGATAAACAATTATTTCGAAAGAACAAAGTGTTACCAAGACTTATGGGCCAGTCTAATAATATCGTCATGGAAAATGTTTCTGACAAAAACTATTTCGATCCTTAGCAAAATCCGAAAGCACCATCGCACATCCGCGCGAAATAAGGCAAAAAATCATTCTCTATAGGATTTTTGCGTTTGAATAGCCAATTGACGCAGAAAAATGTGCTGCATCCGAAAGTAAAAGAATTTTTGAAACCCCTTCAACAAACTATAACGCGGATAAATTGCCGTAACCCGAAAGAGAAAAATAGCAAAATTAAACTTTTTTGAACGATTTGATTTAAGAGGAACACACTCTACTCGCCGTATTCGATAAGTATTTGCATCTCATTTTGGTGTCGAAATCGCACGGTCATTTCTGATCATTCCCTTGTGAGTTTTTTTTTTCAAGGATCCCAAAAGACTTTCATCCGTCCGGAACCCACTTTAAGGAAAAACTCACTTTTGGAGTAAGACATGAAAATAAAAGATGTGCAAAATTTAGGTTGCAATCATCAAAGATAAAATAATTTCATAAAATTCACCGAAAAGATCCATCTTCTTCTATTCTCCCGTTGTCCCCATCGGAGAGCCTCAAACTTTGAGCAACGAATTGATGAAAGAAGAGGAAAAAAAGTAAAAACTCCATTCAAATCATTTGTTTAATAAAAATAGAAAGATCAGCCAAAAATGAAGTTTTGATTTCTAATCGTAAATCAATCCACACAGCACACGGCTAATCAATTAATGGAAAGGCGGCAACAGTCTTATTGCTTTTCTCTCTTTTACTTTTCCAAATCGAATCTATCCAAGAAATCGGGATCCTTTTTTGGTGTTCTCTATTTGTCAATGTCAAAACGAAAAAATGGCTCATGAAACTTCAATTTGTTCGATGTTTATTTTCGAAAATCGCCTCTTTGAGCCCATAAATCATTGTATTCTTTTTGTTTATAATTTCACAAGTAAACGAAAAAACTTTTAGATAAGAGAAAATAACAACTAGGTCATCGAGTTGTTCATTTCATTCAAGAATGAAAAGAAAAAGTTTTCTCTTGATTCTCGCTCTGTTCACTGTTGAGATCGCTTCGGATGACTGTCAAGCCAAACTGTAAGCCATTTTTTAGTCAGGCTGTAAGTCAAGCCAAGTTCTAGATTTTAGTGTTCTGTATATTTTTCTATAAATTAGTCAAATTCTTTAATCTGTGTCTTTTTTTTGTTCAATATTTACTTATTCAGAGAAAAAAAACAGAAAATAATCGAGGAACTGAAGGAGCAGCTAATGAGTATGGATGGTAACAATGATGTAACAATGTGCGACGATTGGACGAAGTATCAAGGGAAATTCTACAAGGTTTATTAAGCAAACATTTTCCAGAAATACAACATAAAAACAAAAGCTGATTAGGGTTAAAAGAAATAGTTTTTTATTGGCTAGCTTTTCTGTCAAAATGCCAGGGAGAAGCTCTTTCGAAAGGAATCGAAATTCGTTTTCGAAATAACTTAACAGCCATCTGAATTAAAAAAGAAATTGCTTAGAAATTAAAAATAACTTTTATTTGAGAAATCTGTGTCCATTTTTGCATTTTCAGCTGATCCCGGTAGCCACCAGTCACAAGGAGGCCGAAGAGGTTTGCCAAAAGCAAGGCGCGCAATTGGTCTCCATTCACAGCGACGAGGAGGCCAATTTCGTTTTGGGTCTGTACTTTAAATTGCTAAATGGTTATAAATTAAATTTAGATTTTATTTTAATTCTATATTGCGTTTACATTATTTATTTCAAATCTCTTTCAGATTTGGGTTTGGATCCAAACCGCAACCAGAATTTCCATCTCGGATTGTCGGTAAGGCATCAAATACCCAGTGGAATGAAATAGGGAGCAAAAATCTCTTTTTAAAAAATAAATATTCAATTATTTACTTGATATTACCTTAAATGGAAGTTTATTTTCAGAAGAACGGAGACAAATGGAGTTGGAGTGACGGGACGGAGATGAATTACACGAAATGGGACTCCTCTCAAGGGAATGACTTCAAATGGGCTGTGGTGGGACATTTTTAGCTAAGCTGGCAAAAATAATGTTTTATTTAATAGATTTTTTAAATCAACATAAATTCTGAAAGCAATCTCCAGTTGCCTCCATCAAAGCGCTGGTACAAGATCAACGACGACGATTGGGGGCAAATCATTTGCAAGAGAGCAAACTGATGACATTTTTTTGTAGACTTTATTGTAACGAATAAAATGTGCTTTTTGCTTTTTGCCTAGGTATTTTAAAACGATATACATATCGAGAAACGTTTCTTTAAACATGCCTGTGCTATCTTCTTTCTACATTTGGAGCACTTCACATCGTTTGCAAGTCAAAAAGCTTAAGTCAGTTTTTAACTTCAACCCAAAACCCCAAAATTAAACAATTTTAACGTTTCTAGTTCTCTTGCTTAGCCATTAGTATTTGAAAACAAAAATTGACAGAAGAAGTAGGAGAAAAGAGCAAAAAATGGCAGCAAAAAAACTCCAAAAATTTTTGCAAGATTTACAACCAAAAATGTTTTTCTATTGTTTTCAAGCATAACTGGAAAGCTTATTGAATCTCCTAAAATGCATTGTCAGTCCCGAAAAATTTAGTTAACCAAATGTTTCGGTTCTTTTATCTAATGTTTTGTAAGTCCAGAACAATCTTGCAGAAAATGATCACCATGCATAGGATGAGCAGACGGATCATCGGAAGAATTGAGAAAAGAAAAAATAAATTGAAAAACCTAATTAATAAAAGCATGCTGTTTGAACCTGTAAATTTTCAACCAGTTGATTGGATTTGAATGAAGTTTATCCTCAGTTTCTGGTCCTCTTAAAGAAGGGTTTTTTTAGAATTGATTGCTTAGCCTGCCGACCATAAACAAAGTCGAAAACAGCCCAATCGAAGGAATTGTAGCCGATAGGAGACCAGCCTGGGCATGGAGGTTTGTACTCGCAAACTTTGATATCACTTAAGACCCCAAAATCCTGGGAAATTATAATACGATCAATAAGATCAACTTTCGTTTCCCCCAGGAGAGTTGAGTGTCAATAGCGGTTGTTATTCGTAGATTTGTGAATTCAAAAAAACGTGCAAAAGGTGTCGCCCTATATAATCTTTTAGCATTTTTATCCTAGGCCAAAACATTTCTATTGTACTCTATATTGCTAAATTTTATTGGTTTCCAACTGAGAAAAGCTATTGTTATTGGAAAGCCGAAAGATGATATGCTTTGATGATATTTTTCTGATTTGGTTCCATTTTTGGTGAGCCAATGTCTTTGGTTAGATCAGAAAAAAAGCGAGTTTTTTGCTGCCAGATACGCCATAATTTTTAATATTCATTTAGCTAGCATCTTAAAAGAAGTTGTTTGCTCTTTTAGAGTTTCAAATTGTAGTTTTGAACTGGAAATGACGTTTAAGACTATTTTTTTGCGGAAAATTGGTAAGCTTTTTCCCGGAAGAAGAAAACTATTCAGAAAAGAGAGGCCTGTTCAAGTGTTTTCATTATTTTTTTTTGTGTATTTATTAGCACTTCTTTAGTTCTCTTTAATTTCATATCGTTAATATCAACTTCCGCCCAATTGGAATCGATCCATGCACTCAAAGCCGAAGCCGTAGAACGAGCAAAGCTGATCACCGTTCTCGGACCATTTCACGTCCATCCGGGCGCAAATCGCCTGGTTCAGCTTCGTGCAAGTGCCCCAATTGCCGGCCTTGTTTGCCTGAAATGCCATAAGAATTTGAAAAGTGAAAAATGTTTTAAATTAGATGGGAATGTTCTCTCCGACATGATACAAGCTTACCCACAAGCAATACAGGTTCGGAAGTTGCTAACAAAAGTTCGGAGCCACCACGTTTTTAGGGGCAACAGGAAATTTTTTGAAAAACCGCTTACAGATTCGAAATCTAGACAAAATTTCGGTCTAGAAAACATTTTTCCGCAAAAACCAAACCTTTTCATAGAGTAAACAAATCTATTTTCTTAAGTGAAACAACGGTTAAAACTTGAAATTTGAAGATTCGCGAACTTTTTAAAGCTATAAGTTTTTCCTTTGAGCTTCAATCAACCTAAAATTTTGCTATTCATATAGAAAGAGCTTAAAAACATAGAATTGCTTTTGGCTGACTACGTTTAATTAGAAATTTCAGAAAATTCAGATGATTTTTAAGAGACATTCAAACGGCCAGGCATTTGGGTTGATTCTAGCGATATATTGGCAATCAAAAGACTTGATCTTTGCTTGCAAAGCCTTAAATTTCACACAAACTTGTTATAATTACAAATTCTTATAAGAATATCCAGCATTGGGCAGTTTTTTGTTATCTTAAAAGCTGAATTTGACGACCGAAAAACAAAGTGGCTCCGAGCTGTATCGGCCTGTCAGATAAGTTAAATAAAGAACTAATTTAAAGTCGTTAGTTTAGTTCTTTTCAATGGCTTTAAAGCGACTGAAAGGCAACATAAACCAATAATTTTAGCATTCATAAGAAAGTTATTTATGTCCTATTTTTATTGGCTTCAAACTTTCAGGAATCTCATCTACAGGGCTTGAAATCCGATTCTTTTCAATATCTATAAAGCGACTGAAAGACAAAATAAACCAATAATTTTAGCAAGAGTGAGAAGAGTGTTTAAAAATTAGAAAAAAGCTAACCACACAACACTTCTGCACGTTCACTGCTGGAGTCGGTCCGGCGCATTTTACGTTACATTGATAGATGTAACGGAAATGACGAATACCGGTGGGCTCGGTACAGAACGAGTAATCTGGAAACATAAAGGAAAACTGGTAGAACATTGAAATTGAAATTGAATTGAAAGTTATCCTAGATTTTATCATTAGTAATGAATTAAAACGATTCAAATGCTTGATCGAGACTGAAAAATTAAATAATCCTGGTTTCAAAAGCTAGAATTTTAATTATGATTCTTTAGTTGTGGAAGTGTAGTATTTTTTGTTCGTTTGTACCACGTTATTCATGTGAATAAATCTATTTTTTTTAAACTATGTCTAACCACTCACTGATCACCAAAAGAAACATTGTTGCCAAGATGAACTGCAGCATTTCCGATATCCAGACGGAGAAATGATCCCCCAAGTGAACGGGGTTCTGATTTTATATCCCATTCTGTTCATATCTAAAAATTCCATTCAAATCTCGCCCACCCTGTTGTCGTTCGGAAATCGTGTGTTCATTTTGGAAAAAAACTCCAACGGGTCATCTGGTTTTTCTCGATTTTTGACTCTATTCAATTGAAAGTCCAATTTTGAAAAGCTTCTGCTTTTATTGAAAAGTTGTTTGGTTCCAGCCACTGCCCAACACTTTTTGGAAAGTTTCCGCAAAATAATTTTTATTTGAGTGTTTGTTTGATTTTCCGTAATTCGGTAGTCTCGTAGTCAACTTTTGGTCTTGCTTGCAAAAGATTGAAATTTAAAATGAATAAGAGCATCGGTACTACGCCGGTTGGGGGGAGGCACTTTTTTTTCCTCAAAGCCACTTTTTCTGGGGTAGTTTTATGCATAGATCCCGAAAAACACAACGAGAGCTTGGAAAACGGCGTTTTAAGAGTTCACAGTTCTTTTTGGATGGAAAAAGACGAAACAATCCTTGCACAAATCAAAAATCAAAGATCAAACTTTTCGAGGATATTTTAAAGGCTTCTTTTACTCAAAAAATAACTAAAGAAAACTGGTCACTTTAGTTTTCTTAATTGAGAACTTTGACTTTTAAAACAGAATTAAGTGAATCATCTTGGAAACTTTTCAGTTAATTTTTGCAAAGAATTTCCAAGAAGCGGCTAATCAGAAAAAAAAATGATAACAGAAAGCCAATCCGGCTTAAAAGGACTCAAAGGAAATTCCCTTGTTTACTCTTTTGAAGTTACAGCACCGACTTATTTGTTGCTTCAGACTATGTTTGGAATATTTTTTCTACTTCTGACTTTGATCATACAATCATGCATTTTGAGTTTCGAATTGTCTGGAGTGAGTTGAAAATTTCGAGAGAGTTATGTTATCAAGTGGGCAGATAATTAATGCTGTTCAGTGATTTAATGTGTGTCGTGGAACTCACTTCGAATTTTCTAAACTAGAACCAGTCAAGTACGAGCTAGTCCTTTTTGTAAGCTAGTCCTCTTTGTAAGCTTTCTGGGCAAACGACCTGGCGGCGGATGTACGAAAGCTTTCCTTGAAGTAACTTAATGATGGCAAACGAGTCATGAGCAGCTGTCTACCAAAACATTTCAAGACTGCGAGATGAGAAAAACCGATTGAAGATCTGTAGGCTTGATTCGATGCTTTGTTGTTTGGTTGGAAATAAAAGTAGATTTAATGGGTAGAAATTGGGAAAATGCAGAGTGGATAATTTTGTAGCAACGAAGCCCGAAAACATAAAACTCCGAAAAACCTCGTAAACCAAATCAAAGGAGGAATCGAAAGCTTATATAGTGAGTAAAAGATTGAGCAACGAAAATCTTCGAAAGGGAAACGTTTGTGGGGAAAACTATCCTTTCGTTTAGACTGTTTAAATAGAATTTTTGGAAATTCTGGAAAGAGATTCAATGAAATGAAAGGCATTGCAATTGACCCAAATTTCTCAACTTTTCGAATATCTTCTGAAATCGAAATCCCATCGTGAAGTTATTAAGAGCTAAAGGATAATAAGTTTGGGATTTTTACTTAAAAAGTTGAGGGAAATTAGTCGGAAAAAGTGCTAGAACGCAGCTCAGCACATTCCGGGCCTACAGAAAAGGGAAAAAGGAAGTATCGAATGATAAGTAAGTTCTATTTTGTTTATGATTTATCACCCCTTTAGAAACTGCTAATTGCGATGTTTATATCATTATTTGATACATTAGAAAGTGTTTTAATCGACAATTTGTGATCCTTTCAGAACGACGACCTCAGCCCTGGCTACGATGAAGATACGGCTCGTCGCTTCTTCGATCTAGCAGCAGCCAGTCAAGTGCTACCAAGAGACGAATCAAAACGACAACGATGTTTCGACAAATCGTGGAGTGGCTACAACTATGAGACAACATTTTTTAAATCGGTTCCATGTGATGATGTGAGTTCAACAACGATCAAGCAGTTGCTGTTTTCAGAAAGGCAACGAATGTCAAGTATACGTTGCTTATTCATCAAAAAAGGATAGCTACGTGATCTCATTTCGAGGCACAAACGATGTATCAGAATTGGTTGTTGAAGGACTGGCATCAATCAACAAATATGATACATTCTATTACCATGGTTAGTGAAAAAATATTGCTAGGCTTTTCAGTTGAAGACTTTCAGGTGCTGCAGCTGGCCAAGGAAGTGTCAATCACTATTTCAATGAGGCTGTCAAGACTCTTTGGCCAGACATTGGCTATGCTATTTAGTAAAATTTTTTTAGAAGAATCCAGTTCATTATTTCAACTTTTAGTCAAAGAAGTGGGGACACAGCTTTTTACATTACTGGTCATTCATTTGGTGGAGCATTGGCCTCAATAGCTGCTTCTCGAGTCTATCTAGAGGGTTACAGAAAGGTAAATCAACAACAAATACCGAATTTAATAAAGCAATATCAATACAAAATATTGTAATGCATGTTTCTTTACAGATCCAACGTATTCCAGATCTATTTGTACACTTTTGGACAGCCACGAGTCTGGGATTATGCAACAGCTCAAGTGTTCAATGATTGGGTTCCCCATGCGTGGCGAGTCGTTCACTACTCTGATCCGATTCCCCATGGACCATCATTAAATGGCAAAGAACAAGGGAAACCATATCATCATGCACAGGAGATTTGGTGAGTAGACTGGCTACAATGGCGAGATGAAATCAAAAGTATTGTTGATTTTGAAATTTTGATTCTAATTCCGTAAGATTTACAAATTCTAATTCCATAATATTTGGTAAGTACAAAGAAAAATAAGAATAGAAGCACCTAGAACAGTTTTTTGAGCAATTACACTCCAAAAAGATGACCAAAATTTTCTCATCAAGTTTCAGGTATAACGACAATTTCACAACCTATTCTCAATGTTCAAAAGATGATGGAGAGGATTTAAACTGTAGCGATAAGCTCAATAACTTCAAGTTTGTCACCGATGTGGTCAGTTTTTGAAGAAGAAAAATGAGAATTGCATAATGCAAGATTTGCAATAAACTCTTTTTAAAGAAATAGAAAGAATCAAACTAGATGTAGCTACATTTTGTTCTAGGTGAACAAGGATCATTTGCATTACTTTGGTGTCCAAGTGATTGACTACGGAGCTGCTGGATGTACAACCAACATTGTTCATGCCTACAAACTTTTCAGTTCTTTAACTTTTGTCCTTCTACAACTGTTTGTTTTCGCGTAATTTTGTTGGCGTAGCGTCATTTTTTACCATACCATAATACCTGTAATGGTAGCGCCGGCGCTACTACTTGCTATTACTACTTACTAACTAACCAATGTTTGCTCGTTATTTGCTTTATTTGCTCGTTTTTTTTTATCATTTCAATAAATTTTTCACAAAACCAAAGTAATAAATCAATAACAGAATAAGAAAAATGAAAACGATGATTATGACGATTGAACCAGCTTCGGTGACATAGCAGACTGATGGGACGTCAAGTTTCATGTACTCGGTATTGCCTAAACAGAAGTAGAATGTCAGACTCAGTTTTGAAATAATAAGATAACAATAAGATAATGACTTTAGCAATCATTTGCTGCATTTTGATCAGGAGCTTGGAAGCTTTTCTTGTTGGCTTTATCTATTGACACAAAGATAGGTTTTCTTAGCTAAAGTCTCTAAAATGCATCATTGAACCTACTTTTTGACTACCCGACTTCACACTCCCAAAAAATCAAGACATAAGACATTTCAAACCCGTTCTAATGTTATTTTGTGGAAAATAAGTGCAGCATTTCCGATGTCCAGACGGAGAAATGATCCCCCAAGTGAACGGGGTTCTGATTTTATGTCCCATTCCGTTTGTTTTCTAATGAAACAAACAGTAGTTCAATTGGTACATTTGTTGGTTTTAAATGGAAGAACGAAAAGGAACGTAAAGCTTTTCTGGACAGGTCATTTGCCCGAGCTAGCCCAAGCCTGGTTCTAAGTTCTGGCTTCTGGCTCTGCTTTGCCTGGCCTGATCTGACTTGTTCGAGGTCAGAAGGTATCAGAAGGTACGAGTCTAAATAGTGACCTCCTTTGTGTTATTAATAAGATTTCCAAACAACATTTTATTGTTTTAGTACCATTTTCACAAACTATGAGGTATCTGGAGGATTTGATCGTCATTAATTATTGTTTGATATTGCACTCAAACGCACTCAAACGTGTTACTGAAATCGAATCACCTGAATGTCAATCAGAAATTCGGAAAATCATCTCGAGATTTGGATTCAAGATTTTCTTTTATATTTTAGAATCCAACTATCAGCTGTACTAATTTTCAACGTATTCATCGTCCACCAGCTTCTGAAGTTTTGGATTTCCTTGCTCAAACGCAGAAAGTAAGTACGATCAGAAGGTACGAGTAAATTGATTATTAGGCTAATTATTAGGTTGTTCAGAAAGTCTTTTCAGTCAGAAAGTCAGAAAAATCCAGACATAAGACATTTAAAACCCGTTCTAATGTTATTTTGCAGAAAAATAGTTGGCCTTTCTAATAAAAGAAACCATAGTTTAATTGGTGCATTTATTGGTTTTAAACAGAAGTAGGAAAAGGAACGAAAACACTTTTTGGACAGCCTAATAATTAGCAAGGTAACTCACTAACTTGGCTACCGTAACCCTAACCCAGTTAGTCGGTGCTAGGGTTTGAAAGATTACCGTCACAAAGACGGTAATCTTTCAAATCAAGGTTAATCATTACTCATTTGCCTCAAGATTGACCATGTTTCTTTCGAACTCCAAGATTCACTCACCTTCGTCTGAAAACTGCAACACATTGCTGGCATTTGAGATGCTAAAATCCGGTTAGAAAATTTTGAGATTTCAAATAAACTAGATTGGTATTTCGTCAAAGCGTTCGTCTTCTCGAGAAATTTTTGGATAACTCGTTTGATGAATTCGATTCTGTAGCCTTTCGATGTAGATTTTTGGGTCAAACGTCGATGTCTTGTAAGAGCCGTAGCCAAGGGAGAACTCTTCTGAAAGATACTGATTCTGAATGCTTTTGTTACCTACCGTAAATATTGTAATAGTACCCCACCCCCCTCGTACAGTCGCGTAGTCCCAAAAGTCTTTTGGTATCTCATTTTTTGCAAAGCACCCGTACTTTCATAAAAATGCGTTTTTGGTATCAAAAAATAGCCCTGAATTTCAGCTATTTTTTGATACCTAAGCGCACATTGTAGCATAAACCAGTGTCGAGAAAAACGCGTTCAAAGCTAGACTGCGCAACGCTCCGCACCGTCATTATGGGGGTGGGATACTATTACAGTATTTACGGTAGGTAAATTAAAACTTGAAATGAAGGCTAGAGACTCTCAAAATTTTACCTGGCGGTAGTTCGGTGAAAGTCAATTGTCGACCAGTTGTTGATGGAACTGGTGGAAGGGGTGGAAAGCTCACCACCGATACGCCGACTGTGATTTCTGGAGTTGGGGCTCTGAAATGTGGAATGGCTTCTTAAAATCAACAGTTTTACACATTTTCTCGAGCAATAAGTTTTGGCCTAGTAAAACAAAATCTTAGTTAGATATCGGATTACTGAATAAAGTGTTACGGTTCCAGAAATCCAAATTTTTGGATTGAAAAGACCCAAACTGCTAAATCTTTTAACCCAGAAACCCTAATTCCAAATGATTTTCCAAAATGAGAGAAATAAGAAAACGATTCGCGGCTGGGTTGAATTGACTAGCGTTTATTGAGAAGAGATCTTTAGATTTTTAATAACTTTATCGGTGATCTGAAAGACGCAGGTCCGAACACCAACAAAGTGGAATGAACCGAGAAAAGTAAACTTTAGAACTTGAACTTGAACTTTAGAACTTGAACCTGAACTTTAGAACTTGAAAATTTGAACAATTTTAAGAAGGGAGAGGGGAAGAAAGATTGAAACAATAAATGGAGAAGGGAAATTGTGACAATAAACAAAATTTACAGGTGAATAGAGTGAAGGAAACATTTACGCGCAGAAGACATGGCGCAAGCGCCAAGCAGTGCGATGATTCTTCAAAAAAATGAACTTTTGAAGAATTCCTTTTATAGTGGGGAAAAGGAAGACGCCGTCTCGAGTATGGTGACTTAAGTGTATTTGAGAATTTTTACGGTGGAAAGTTGTCGACCCGTATTGGGATATTGGGGTTTATTACTGCCGTTTATCGAGCTTCTCGTTCTCGATGGCCGAAGCTTAGGAATTTTTAGGAAGCTAGCGCGCCAATCAGTCAGTCACGGGTTTGTTCCTCGCGTTGATCAAATTTTTTGCTTTTCAAAGGCACATGATTCAAAGGCATAAAGGATCGATAGTAGAGTATTCACTTTTAAACACAAGTCCTTCTCATTTTTTATTAATAGATGTGAAAAGTATGACTTTTCTTCTAATCTGAGCTATCAAAAAGTCCAAAAGCCAATCATTTTTAGATTCAAAATACTATTAGTTTTTGTGGAGTCGATATAATTGTTTGCTTTTGGTGTCAAAATGAAGATAAAGATCTAATAAATCGGATCTATCCCCTCAAACTTCTCGATTTTGCGATATCACCGAGTTATAGGTCTCGAAAGAGAGGCAGTCCGGGTTTCTCCATATAAAATGATGCTTTTTTCATTAAAAAATCTGTCAGACAGACTTGAAATCAGCACATTTTTCTGCGTTGGATGACACATCTTTCATCAAAATTCATCAGAAAACGCATTTTTGCCTTATTTCGCGTGCCAATGTGTGGTTCTTTATTGATTTTTTTTGCCCATTCTCAATGATTCACAAGAAAAACTTTTGTAAAGTTAGGGCACCTACTCGAAAAATCGAAACTCATAGGCTTTTTCCTTAGCATCGAGCTCGGCCGGGTGATGTAGAGGTTCGTGTACGCGCTCTTAGTCTCGCTTTTGCTTTTCTTGACCCTAGTTCGGATCCGGTTGCCAAAACCTTTTTGCTAAAACTTTAAAAACACTTTTTATTTATTTTAGAATGTCCAATAATCATTTTTAAGAACAAATGAGATTTAAAAACCTTGAAAATAAACAAAAAGTGTTAATCTAGTTCTAGTTCTGATCTTCTACGCGTTAAATTTTGTTCTTTTTTGTGTAAAGTTCTATTATGCCAGTACGATTGTTTTTGAGCACACAAAACAAACCTTGACGGCAAAATGATCTCTTTGGATGTGTTTGTGGAAGAGAATGGAGTCTCAACGAGAGCTTTCTTCGGCTCAAGCGTTACCGAGACTATTGACGTTTTGGCAGTTGAATCGGATTTGGAAATCATCCTCTGAAAGCTCAACTCAAGATCATTTTAGTATTAGCTTTACAAGATAAAATTATAAAAAGCTTTAAAAATGACAAAAGTCTCTAAAATAAAGTAAAGTAAAGGAAACTAAAAGAAATAAATCAACAAAGAACGTGATTTCCGCTTTCGATTTGCTATTTGTGAATGGGAGATCAAGGGACCGGGTGTCAGAAGAAAAGGAGAAGGCTAGGGCTATTCAGGCACCGATCATCCGGCCTCAATCCATCCTAAGCTCTTCCATCCTTCTCTCTTCGGTCTTTTTCATTCTTTTCCATTTCTACCTAGTAACTCGTAGAAAAATAGTGGATATTTAGGCATTAGGTAGCCAGGGGGAGGGGCAAAATGTATCATTTTTAAAAAGTTTGCTCTCCTCCCCAAAATCAGAATTTTTTTGGAGCAAAAGTTGTTTTTTTTCTTACTGGATAACTTTTTTTCTTTCTTTCTTTTCGTTTCTTTTTTCTTTTTCCTAAACGCAACCAGTCAAAATTACATGGAATCCAATTCGTCGTTTTGCATTTCTTACACATAAACTTAACTTGATGTCAAAACAAAAAGGTTAGCGCATATTTAATTACATAAGTAGCCAAATTTAGCTTCATTCAAGTTCTATTAAATGCAAAAAAGATTATTCAAATTGATTGAATTGAATTCAAAAATATTGATTCAGTAAAAAGTTCGAGCTCCGTCAAGGAGGGTAAAAAACATAATTTTTGTCCCTTGTCGACCCCATTTCTCGTTGTATTTTGGGCAGCTAATTTTTTTGCTCATCAGTATTCATCATGAGATCTATCGAATGAGGTATGACTCATGCTAAACGGTCACATTCACTTCGGACCATTCCTTTTTCAGACAATTACCCTTTTTCAAGGTCATCTGAAAGCAGTTTTTGTCGACTCGAGTCAATTAAACAAGATTTCTAGCTGAAACGTTGTATGGTAGAAAATTTAAACATTGTTTTTATAAACTTTTCAGTTAGTCCCATTAACAGTTACTGTAAAAACTAGTAGGTGGTCTTCAAAAGATAATTTAATTTTAATTCTTAATAGGTTTTGTTTTGAAAAGAACAGAGGTTTTGATTTCTATTATGCTTCTTCACGATTTCCTTACGGAAACACTCCTACTCGCCATAATGATCGTCTTCTGTTTCGGGTTTGGAATTGCCAAAGAATAAATGATTAGAGAAACTTAGTTTGATTTCTTTTGATTTAGCCGTTCCACTTTTAGCTTAATTCTATGATTAATATTAGTATGATTTAAATTATTAGACTGCTTCTTTTTGCTCTCTTTTCCCCCAAATACAAACAGTGGCTGATTTCGAGAAATTTATTTTTTCCCCGGCTTTTACACACATTCTTATCGGTCGTCTATTACGATTCTTCTAAATTGGTCACCACTCGCAAATGAATAAGCGGGAGAACGCAAATGGAGAACTAGCTGTTTATATCATCTTTAAAAATGAACGGCATCTACGATGCTGTTGCTGTATGCTGTACTGTCATTTGCTGGCGGATCTCATTTGCTGGCGGATCTCATTTGCTGGCGGATCTCATTTGCTGGCGGATCTCATTTGCTGGCGGATCTCATTTGCTGGCGGAACTTAAGATCATTTGCTGGCAGATCCTAAGATCATTTCCTGGCAATAAAACCAGTAGCCATTTTCTCTGGGACTACTTTACCACTATTAAACGATATAAATAGCAAAAACTCTTCATAGAAAACTATAGGCAAACTATTTTTTAAAAATTTAAACAAAAAAATTCAGCTACAAATTTTTCAAATCACCTGTGCGTGAGCCATAGAAACTCATATTTTCACTTTTTCACTTTCTCCTAGAACCTAATTATATTTATAAGATTATATATTTATAGCTAGATTTATAGTATTTTATGTGTCTTCTAAAGTCTTCAGTTTTTGATTCCAAAGCCTTCCAGGCTCTCTTCTTTCTCCTGCCAACGCTCTACGTGAGCGCGTTGGCGGTGTGGCTGTGCGAGAAAGGAGCTGATGATCTGATTGACTGTCCCGAATCTACCACAAAACCACCGCCAGTTAAGAAATCGGATAAATTCTAATTTGTGCCCCTAATCCTCGCCTTTATTGGCCTTATGATCCGAATTTTTAACCTGTTCACCTACAGCTGTCGCGCCCATTCCGCTGATGCATGGAAAGCTATTGTGATTGTGCAATTGTGATAGCAATTCGTGTGTAACTCGACAGAATATAATAGCAAACAAACTTTTTTCGTCAATTATCTTAAATAAATAAACCTGTCTTAGAATATTATTATTTAATTCATGTTTATTTATATTCTTGTAGGACATCACAATAAATGGATGCTCTAAATGTGATTTCATGATCGATTCCTGGCATCGACAATGTAAGAATCCTGCGAAGGGAAAGGGATCGGTAAAAGAATATTTTACGACATTCGAAAGAACTCTTTGAAAGTTAAGAAAATCTAATTTTAAAAGATTAACGTAAAAGATCGAATTTAAAGGTTACAATCGATTCTCGATTTAACGATTCTAAAACATGTCCCAAATTTCTAGCTGCTCTGAACGGCCAACGATTGCGTTTTTTTGGTCAGCTACGCCAAAACCAAGAGTGTGTTTTAGAATTTCAAAATCGTTGTACCGAGAGTCGTTAAATCAAAAGTCGACTATATTAGGTACTTGCAAAAGAAACCGCAGATCATAAAAACCATCATACAACGACGATAAGTAAATATGATCCAGATTAATTAGTATTTTTAGAAACCCCAATATTTTCTCTTTTTAACGATATAAAAAGAATTTTGTAGTGATCGTTCCTGGGCGGAATGTAGACGTTTCAAAAAGGCACCAAAAAACGACTTGACTATGGCTGAACTTATAACAAAAGATTATTTTTGACGAAACCCTGAGCCCGTATAGGTCCGGGAAAAGCTCCCGCAGCGTCTCTGATTACTATAGCCTTGCCCCAGAACGTACCTTTCTGCCAGAAAGTTTCCGGTAAAACTTTCTGAAAGGTGCATAGGTCCGGGAAAAGATCCCGCATCGGCTCTGATTTTTACAGCGGAAACTTCGATCGTTCCGGTATAACGTCCATGGTTTTCCCGCTGCCTTCCTTGGAAAGTTCCGGCGGAAAATTTACCGGAAACTTTCTGGAAGAAAGGTACATTCCACGGGAAAACTAGGGACGCTTTGCCGAAAAGATCAACGGTGCCGCCGGCACGATCAGAGACGCTGCGGGAACTTTTCCCGGAGCGTTGCATACGGGCTCTGGTCTAAATTATTGACAGACCAGAAGCCCAAACTCAATAGAAGCTATTTACAGAACTAAAACAAATTTGGTGGACTATTTTATTATAAATATTCCTATGAAGAGCTGTGACTCTCAAAAAAAGGGTCAAAATTCGGTATTCAAGCTTGTTTTCGGAAGTTCTTTTAACAAAGAGTACGCAACAAACAAACCTAATTTGTATTTTATTTGCTTTAGTTAGTCAACTTCTTTCATTTCATATTAGTGACAAAACATTTATTGAAAAATCTTGGAGAAATCAGAAAATTCGGCTCCGTCAGGCCATTTTTGGTGCCTTTTTTGAAACTTCCACTAGCCTTCCAAAAGAGAGCTTCATAAAATTCTTTTTATATCATTAAAATAAGGAGATATTGAAGATATTGGAATTTCTAAAATCAATCCGGATCATCTTTCCTTACAGTCGTTGTATGGTGGCTTTTTTGACCAGCAGTTTCTTTGGCAAGTACCTAACAGTCAAAGTACAACCCAAATCAACGAAAAACAGAAAAACTAATACCCAGAGAGTAAGCATTTTTCTATAAAAGGAAACAAAAACGAGACAAAGGACAAAGCTGCGAACTGATTTTAAAATTTGATCGAGCTTTCCCCGCTTTGTTTTTTGCTATTCTCTTGTTGTTTCGGTATTTCTTGAGAATAAATGTTTAGTCCATGCGATGAAGATTGAGCATCCGAGGAACGCGGATCTTTCCGCAAAATTGCTCGCACCTATATAAGATCATATAAAGCCATATTTTAAAAGTTTAAAAGTTTAAAACCATTATTCTGGAGGAATTCTGGAGGCATAATGGTTTAAAGTTTTAAAGGCTTAGAAATTCTTAGATTTTAAATTTTTGATTCAAATCAAACCTCTGAGTTAGTGTGATAGTAGACGAGTCCATTGGCGCCAAAACAGAGAAGAGCATTCAGGGAACAAAACGAGTAAAGATACAGGTTATTGTTGCCAATCAACTGGAACATTTCTTGTTTATTGACAAAAGTTTTAAATTTTGGCAGCCATGTGGAATTGGGAGTTGGAATTTGGATTTGGATTAGTTGGAAGCCCATTTGGAAGCCCATAATTCGCTATGATTCGTTTTGTTTTCGAAAATGTTTAGAAATAGTTTAAAATCTATAAGATTTTATTGTTTTATCAAGCTCTATGCTTTTCAGTTGTTTAGAATCAAAAGAAAAAAATAATTTGACTCTAAAAATCTTTAAAGTGAGGACTGGGGCCCCGGCCGGATAATTATAAAAAATTTTGAAGGCAACTACTTGTTTTCATGCTTTATATTGCTAATTTGATTATAAAAAGAATAAAAATCACTCGACTAGAGTGATTTGATGGGTTTTACAAATTTTTAGAGACGTTCTAGTTTTTGGAGTACAAATTTTTGAAGCCTACGTGGTTCATCTACAAGTTAAGTGCAAAAGAAAAGCAAAATGTCATGCACTATGTTTTCTTTTTGTTTTCTCTTGACTTCTGATCTATATTTCTAGAGTTTCTAAACAAAATAGAGGCGAAACTACAAAATAGAATCGAATTGTTGTTATTGTCATTGTTATTATTTGTTATTGTTGTGATTGTCATTGCCAGAATTTGTTATTGTTGAATTCGCTCAATTAGAGGAACTATTACAAAGATGCCTAGATTGTGGAAAACTTCGGAGCGGTCAAAAAATAGGACAAGAAAGAAAGATTGAATGGACAACAAATAGATCGAACATGACAGCAATCATTCGTGTCTGATGAGTGACGATTAGAGTGTGTTGCTTTCAAATCAAATCGTTCAAAAAACTCGTTCAAACTTTTGCTTTCCACTCCACCCTAAAACGTGATTGTGGAAAACTTTCGAGTGTTCAAAAAATAGGACAAGAAAGAAAGATTGAATGGACAATAAATAGATCGAACATTACAGCAATCATTCGTGTCTGATGAGTGATGAGTGTGTTCCTCTCATTGGGTCCCAATCGATTTAAAGCTAATTTTAGTTCGGAAACGGCTACAACATATATAGTAGATAGAACTAGAGTGTGTTCCTCTCAAATCAAATCGTTCAAATCATGTTTTCCAAAAGATGTTCGTTAGCCAAGTCGTTTTCTAAAAATCGCGCTTTTCTAAACGCTCTTTTTGCACTTCTCTTTTATTATTTTTGAAAGTTTTACTTCTTTTTTCTATTCTTATTTAAAATTTATAGTTTTAAACAAATATTTATTTTAAACAAGGAAAGAAGGTGGTCAATCAAAGGAGAACAACGTGCTAGAACAGTTTTTTGGCGCCAAAACAGAGAACAACGTGCCAGGGCAGTTTTTTTTCTATATATTATCGATATTTTTTAAATCTACCCGGGTTAATTGCTTTTCTTTAGTGAAAGAACATAAGAAAGAAGATAAGAAGACGAATGAAAAGAAACTTCATGAGACAGGGCAACAAAGAAAGAAAGGTCAGTATTTTTTAAAATTCTGTAGAATCTAAGATTTTTACTGTTATTGTCGTTGGAGTAAATTGTGGTGTGCATCCTTTTATCACATTTGACAACAAATTTGTCATTCATTTTGTGCTTGGTCATGAATTGCCTGTTACGCATTGCCATACAAGATATGGTAATCTTGATTTCTATTGAGAGTTCCTGTTTCTTAAAAAGTTATGATTAAAAGTCTACTTTCAATAAAATTTTACCCCATTCATTGAGCTGTTACGCATTTTTTATATTCTATTTTTATATTCTATGCTTTTCGAATTTATCTAAAGATTAATATCAAATTCTGTTTGCAAAAGAAAAAAATAGAGAAAAAAGCAATCATTATTTTCATCTTCATTTTGACTTTGGTAAGTGAAAATAACTTTCTACTTATGAGCTGCAAGCTTTAGCTTCTTCCTAGGGAGGTTACGGTAGTTTAGCACTATTTAAAAAACATGATTTGTGCGAAGCACACTCTAGTGATGATCTTGCTTTTCTCCAAGTCTTGCAACGTCTCTAAAAATTTGTAAACCCATCAAATCACTCTGGTCGGGTGATTTTTATTCTTTTTATAATCAAATTAGCAATATCAAAATATAAAAAGAGGCGGTTGCCTTCAAAAATCCCCGGCCGGGATTAATACCCATTCTTTAAAGAAGAAGTTAAATATTTGACAATGAGGACTTGATTTGATGAGAACAAACCACAGGAAGATAGCGAAAACTCGTCCATCCATTCATGTAAAAGACTGAGATGAAAAAGAATTGTTTGGCATACTAGATTTTAGTTAATTTAACTTAGCAGCTGGATTTTTACTTTTATTTCCATGTTTCTCTTTTTTTGGGAGCATTCCGTTGAGATTTTCGAGTTGAAAACGTAAAGCCAACGGACGATCTGGAAGTTTAAGGAGTTTCAAATAAACTAACCAGCTAAAACTTTGATGTCTTATTATCTTATGTCTTATCATTATATGTTTGGATCTTATTGTGTCTTATTATGTTTGGAAACTGACAAATCAATACTCACCCATGAATAGCAAACAACACAAACGATAGTCGAGGTTGTGTTTAGCGGGAGATCAAAATACGTGTTTGGATAGTTGAGAATTCCGGCCTTTTCCACATATCGATAGGAATAAACATTGTAATCAAAGGTTAGGCTAAAAAGGATTTGTTAACTGCACTCGTAAAAGAGAGAAGAGCTGAAAAAGTTTGTTCGTTGTTCATTTTTAGTTTCTTATTTGTATTAGGTAGAGTACTAACTCTTGACTCTTGTTTCTTGCATCTCAACAGCGTCAAAATCTTCTACGGTTAAGGTGTTCTTTGTGCGGCCACGTAATCGCTTGCCATCTGGCGCAGGGCCTTTTCATAAGAGCGGCCCTTTCCATCTGTCGGGTTTAACTAGCTGTATCCGAAGGGGGGCGGAGCATCTTGGTGTGTACCGTCTCGTCCCCCAATCGCGCCGTATTAAATCCCCCAAACCTCGGTATGTGCGGGGGCACTGATCACTTTGAGCCCTGCCGTCTCGACGCCCGTTTGCCGCAAAACCACAGGGAACAGGACCCTTGAAATGGCGACATGCGGGGGATGTCCTTGGCATCCCCCCGGGCCGGCCATTAGGCTCTGGGAGAAGGATCCCCCACCAGGCTAGTTCCTCCACGGGCCCCCCTCCCACTGGGCCGACCATAAAACCCAGAGGGAGGGCGCTGCCGGATATCCAGCCACCTCCGCGTGGTGAGCAGAGGATGGCTGAGAGTTGGACTAGGTAAGAGGCTTCAAAAGTAGGTATTAGGTTGAGTACTAATTCTCTTCTCAGATGATCAAAGAGTTCAAATCGACTGGTTTCAAACAAAAGCCTCCTGCTTGAAGCCCAGCCATTATAAAGGATAAAACTTTGCCCAATGCATGTCTGATTATCATATTAAAAATTTTCAAAATCTATGCTTTGCTCTTTGATGAAACAAAAAACAAAAAGTGTTATCAAGACCCAACTTTGTACTCAACCTAATATAGATTAAACATAGCTTTATCTAGAATTACTCCAACCAACCGGCAACACGGAAAGATGTATTGTGAAAAGACGGCTAAAGTTAGAGCAATTGGATAGATTCCAATTGTAAAAAAGAGAGTCCCCTTCCTCGTGAACACAGAAAAACGACTGAAGCACATCACAGTTACACTAAAGAATAGGAAGTTATAAAAACCAATTCATGAATTAACTTTAACTAATTAACTAATTAAAATATAAACAATGTTCTTTATAACTGTCCAAAGATTTTATTGAGGTTTTGTTATAGAAAAGAGCAACATTCTGCAATAGCAATAATATACTTTCAATTCCTCACCGATTAATAGCCATCAGTACTTGCGATAGAGTTGATTGGTACCAGAGAACCATGAATATTGAAGAGAAAAAGATTACAACTTGATCATCGACACCTTTTGAAAAGAAGTAAGTCTAGAAATGAGCTTTCCAATTAGCATTCCTGGTCTTTAAAAATTTCTTACCTGAAAGAATAGACTTGGCACAAAATATATTAAATGAAGGGATAACATCACAAAGTCGGTGAACAGATTCGATGTGGAAATGATGTAAATTGGACTCTTTTCTGAGTAAAGACGGCCACTGTAAAAGGTGAGATTAATTATTAGGTACTTGCAAAAGAAACTGCGAGTCATAAAAACCATCATCCAACGACTGTAAGTAAAGATGATCCGGTTTGATCAGGATTTTTAGAAACCCCAATATTTTCTCTTTTTAACGATATAAAAAGAATTTTGCAGTGATCGTTTCTGGGCGGAATATAGACGTTTCAAAAAGGTGCCAAAAACGACTAGACCTCTATATTCCTTTTTGATATTGGGGTTTCTAAAAATCCTGATCAATCCGGATCATCTTTACTTACCGTCGTTGGATGATGGTTTTTATGACTCGCAATTTCTTTTGCGGGTCCCGAATAGTTAAGCTGTGGTAGAGAGTACGAGAGTACCTAGGAGAGATAAAGATAAACCCGGATGATCGTTTATATGAAGAAATTGGTGATATACAGGGGATCCGAAAGATTCTTATACTTTTTCTGTAAGCAGTAATTTTTTTTTTATAGTGGAGGTAAAAATATCTGAATTTTCTTAATCCGGTGTTAGTTTTTTTTTAAAAATAGCGTGTTCTCCGAGTTAAACAGTCTGTTTAGAAAAAGTATAGGAACTTTTTGGGCACTCTGTATTGTAAAGCTGTTGAAATCTTACCGACGAATCGCGTAGAGCACTGAAATAATGGCGAACAGTTGATAGGAGATCAGAATTAGGTAAAAGCCGGCCACAAAACAATAGATTGGAAGCATTTCTAGTCGAGTGTGTTGGCTTAAATTTAGATTTAGCAACACTGAAGTAACAAATTGAAGTAAGAGAGAAAAACTGGAGATCTATTAATCTAGAAACTGAACAAAGAGTTAAGCACGATAAACGCTTAACTGCAAAAAGTCTGCTTTTGTCATTGATAAGCTTCCAGTCAAAACTTCTAGGAATTCTAAGAAACAGTGCGATTCTAAGAAACAGTTCCATAAGTAAAAAAATGAACGTTTTCCCACGAAAGGTCAAACTTTCATGGGTATGTACTTTCAAATCCTATGAAAAAAGAGGATAGTTCAAAGATCCGAAACTTTTCTCAAGTTTCGGTTGATGAAAAGGAAACATGATGAAAAATTGTATCCTGAGAGAAATTAACGTTTTTCTTTGGTGAAACTTTTCAAGTGTTTTGAAGCCCAAAGAATTTCTGGGTCTTCTTTTTACTCCTGACTCATTTTCTATTCTAACTTTAATCATAAACAACTAAACTAAACAAGATAACAGTTGTTTATCAAGGAAATCAGTGCTTAATAAATCCTGAGGAATAGTATTTGTTCAAAACTTTGAGAAGAGCTTAGGTAGAATTCCAAATTGCCAAATAATCAAAGTTCTAATCAAAGAACCAAAATTAGTTTTCAAAATTGCTGACAACTGTAACTCTCATGGGAATCAAATGATTTAAAGAAGTCTAAGTTTAAAACATAAACCCTTCATTAGAGGGGAAAAAACGATTAATTTGTGGTTTCCCGAAAGTAAAACCCAAATTTTCTATCTTTTCTTGCAATCAGGTAACAGTAATTACATCATATCGCACAAAAACACTTTTCTGAATCTTCGTTTTACATTTTAGACATCTTTTGAAGATTCAGTAAATATGTTCAATGATTTGGAAAATGAAGGAAACTTAGGAAGAGATTTGTTTCTGGCCAGAGAGTTACAGTGGCCTTGATTATTAAAGATTCTAGTTGATCTCTTGTTCTAATGAAACAAAATCTTCAAATATTGGGTTGGTGAATTGAAAACTGCGGGCTATTGTCATATGTGACAGTTTGAGCACTTTCTTCAAAGGAAACCCATTTTGGTATCAATGAAAAAGTTGTAGAGAATCGAAAATTAAGCTTATATCCAAATTTTCAGAACGATTCAAAAACTGGTTTTCGAGAAATGCTAAATTTACAAATTTTCACAAAACTTGCAACAAAACTTGCATTTTAAGCGAAACTACTAAGTGTATCTTTTTGGAAATTTGGCTATAAGCCTAATTTTTGATTCTCTACAACTTTTCTATTGACACCAAAATGGGTTTCTTTTGAAGAAAGTGCTCAAACTGGGACATATGACAATAACCGGCAGTTTTCAATTCGCCAATCCAATAGTTGTAGTTAAAATTTACCTGTTGTTGCATTCCTGTCGCATACTGTCCATTTCCATTTGTCCGCATCGAGGTGCTCATCGGACCGTTTGGCGGGACAGCAATTCGGGTCACAAAATTTTATAGCAAAATTTTAGCAATCTTACCGTGATAGACTTTGTCCTCACCACGTTAGGCAATAAAAAGTTAGATCATTTTGCTTTTGATTGTCAATTTTGTACTCTAACAAAGCCATTGGACTATATTGCTTCAAAACAATATTGCTTCAAAATCATTTCATCAATTTCATAAACTTTAAAACTTGTAGCTTTATTCGCAAGACTTTTCGAGTTACCTAAGAATGAATGGACGGAACTGTTTCATATTCATGCATATCATTCTTAGAACAGATCTTTAATCAAGATTGAAAAACAACTGAAACAACGAGATACAAATTAACGCCTCGGTGATGATGATGGACAGATTTTTACACTAGTGACGATTTGTTGTCGGTTTTGTTGACGTTCCTTTGTCTTCCGGAAAAGTAGGATGGCGAGGATACTAAACGGGAGTGAAATAGCTTGAAATTGTAAAAACCTGGTGAGGAAATTCAGCAAGAAAGCCTGAGCGAATGGCCAAAACTGCCAAATGGCAAGGTTGAGGTAAGGACCGAAAAAGTTGATACCAATGGTTACAGTGGTCCAATTCAGAATGTTGCGGGTTAAGATCATAAATGAGGTCGAGAGCATCTAAAATGCGAGAATTGAGTTCAAGTTTTGCACTGAAGACCCAGAGTTACTTTGACCACGTTTTGAACTTGAACAAATCTTGGCTGAGAGTGTTTTCCTTGCGAAATTAAAGGAGTCAAATAAATGTAAAATAAATGAAGTATTGTCTCTGGAGTATCAAAATGTTTCAGCGAGTTGTACTCTGCTAACTCAAGACAACTCCGACTTGAACCCAAGCATCGAATTCTATCTCAGGGTCAACTACACATGCGGAGAATTGGTGAATGAGTTGAAAATTTTGGATCTATTTGGATTTGAGTTTAGAAATCCTACTAATCCTACTAATTGTGCAATCAGCAGAAAAAACAAATTTTATATTCTTCTTTTAGTCAGATCAAAGAGCGTGTTACTATTTTGTTTCGACTCTTCGCCCTTTCTACAGCAAAGTGAAACTGTGTTTGGGAGATCCGCTTGACAAGCAGTATTCAAGCAATGTGCAAGTCCTGTTTTGCATTCTCAGCCCAAACGGAAAAGCACTTGGATCTGATCAGATCTTATTTAATTCGAATCCAAAAAGACTTGGATAGGAATTGAATAAGATCTGATTTGTTTGCGTTTGGGAGATCCGCTGGCCGAGTTCGGACCTAACAAAAACCATAAACAAAACATTTCTCAAGATTTCAATGATCTTTTTTAGAAAAATATTGGACATTTCTAATGGAACAGATCGTAGATGAATAGATACATTTGTTATTCATCAATAACTTTTCCAATGAAATGTCTAAAGACAGTCAAAAATGCCCACAGACAGCCAAGCTGATACCCGGAGTTCTTTTTTTAAACTTATGCAACCACCATCTTACCTGTATCATCAAAAGTCTCATTGCTCGAGTCGTTTTCCCATCCTTTTTCAGCTAAATTCAACTTTTAGCCTAGAATTTTCTCAACATTACAACCTTCTTCATTTTCCTGTTTGTCACAAGATCCAGAGAGCACATTAGAAAGAACGGAGCATAAAGCAGATTTTGATCGGGCTGCTCTGTCCAAATCAATAACTAAAACCGGCCAAATTCGATTGCAAATTTCAATACAAATGGAAGAAACAATTGAAGGAATGGCCATTTCATCGTTTGACGGAAATAGAGTCCATCAAAGGACACAGCAAAGAAACGGCTGACAGATATCGCTAATTGAAAATATTGGGAAACGTCATTGAGATCGTAGCGCTCCACCCAAAACCAAATGTCAAGATGAAAGATGTAAAAAGCATCTTGTGGGCATCTAAGTTTCTTTATCGATTGATTTCAGGGTACTTGTTTACTTTTGTTGTCAATTTTCGGATAACAAATTGCTTTTAGGATACGACTAGAGACAAAAGAAGCTTTACGGCCAATCATTTCAATGTGTTTTGAGAAATTTAAAGGTGGGGAAATATGGACTCCAAGATCTCTGATATCATCCTCTTTGCCAATTCTGACTAATGGTGTAGAATTTATTTTCAGCTGGAAAATAGCATTTCCGGTGGAGAAATGGCGGGATTTCGTAGACGCTAAAGCTAAGTTCCAATTATGGGACCATTTTTAAACCAGATCAAGATCTGACACGGCGTCTCTTAAAGAAGCAAGCTTAGCGGCTTCATCTTTGATGGGAATTTTAAAGGTTAGTTTAGCGTCATCAGCATAAAGCCAGATAGATGAGTCCCTAGATGAAAAATTTAATTCAGCTAAATCTTTAAGGTAAATTGTAAATAGTATAGGACCCAGAATACTTCCTTGGGGTACACCAGTAGAGCAATTAAAGGAAGGGGAGAGAGAATCGTTTAGAAGAACTTTGAAAGTTCGCTGAGTAAGGAAACTTTCAATAACTGAAATCATCGAGGGGCAGATTTTATATGCATTTAGTTTGTGAATTAAGAATTTAATAGGGACAGAGTCGAAAGCTTTAGCAAAATCTAAAAACACAGCTTCAAGCTGATAGTGCTTACGTTGTTTTTGATCCACGGCCTTAAAGAAATCTTGGTAAGCTAAAATAAGCTGGTGGACCTATTTTTATATCTGAAATCAGGTCAAAATGAGACCAATCAGGTCGCCATGCCATTATGAGACCATTTTTCAACCAGATCAAGATCTGACATGGCGTCTCTTAAAGAAGCAAGCTTAGCGGCTTCATCTTTGATGGGGATTGTAAAGGTTAGTTTAGCGTCGTGAATGCTAGAAAACAGGATTTTCAACTCTTACATTAAAATGCCTGAAAAAGTTCTCAAATAAAACATTTTTCAAAAATTCAAAAAAGCCATTTTGTAGATTAAGGATAGGGCTTTTGAATCCAGCAAACCGTTTTTTGATTGGATAAGCCGTTTTTTTCAGAAAACACATTACCCAAAAACAATCGTTTATAACTTGCCAACCTAATAATAAAATAAGTTTAGGTCGTTCTTAACAAAATTGACCATTGCCATTGGAAATCAGAAAGTTCATGTTCAAAAGTTGTTTTTAAATTCTTAGATTTCTTTAAAAATTAGCTTGTTTTAAAAAGGAAAAGGATCTCACACGTTTCTCATTTCGCTTATCTTTATTACTTTTCTTTTCGGAAAGCTAGGGTTCGAGAGGAATGTCAAAAAAAATTTCTTTCACGAAGATGTTAACATTTAGTTTATTTATATTCTTTTTCTTCTTGAATAAGCCAACTAACGGTAAGCTGGCTTCTCAAATAATAAATAAATTCTTGATAAACAAATAACATAATAATTTAATAATAATAATAACAAGTTTTCCTCTCTTAAACCATTCTAGCCGTCGACATTTGCCCGGTTCTCTTCGTTATTGATGGATCTGACTATTACGTGAGTTCTGTGCAAATTCGAACTACTATAGTTACATTCTAATCTGTTATACGTGTGTATTTATTTTTAAATGTACAGACGTTAAGTATAGCATAACATTGAGCTGCGATGATAACATAACATTGAGCTGCAATGATTCTGAACCATACCTGCAATGAACTTTTGAACCTTCAGCAATTCCACCAAAAGCAATTCCATTTAGCCAACCTTTCGCAGTGAAATCATCGCAATTTCATCTACGGCTAGCATAGCCTATCAATCAAGTAGCACAAGATTCGAAGCCAACTTTTGGATGTATGGGAGTGGAAATGATGGAGCTATTCCTAGCACTTTTATGGAATCAGCTAACGATTTCAAAGACCATTTGCAAGAATTGCAATCGGCTGGCGGAAAGGAGTCAGTGGCCGGGTAAATTGGTTTGAATAGTTAACAATATCAAATCCGCTAATGTCATTTTTACATTCTAGTGGTAGACTAGTGGTAGACTAGTGGTAGACTATGTATTCTAAAGGAAAAACTTACTAGATGCAATTGGCTAATGTGTAATTTAGTTGTTTTGATGTAAGCCAAATTTTGATATAAGTCAAGCTCTTTAGAGCCACGTCGCAGTTGAATTCTTGGTCAACTCGGGATGCTTTGATTGTGATTTACACAGCCAGGTAGGTGGCTTTTTTTTGTATTTTGATTCGTCTACCTGAGCAACACCTTGTTGTTTTGAGTGTGTCAGAAAGTGTGTGTTTCTGGGCACAACCTAAGCCCAAGTGCTCTCTAATTAACTTATCATTTTTGCCCACAAAACCTGGTCAACATTGCTGGGGCCAACTACACCGAACAAGCGAGAACAATAGCGATTCATTTGAATGGTAAAAGGATCAGTCAATCAATCGGATCAGTGAATCAAAATCATTTCTAGATGGCATTGACACAAGTCCAATCTCGGCCTATCCGAGTCCAGCCATGGCCGACTATAATGGGCTTGTTTCTTTGATGTTTAGTGCGTGTAAAAACTTGACAAGTCCAGTGGTAAGTGTTTGATTTTCGATGGATCAAGTAAATTCAAACTTTCAGACCACACCAACTCCTCAATGTAGGGCTTACTTCGCCTTTGATGGATCGGATGCTGGAAAAGTTGGTGGAATGCCATCAAAACCGTTTCTAGACTAAAATTCCCAGGCAAAACCAAGGCCAAACCAAGCCAAAACTAGGCCACTGCACTATTTTTGATCCCACAAATAAAAAAAAACTTATTTTGGCTGGCTAGTCATACCTATTGGCTCCAGAACGGTTATCGAAATTTGCGCCCCGCCCCTTTTGCCATTGGCAATCCAACTTTGAGCTCAAATACCTTGGTGTTGGGCTGTCTAATTTAAATATTCTTAGTATCATTAGATGCGCCAAGTCTTTCTCGATCGATTGGTACAAAAACGATTTATATTGGACCACCCAACACCAAGATATTTGAGCTCAAAGTTAGATTACCAATGGCAAAGGGGTGGCGCACGTATCAAATGCCCCACAATCCTCCAGAACAGCCTGGAATACGTATTAAGTATATAATTTGACTTAAGTATGCAAACGTTCAAGAACTATTAGCCCAAAGTTGTCTAGAAAGTCAAATATTTATAGGCTTTTGGAAACCAGCAAAAAGAAGCTGCCATAGCTGCTGGAAGAAAAATTTACTCATCGATGGATTTTTATCCAAATGCTTGGATGTACACGGATCAATCAACGGACAAAGATCTACCATATGCAATTATCACAAATCAGGACCTTTTCGAGAGCACTGTAAACAGCATGCAGTTCACTGGTGGAAGTGATACGGTCGTTGAGTGAGTCAAGCTTTGTATCGAAAGTTAGGCTTATTATTAGGCTTTCCAAGTCTTTTCATTCTTTTATTTATAGTTAAATACCTAGCTTTTTGTGCTCTATCTTTTATCTATAGACACAAAGATAGATTTCCTTAGCTAAAGTCACTAAAACGCATCATTGAGCCTACTTTTTGACTATTTGACTTCACGCTCTCAAAAGAATCCAGAAATAAGACATTTTAAACCCGTTTTAATGTGATTTTACAAAGAAATATTTGGCCTTTCTAATGAAAGAAACCGTAGTTCAATTGGTTTATTTGTTGGTTTTAAATGGAAATATGAAAATAAACGAAAAGACTTTCTGGACAGCCTAATATCTTTTTGTTGTTAAAAACCTTTTTTCTTTGCTTTACCAAACCAACTTACACTGAATATAAGATGCTCCATTGTTGATGAATGCACGAGATTGGTTTGTATCGTAGTTCGTAGTTCAATCGTAGTTCAATTGGTGAACTTGTTATATTTATATGAAAAGGAACAAAAAGACCTTCTGGACAGCTTAATAGACGGCTTTTCACTGATAGAACTGTTCAAATTTTGAAGATTTCAGTCTCCTGGGTTTCATAAAGCTTTACAATATGAGATTGTCAGTTATTATAAAGTCTCAGTGTCTAAAATTCAACTTGCACTTACAATCAATGTATTGAAACTTAAATATTTGCCTATCAAGGCTAGATATCTTTCATCTTTCATCAAAACTGGCAATGTTAACGGATCAATTTTGTCGGCTGAGATTTAAAGGAAAAGTCTTGCTTGCTACTGTAAGACTAAAAAAGACTAAAATACTGTAGCAAGACTAAATACTGACTACTGTAATAGAACTTTTCACTGTGGAAAGAGTTTTTGTAGCTGGCTGTAGCTGTGAAAAGAGTAATTCTATCCCTTTAGTGCGGTCAAGCGAATGAATGATCCTAGACTCTATTCTTGGCCGTTGATGGTTTTGTTCACTGGCAGGTATGACAAAGCTTTGACTCTAGGCTTTGGTTTTGTCTTGATAAGATTTAACAAAAAGTTTTAACTTAAACATTCATTTCCAGTGACCAATCATCAATTGACAAAGCCAGTTCAATCTACATTCGAAGAAATTTCACGATTGGTGTGGGATTGAGCGGTGAGTTCAGGAAAGAGACCAAGAAAAGAAAAATGACCAAAAAAAAACAGTAAACAGTCAAGCGAATCTTTAGGGAATTGCTGGCAATACTGGATAATACCAAAGTACCTCCAAAATAAATCCAACATCCAAAATAACAAATCCAAAATAACAAATCCAAAATTCCAGGACAAACAATGAGCTCAATCTCTGCTCTTTCCGCAACTTTTGCCAATCTTCCCGATGCTTTGCTTTCCTTGTGTCAAAATCCACCACCATATCCTGGATCGCTATAGAAAAAAAGATCATTTACATTTCACTTGAATAGAATAAAATGCGTTTCAATTTCAATTGAATTGTATTTTTATTGCATTTTGATTGATTGCTTTCTTGCTTATTACAATTCTATCAGAATTTTGATTATTTAGCAAGTCAAAGGGTTGGAAACACAAATGAAATGGATTTCTCAATCAAAAATCAATGAAAAATGATCCTTTAAAGTGAAAAGGAAACTATATTAGATGTCATTTCGAGCCACATATTAGCTAGGGACAATTCCCGGTCAATCAATCAATGGCCAAACATTTTACCATAAGAAATTACATTTACACTTAGCATTTCATTCTTCAAAAGATAAACCTTTAACTTTCTATTATTTTCTTATTCTTTCTGAAACGAATGGCATTTTTCTTTCCACGATTGCCAAACGAACTGCAATCTCTTGCCATCAACAGAATCTCTTGCCATCAACAGAATGTCTTGCAATCAATAGAATGTCTTGCAATCAACAGAATGTCTTGCCATCAACAGAATCTCTTGCCATCAACAGAATGTCTTGCAATCAATCGAATGTCTTGCAATCAACAGAATGTCATTTCTGGGTAAAATCTAAAATTTCTTATTGCAAAAAACGACACAAAGAAAATCTTTTCGTTCCTTTTCATATTTTCGTTTAAAACCAACAAATACACCAATTGAACTACGGTTTGTTTGATTAGAAAAGCCAATTATTTTCCTGCAAAGTAACATTAAAACCGCTATTTGTTTCACAGTGCCACCTGTGAAGGAAGGCAGAGTGGTCTGTTGCCCGTAACCGGATTACATTATGCTCCTTGGGGCCCCGGCTTTGGAGACAGAGTTTGTAGGAGCTTGCTTCTCGCTTGGTCGGTGCCTAACCCAGTGATGGAAGGCGGCGCCCGGAGCCATGGGCTGACCCGGGTCGATTGTATGAATAGCCCCGAGCAGCAAAAAGCCGAAAGGTTGACCGAAAGGATGTTGTGGAATGACCCACAGTCTCCCATGAGGGATACCGCTGAAGTTCGTGGGATCGCCACTATTTCGCACTGCCACCCGTGGAGGGAGGCAGAATGGTCTGTTGCTCGTAACCGGATTACAATTATGCTCCCTTTGGGCTCCGGCTTCCGTCAGCTGTCCGCTACTCGACAGTCGTCTAAATGGCGGAAGTTTGGACACCCCATTGGAGGAACCGGGAGGTTCCGTGGATCAGATCAATCCCTTTTAGCATCAACAAAGTGTAACTTCGGAGCATTCTCCTACTTACGCTGCGCGCACCTTAGCAAGCTGAGCATTCTTGCTGCAGGAGTCGGTGCCATCGCCAAGGACCAGACGTGGACCTCGGATCCCAAGAGTCTTCGGACTACAGGGTGGCGGAGTGCGAAGTTCAGCCACCTTCTCGTGGTGCACTCGGGGCACTTCCTGGAAACAGGAATTGCTAAAGAGCTGGACAAAAAAGGGAAAGAGCTTTTGGAAAAGTTCGAAAACTTTGAGAAAATTTGAAGCTTTGACCCTTTAAGTCTTTGAAAAAGCTTTAGTTTTTCAAAAAACTTCAAAAAAAAATTTTTCTTTTAGAGAATTCCTTTTTATCTTTTTTAGGTCAGAGAAAATCCAAAATAAGACTTTCTGGACAGCCTAATATTTGTACTTGGTTTCTCTAGTAACTTTATTTATAGCAACCTCTAGTAACCTTTATTTATAGCAACCTCTAGTAACCTTTATTTATAATTACAATTTTGGCATTTCTTTTGGTGACAAATGAAAACATTCAAAATAAAAACGTTCATAATAAAGAGATTGTCAAAACACTTCAAAGAAGACCCAATAACCCAAATAATACGGATTTCTTCAAAGTTCTTTTCAGCAACTTGTGCAATTTGGTAATAAAAGCATTCCAATCTTCAAGAGTTCTATTTTTCATTATTTTCTTGAAATTTGGGTTCTATTTTTCCAGAGATCAAGAGCTTTATACGTACTTTTCCTGGAAAGTACACAAAACCCAAAACGCGGAAATCATGGAGTTATCACTGCCAAGGGAGTGGTCACCGTTTGACATCAGAAGCGAGTTTCTAGTCTAAACATTTATCAGCACATTTTTCGATTGTGGCTAGCACTGATAAACACATCATTCATTAAAAAGCTCCCGTAAATTGAGGGTTCAATACTGAAATGAATCTTTTTTTTCTCGCTTTCGTTGTTCTGCAAGTTTTCTTGACTGATGCTCAAAATTGTCCAAATGGATATTCCTATCAAAGTGATCTTGGCGCTTGTCTCATGTATAAAACGATGAACGGTAAGTGATTCTACTGGCTTATTATTACTATTTTAAACTTGGTAATTTGTAACTTGAGTTAAATCTATAAGTATACATAGAAATAAAAAACGGTTTAGCTACCAACTGGTCAACAGCCTCTTCGTATTGTCGACAAAAACAAGGCAATCTTGTCTCAATCCACAACACCATTCAGAACAACATTTTGGCTCAACTTCAAAGAAGTAAGCAAAGCTTTGTATGCTCATTTTGTTAGGCTTCCAAAGTTTTATGTGCCCATACCAGCATCGACTTGCAAACCACTTTGAGAAGAAATTGAACAGACAGAAAAAGCATTCTTAAAAGAGGGCTCTGAATTCAGATCAATTTCAGCCTTGGGTATCACAGCATCTTGCTTTGACAGAATGTGGAATTTGTGGCAAAAGTACAGCCAAATTTAAGGCAAAAAATGATCCCAGCATAGTGACGAGCAAAGCGGCGAAACCAGAGCCCAAATGCTGAGCTCTGGGAAAAGTTCCGGCGGCGTCTCTGATCTTTACGGCGGCACATTTGATCTTTCCCGTAAAACCTCTATGATTTTCCCGCGTAGTAACTTTACCTTGGAAAGTTCCTCGGAAAGTTCCGGCGGAGTTTTACCGGAAACTTTCTTGAAGAAAAGCACGCTCCGGGGGGAAAACCATGGAGGTTTTATCGGAAAGATCAAAGGATTAAGATTAGAGATCCCGCCGGAATTTTTCACAGATACGGGCTCAACCCAGTCGCACACCGCTTCTTTCCCTTTACGGATTCCAAAATGGAAGCACCCTATATTTTTTTTTTCTTTTGCTTTGTAGAAGTACAAAAGTAAAAAAAAGTAGCTGAAAACAAAGTGGTTCTGAATGTGCGAATCGCTGAATTATAGTGCTTTCCTCTCCGCTAATGCGTTTTCTAAAACACACCCTTTTTAGAAAACTAGACAACTAGACTACCTTAGACAAACTGCCAGTTTCCATTCAATCATTCAATTCAAAAAAAAAAGTAAAATAAATACAAAAAAAAGATATTCAGCTGTAAGTTTTCGGGGTCGGGGAATCGATTAGAGCTTTACATTGGATTGAGTCTGCCAAATGGAACTCGGGTTTGATTGGTCTACAATTTTAGATAAATTTTGACCCCTCTTTTAAGTTAATTGAATAGTTGCCTGAATCGTCTCTATTCCCAATAATTTTTCAGATATAACCGGTTTTGACGCCGAATTCTGGCTGGGTGCTACATTGAGCGCAAACGGATCGTGGAGTTGGTCTGATGGGACACCGTTTGACTATCAACAATTTCAGCAATCGTGTGAGATTTACAAATTATATTCTTTGCCAAACGCTAGCACTTTTTCAGCCGAGAAAGGCAATAATGCAGTCTTGGATTCGAAAGATCGCCTATGGAAAATCAAAGAACTGTCAGTGGCAAGGAATTTCTTTTGTGAAGCTTTAGTGTTGACAACCACTGCTCAACCCGTCACCTCTCAACCCTAGTCTGCTTGCCTGGTCAGCTTCAAAAACCTATTCATTAAAAGTTGATTTCAGTTGAACAACAACCTCTGTACAATTGTAAAAACGGTTGGCAATACTCGCCAGACACGGGATATCAATATTTGGTAGGTGAAGGTTGTAGTCGGCTTGAATTTTGCCTGCCATGATAGGTGATTTACGATACAAATGACACCATGGCTCAAGCCGCTTGTCAAGCCCAAGGAGCTCAGCTTGCATCAATTCACAGTCAAGCAGAAAACGATTTCATTACAGGTATAGTTCATAATCAGTGTTTCAAAGATATTAGGCTGTCCAGAAAGTCTTTTCTTTCGTTCCTTTTCGTAGTTTCGTCGAAAAATAACAAATTTATTAATTAACTAATCGAATTCCCCAAGGAAATTCCCCGAGTCCAGCATACGGACTCTGGGCTGATTTTACTGCAAGCTAGGCCTGGGCCACAGACTCTAGAAGCTGATTGGACCTTCCAATTGGAACATCTTATTAAAACATTTCAAGATCTCTGTTGTGAAAATGGATGCGATTTCACGGAGCACGATGGCGGCGCTTTTGGATGGTACCTTACTGGAGGATTTAAAGTATTACTCATGCAATTTCAAGTTTTCAACAACTTTTTCAGCAAAGTGGATCCTATCAATGGATTGATGGTACTCCGTTTGACTTTCAGGGAGATATTTGTGAGAATGATGGTAGTGGCTCGAAGCTCATTGTGAGTTTGTAGTCGAATAAATCGATGAGAAATAGCATAGCATCAAAAATAATTCATTTAAGCACATCTAGCTTTATAACTTGCACCATTTTTTTCTCAAGTTCTCAAGGACAAACTGTCATCAGCTAAATTCAAAGTGTAGTCGAAAATATTAGGTACTTGGAAAAGAAACCGCGGATTACTTCTGAGGGCAAAAGTTTTTTTTGTTTGAAAGTGTGATGGTCCGGTTTAAATTGTATTCGATTGTATTATTCTTGCTGATTTATTTTAATTATTTTCGTAACTACTACTGTCATAATTCAAGGTACAAGATCACGGATCAAAAACTCGTGTTGCGGGCGTGTCTTCTCTATGACTTCAAAATGAAGAAATTAGCATCGGAGTCGCACCTGAATCTTTGTGAAGCATTCGGAGAAAACATTTTGAGTGGAAGGAGTTGCCAGGAATGGTTTCGACGTTTTCGTGAAGGGGATGAGAACTTGGAAGATGAGCGTCATGGATATCGTTCAGTTGTCCTCGATAATGCGGCGTTGCTGGAGATTGTCGAGTCGGATCCAACTCAAACTTTGCCCGGATTAGCCGGATACTTCAAATGTGATCCAAGCACAATTTCTCAACACTTTTCGCTCATTGGAAAAAGGAATCGTTGTGAGCAATAGGTCCCACATGAATTATTCCCTGAAAACAAAGCCAATAGAGTCTTATTGTCTCGGATTCTATTGAAAAAGGCTACGGGAAGTGCTATTTTAAGCCCGTTAAGCGCTGACAATGCCCGGGTACACACATCAAACTTGGCTCAAAAGAAGATAGAAGAATCAGCCTGAAAACTTGTGCCTCATCCACCTTATTCGCCTAATATTGCTCCCTCAGATTACCACTTATTCAGATCGATGCAGCACTCTCTTGCAAATCAAAAGTTTAACAATCCTCAAGAAGTCGAAATTTGGGTGCAAGATTACTTTGCGTCGCTGGACCCCGAATTTTTTGAATCAAGCACCCGAAGTCTACGCAAAAAATGGAAGAACATAGTTGGTAATGATGGTGAATGTCTTTTGGAATAATGTTGTTTTCTTATTGATTTTTTGGTTGTTCGAATTTTGGTTATAATCCGCTTTCTCTTTTGCAAGTACCTAATATTAACAAGTTCGAGGTTTTGTTCAACTTTTCTTTAAGATCTATAACTATGACATAAATTGTCATCGCAGCAATTGTGGACGCGGAATTTGGGGGCTCTTGGCACCGGTCTCTTGGATTCCGCCATACGTGGTCTGCAAGAAGAAGTGATTGTTCAATTAAATGTTTCAATAAATGTCAGAATCTTCTCAAAACAGTTCAATTATACATGATTTACAAAACTTATTTAAAAAATTACATTTACTACAAATTTTAGCCGATCTCACCAGAGTTCCACCATGCTGATTCAATTTGATTCTCGAATCTGTATCAAAGCATTATCTTTTGCATTCGGCTGAAAAAATTCGCAAACAAAATAATCGCCAAGCCTATGACTCAATTTGATAGTTTGATCTGAGCCGATAAATTTCGCAAATTCTCATAAGAAACGAAGCAGTCGATAGGCTTTTGCGTAGAATAAAAGCAAGGTACAAAAAAAAAGAAACGTAATATCAGCCTAATAGTTTTTATCAGCTTTTCCTCAAAGAAACGCAACAATCTTGATAAATAAAATTTTCTCCGTGAAAGAATTTCCAAAATTTTGACAGAAAAACGATGAAATTGTATTTTTCTTTTCTGATCTTTGTTGCCTACATCTTTGTTGTGATCTTTGTTGATTCAATCTGTTATCTATTATCTAAAACGAGCTCGAGATTTGCCTCATCCAGCAATGTTTTGATGAGCTTTCAATTTACCTGGTAAAGAATTAGACGCTTTTACACTTTCACTTTTGAGAAAAGCCTATTGAAATTGAAATTGGACGGCTTAACCGCAAGATATTTAGTTGGATTGCCAATGGCGAAGGGGCGGGGCTTATCAGACAACCTTTTATACGGCCCCGCCTCTTTGGCATTAGCTCAACTTTGAGCTTGGTGTGGGGCTGTCCAATTTAAATATTCTTGGTATCATTAGATGCGCCAAGTCTTTTTCTATCGATTGGTACAAAAACTATTGAAATTGGACAGCTCAACCACAAGATATTTGAGCTCAAAGTTGGATTACCAATGGAAAATGGGCAGGGCGCGTATCAAATGTCTCATAATCAAAAAAAATAACGCAGCTTTCAACCGGTTATTGTTTATATTTCAAATCTAACTTAACAGATACAATATTTTATTTTAAATTGTTGCCAGAATGCTTAAAAAGTCATGAAAACGGTTTCCAATATTTCGTTGGCCTCTTCGTCGTATTAGATCTTTTGGAAGCCAGCGCTCTATCACCCGTTTCCACCACGCAAGCACCGCAAGCCTGTCTACCTGGTCACTCTTGAATGGACTTTCATCGTTTCATTGAACTTCAATTTTTTGGTTCCACTTAAACCGGCTTGGTTCTTTGGATTGTGACAAGTTTGACGGCGTTGTTTTGAACATTTTCTATTCGGCGCTGTTCGAACTAGATCCCTTTTATTGTTATTGTTGCGAAAAGTGCTTTGAGTGCTTTGAGTGCGTTGAGACTACGATCGGTACACTTTTGGATGGTATCTCATCGGAGGGTAAATCGTACAAACTCCAACGAATGTGCACAAACCTGCTTAGATAAATGGAACAATTCAATGGAGCGATGAAAGTCCATCTGACTATCAACAAGACTCTTAATTACGGTCTGTTGCCCGCAACCGGGCAACAGACCGTAATTATGCTCCTTCGGGCCCCGGCTTTCGTCGGCTGCCCGCTACTTGACAGTCGTCTGGATGGCACAAGTTTGGACACCCCATTAGAGGAACCGTGAGGTTCTTAAACAGACTGGGGATATCATCAATCTCTTTTAGCATCAAAAAAGTGTAACTTCGGAGCATTCTCCTACTTAAGCTGCGCGCACCTTAGCAAGCTGAGCATTCTTGCTGCGGGAGTCGGTGCCATCGCCAAGGACCAGACGTGGACCTCAGATCCCAAGAGTCTTCGGACTACAGGGTATTGAAACAGTGATGGTTGAAACAGGGCAACTTACATGATCTGTAAAAAGCAATAAACTAGACAAAGTAGACTATTTTGATCATTTGAAAACTTTTTCTGCTTTTCTATGTTAAATAAAAATTGATTAAAGGCAATTTATTGATGACAAATGAAAAAATTCAATGCACAATAAAAAAATTGAATAAAGGTTTGAAAAGGCTTTTGAAAAAACGCAAGAAAACCAAAAAAGATTAAAGTGCTTCCAAGTGCTTCCTATTTTGCACCAAGTTTACCTGCTCTTGAAGTGACGAATTAGTTGTTTATTCAATTTTTAAATGTCTTAATAACAATTCCAAGTTTTTGATATAAAAGTTGATAAACTTAAAGATTTAACACTCTAAAATGTTTCTCTCAGTAGTTTTGCTTCTCATTGCTCGAGTAGTCAGCGAAAAAGAGAAGCCTGGAGGTGAGTGTGTTTTCTGAATTCATTTCAGAGCAGTTTTAGCTTACGTTGTCCCACCGCTGCCTGGGAATGTGCTTCCTATTTCGCACCAAGTTTACCTTTGGGTACGGTATGTCTTTTAAAATAATGCAAAAGATTGGCAAAAGATCGAAAAAATATATTTAGAAATATATTTATACTTTGAACTTTATAATTTCTTGTGAGACTCCGTGTGTTTCAATGGTAGATTTCTTGAAAACGCACAATCTATCGAAACTTTCCCTTATTAGGTCAAACTTCGCTCAAACTGGAGCAACCTGGCACTATCACAATTACTTCAACACTTGCGTGGGAAAAAAAGAATTGAATCCACTTGTATACTCTAATGTAAGAACATAGAGAAAATTTGTGTCAAAGTTGAACTACCTACCTGGAAGAGTTGATCAACTTTGACGGTCTATAACTCGAGGTATAGGAATTGAATCTACTTGTAATCGCTCTTAAAAGAATCCTCATTAAATTTGGTTGTAGAAAAGTAGACTTGCTTTTGTATACTTATGTATAAATAGTAGCCAGGATCTCGCGAATTTCAGTCTAGAGGCACGAGCTCCTCGAGGCTAAACTTGGAATTGTTATTAAAACATTTAAAAATTAAATAAACAACTAATTTGTCACTTCAAATTTCAATGCTTTTTTGGTTTTCTTGTGTGAAATTATCCGTTTGTAGCTCGGATTTTTCCTCTAAACTTGCGCATTTAATTCTCAAGATATCGTAACGTAAAATATCGTAAAAAAAAAAACAGTCAATAAATCGCTCGCGTTGGACAATTTAAATGCTTTTATCATGAGGGGTCGGGGTATCAGTATTTGTGGAACACCCTGTAGAAATGCCAAATTTACGAATTTTCACATTTACGAATACGAAACGTGCATTTTAAGCGAACCTACTAAGTGTATCTTTTTGGAAATTTGGTTTAGAGCCTAATTTTTGATTCTCTACAACTTTTCGATTGACACCAAAATGGGTTTCTTTTGAAGAAAGTGCTCAAACTGGGACATCTACAGTTCTCCATTTTTGAGTCTCACACTTGTCTCACACACAAACCAAAATCCTACTACGAAAGAGGAATCCGCAAATTGCCTGTAAAATGGGCAGAAGTCGTCAATAATAATGGAAATTATTTGGAATGAATTGATGGTTTTATGTTGAATAAATTTTAGTTCCAGTCCAGCAGTTTTCAATTCACCAACCCAATATATCCACTTTTCATCGATCGTTAACGGGCTTAAAATAGCACTGCCCGTAGCCTTTTTCAATAGAATCCGAGACAATAAGACTCTATCGGCTTTGTTTTCAGAGAATAATTCATGTGGGACCCATTGACCACAACGATTCCTTTTTCCAATGAGCGGAAGGTGTTGAGAAATTGTGCTTGGATCACATTTGAAGTATCCGGCTAAACCGGGCAAAGTTTGAGTTCGATCCGACTCGACAATCTCCAGCAACGCCGCATTATCGAGGACAACTGGACGATATCCATCAGGCTCATCTTCCAAGTTCTCATCCCCTTCACGAAAACGTCGAAACCATTCCTGGCAACTCCTTCCACTCAAAATGTTTTCTCCGAATGCTTCACAAAGATTCCCGTGCGACTCCGATGCTAATTTCTTCATTTTGAAGTCATAGAGAAGACACGCCCGCAACACGAGTTTTTGATCCGTCATCTTGTACCTAAAATTATGTAATATTCACTGCTAGTAATAGTTGCGAAAATAATTAAAATAAATCAGCAAGAATAATACAATCGAATACAATTTAAACCTGAACATCACACTTTCAAACAAAAAAAACTTTTGCCAAAATGGGTTTCTTTTGAAGAAAGTGCTCAAACTGGGAAATCTGCAGTCCTCGATTTTTGTCTCACCCACAAACCAAAATCCTACTACGAAAGAGGAATCCGCAAATTGCCTGTAAAATGGGCAGAAGTCGTCAATAATAATGGAAATTATTTGGAATGAATTGATAGTTTTATGTTGAATAAATTTTAGTTCAAAGTCTCACAGTTTTCAATTCACCAACCCAATAGATAATTTTGGTTTTGTTATTTATTCAAGCAGTAGCGCACAGGTCTGGCCTCATCTAGTGAATTCAAGGGAAAGCATAGTAATTCGTAATATAGAGCAAATTAGTTTTGTTACATATCTTGAATTTGTATTTTTCTCTACGCGATTACGGTACTTTTTCTCGGGGATGCGTTTTAGAAAACCTATCAATCGAACACTCTAATGCATGCCAAACATGCCAAACTTGATCAGACTCTTAGTCGTTTTCTTTGAGATAATGACAAGGCAATTTTTGCAAGTGTGCAAACGTGGCATTTTATTTCATTTCTATTTCTAATTGAATTGTAGCACAATCCTCCTTAAGAACAAAAATCCTCAAAAACGAGTTGACACTAAAAGTAATTGTCATTAATACGGTCCGCCGGTGGGCCGTATCTTTGTGAATGGGTTAAAAATGAAAACAAAGTCGTTATGAAAAGCCGAAAATTTTATCTCCAAAATACATCGCAAACTTTACATTACAATCAATCTTTTACAAAATAAAAAGCCCAATCGCAACACTCAGAAAATTCCCAGACGACGTCGTAATTTTTGAGACTCGTCCGTGAATTGCTAAACATTATAATTTAGATAACTATGTATCGAAATTACCTTCTCCTGGCGTTCGGGGAAATGTTTCTTCAAGAGATTTGTTGATTTGTTACGAATATTCTTGTTCATATTCATTGTCCCTTCAACCAGAAAACGATAGTGAGCTGAAGAGTCACAGTTCGTCTAAAAACAAATCGTTTTCATGCAATTTTAACCAGAATTTAGCTATTTTTCAGAATTTTTAACCAGAATTCAGCTATTCAGTTATTTTTAATTGATATTACTTTTTCTTTAAAGCCTAGCTTACCTGTTTGTCCTCAAAGAGTTCAACTCGTTCATCGAACAAACCCTCGTCGAGCTCTACTTGGTAATAACCATATCCGATGTTGAAATTGGGACTTTTAGGCAAGGAGCTCACGAGCAGCTTCAAATTTTGTGATTCTGTAATGGAGAGAAGATTCTAATCCAAATTAAAGAGTCTCACCTTTCGGGAGAACTTTAACGGAGTAGTTATTTTTGCTGCAAAGCAAGTCTTCGTGGATAAACAAAGGAATGTCCCAACGTTCACTGGAATTGATTCAATCAATTCAACTGCTTTATTGATCAATAAGCTGTTTTTTTAAATATTTTTTAAATCTTTAAATCTTTTTCGAATGAAAACAAACCTTTTCGGACGCACTTGACTCTGATTGTGACATAAATTGTGATGTGATATTGTGATAAAGAATCCAGTGCGCTAGGCTAGGCTTGTTTACTCCAGTGCGCTAGGCTAGGTTTGTTTACTCCAGTGCGTCAGGCTAGGTTTGCTTGCTCCACTGCGCCAGTGGAACAAGCACCCTTTTCCGCTACTCGACTCTTGTGTCAGAATATAATTTTCCCCATTCTTTGAAATCGAAACAATTGGGAAACCAGCCTGAAAATTTCCATGCAATAGAGCAAGATCGTTGCAAATTTATTGGATTGAGGAGAATGAAATGGCGCCAAAATTTAAAGCCAATTCTTTGCACGCGATCTGATAAACACTGATATCAAACGCGTATTATTTTACGAAGTCCCTTGCTTAGTAATTGATTAGAAAAGTTAGTAATTCCTGGATTTTCGGCGCTATTTCATTCTCCCCAACCCAATATAGAGTGACCGCTAATTCTAGCTACAACTTCTTGAAAAAGTCTCTGCGAAATGTCTAATTTATTTCAAATGTAGAAAGTGTTATATAGAGAATTAAAACCCTAATTCTCGACAACATTTATCTACCAAAAGCTTTCCGATTGGACCTATACAACTCATTTAACAAGTGCTTGAATGAGCGCTAGTCGACATCTCTCCAGCGAATCTGTCATTTAGCTGCTTTTCTCTATTAAAAGTCTGCTAGAAGTTTTAGAAATTTCTTTAATTTTCGGCCTCATTTCATTCTTTTCAATTCAATACATATCTAAACACAAAACTAATTCTTAAAGCTTTACATAGACGTTGGTCGAGCTTTACATAGACTTTACATATTGGGTTGGGGAGAATGAGTCGGCGCCAAACTCTAAAGGGACTTTTTGCACACATAAAGCCTTCTTTAAACATACGTTTGGTTTCATCAAAAGGATCCACTATTTCTCTACAAAATCACTTTTGAGAGATCCCACAAAGCTTTTCTTTCGTGGAGTTTATGAACTTCCAAACGCAGCTGGTTAAAATGGAAAGAGTCCGACTCATCATTTGAACAGTTTCTTTCACATAAACCTTCTTTGGTGTTTATATAAAAAAGATAGAGCACATTCAATTACTTAAGTTGCCAAAATGGCAGGAAGATCCCACCAATGGTTTTTTCTATATGACAGTTTGTAGTCTTTGTGAAAAAATGGCTTTTTCTTGAGCGGAGGCGCTGTTTGAATTTTCTTTTGTCATTTTGTAGTAAATTAGTTAACCATTCTACTGATCTCAAACGCATATTATTTACGCATTCTCAAACGAAGTCGAATAGAAGTTTTAGACATTTTTTTCATTTTCGGCGCCGACTCATTCTCCCCAACCCAATAGATCTAGGTTATCAATTTTCTTATTAAGGGTTTGGGTAAGCCTAGTTTAAAAAAAAGAGCTTACTTGATGAGTCGTAACCGAATCGAGTGATATTGATTTTAGCGAGTTCTCCGTGTTGATCTTGGAAAAACATTTTGAAAGAGGCGAAGAATTGTGTAGTGACCACAGATTTGTAGGCGTTGGCTTCCAAGTGTTCCTAAATCGATTTCAAAAATGTGCTGGACTTCAAAAAAGGATTAGAATCAAGTATGTTATAAGCTAAATTTCCTTGTTTTTTGTTTTTTGAAATTCCTTGTTCTTTTATATTAGGCTGTCCAGAAAATCTTTTCGTTTACCCAAATTTTCAATTAAAACAGCTACCAAACTTTTGTAAGGTTAAAATTAAAGATCAATATCTTGAGCTCGAGCTTGAACTTAAGATCAATATCAATATCAACACCGGCACAACTTTTTATTTTGGCAAGTTGATGGAAGAAATTCTTGAGCTACCGTACTGAGTACCGAGTTAAATTTCATTTTTTCCGAATTCACGTTTTTTTAGTTTGTTTATCAGCTTTATCTTATCATTATTTGTCAAAACATCATGCATTTCTTCAAAATTTCAAATGAATTTTTATAACACAGTACTACTGTATTTTGCCTACTGTATTTTGAAACAATTTCAAGTCTAAAAGCCTTTTATCTCTTTTGGAATCAGCTTTTGTTTGAAAATACACACAAAAATTTACTTTCTTTCTTTCTGGCCAGCCTTCTGGCCAACCTTCTGGCCAACCTTTTTAGCTTTCTGGCCAGCCTTTCTGACCAGCTTCTAACCAACCTTTTTGGCCAGCTTTCTGGCCAACAGTCTGGCCAACCTTCTTGGCTTTCTGGCGAACTTCAAAGAAGACCCAATAACCCATATAATACCGATTTCTTCAAAGTTCTGTTCAGCAACTAGTGCAATCTGGTAATAAAAAGCATTCCAATCTTCAAGCGTGCTATTTTTCATTATTTTCTTGAATCTTGGGTTCTATTTTTCCAGAGATCAAGAGCTTTATACGTGCTGTTTCTGGAAAGTACACAAAACACAAACCGGAAGTTATCACGGCGAAGAGAGGGATCACCGTTTGGCATCAAAAGCCAGTTTTTAATCTAAGAATTTATCAGCACACTTTTGGATTGAGGCTAGCACTGATAAACACATCATTCATTAAAAAGCCCCCGTAAATTGACGTTTCAAAGCGGAAATGAATCTTTTTTTTCTCGCTTTTGTTGTTCTGCAAGTTTTCTTGACTGATGCTCAAAATTGTCCCAATGGGTATTCCTATCAAAGTGATCTTGGCGCTTGTCTCATGTATAAAACGATGAACGGTAAGTGATTCTACTGGCTTATTATTACTATTTTAAACTTGGTAGTTTGTAACTTGAGTTAAATCTATAAGTATACATAGAAAAAAAAAACGGTTTAGCTACCAACTGGTCAACAGCCTCTTCGTATTGTCGACAAAAACAAGGCAATCTTGTCTCAATTCACAACACCATTCAGAACAACATTTTGGCTCAACTTCAAAGAAGTAAGCAAAGCTTTATGTGCTCATTTTGCTAGGCTTTATGAGTCCATTTTGCTAGGCCTCAAAAGCTTTATGTGCCCATACCAGCACCGATTAGCAATCCACTTTGCGAAGAAATTGAGCGGACAGAAAAAACCTCCTTAAAAGAGTCCTCTAAATTCAGATCAATTTCAGTCTTGAGTATCACACCATCTTGCTTTGACAGGATGTGGGATTTGTGGCAAAAATACAGCTTAAATTCAAGGCAAAAATTGACCCCAGAAATTCGTGGAACGCGTAAATCGGCGAAACCAGAGCCCAAATGCTAAGCTCCGGGAAAAGTTCCGGCGGCCTTTCTGAGCTTTGATCTTTCCAGTAAAACCTCCATGATTTTCCCGCGTAGTAACTTTTCCTTGGAAAGTTCCTCGGAAATTTCCTCGGAAAGTTCCGGCGGAGTTTTATCGGAAACTTTCTTGAAGAAAAGCACACTCCGGGGGGAAACCCTGGAGGTTTTATCGGAAAGATCAGAGATGCCGCCGGAACTTTTCAGGGATACGGGCTCAACTCAGCCGCACACCGCTCCTTCCCCTTTACGGATTCCAAAAGGGAAGCACTATATTTTTTTTTCTTTTGCTTTGTAGATGGTACAAAAAGAAGATATTCAGCTGTAATTTTGTACCCAGGGGTTTTCGGGGTCGGGGAATCGATTAGAGAGATACATTGGCTTGAGTCTGCCAAATGGAACTCGGGTTTGATTGGTTTAAAATTTTAGATAGATTTGGACCCCTCTTTTAAGTTAATTGAATAGTTGCCTGAATCATCTTCATTCACAACAATTTTTCAGATATAACCGGTTTTGACGCTGAATTCTGGCTGGGTGCTACATTGAGCGCAAACGGATCGTGGAGTTGGTCTGATGGGACACCGTTTGACTATCAACAATTTCAGCAACCATGTGAGATTTACATATTATATTCTTTGCCAAACGCTAGCACGTTTTCAGACGACAAAGGCAATGTTGCAGTTCTGGATTCGAGAGATCGCTTATGGAAAATCAGAGAACTCTCAGTGGCAAGGAATTTCTTTTGTGAAGCTTTAGTGTTGACAACCACTGCTCAACCAGTCACCTCTCAACCCCTAGTCTGCTTACTTGGTCAGCTTCGAAAACTTCGATTCATTAAAAGTTTTGATTTTAGTTGAACGACAACCTTTGTACAATTGTAAAAACGGTTGGCAATACTCGCCAGACACGGGATATCAATATTTGGTAGGTGAAAGTTGTAGTCGGCTTGAATTTTGCCTGCCATGATAGGTGATTTACGATACAAGCTCCACCAAGGCTCAAGCCGCTTGTCAAGCCCAAGGAGCCCAGCTTGCATCAATTCACAGTCAAGCAGAAAACGATTTCATTACAGGTACAATTTATAACCAGTGTTTCAAAGATATTAGGCTGTCTGAAAAGTCTTTTCTTTTGTTCCTTTTCGTAGTTTCGTTGAAAAATAACAAATTTATTAATTAACTAGCCGAATTCCCCAAGGAAATTGCCCGGGTCCAGCATACGGACTTTGGGCTGATTTTACTGCAAGCTAGGCCTAAACCTGGCTTAGGCCTGGGCCACGGACTCTAGAAGCTAATTGGACCTTCCAATTGGAACATCTTTTTAAAACATTTCAAGGTCTCTGTTGTGAAAATTAATTAATCGCATTCCCCGAGCAAATTTCCCGAGTCCAGCATACGGTCTGATCTTACTGCAAGCCAGGCTTGAACCTGTCTTAGGCCTGGGCCATAGACTCTAGAAGCCAATTGGAATATCTTATTAAAACATTTCAAGGTCTCTGTTGTGAAAATGGCTGCGATTTCACGGCGCACGACCACATGACTTATGGATGGTACCTTACTGGAGGATTTAAAGTATTACTCATGCAATTTCAAGTCTTAAACAACTTTTTCAGCAAAATGGATCCTATCAATGGATTGATGGTACTCCGTTTGACTTTCAGGGAGATATTTGTGAGGATGATGGTAATGGTTCGATGCTCATTGTGAGTTTGTAGTCGAATAAATCGATGAGAAATAGCCAAGCATCGAAAATAATTCATTGAAGCATATCTAGCTTTATAACTTATACCATTTTTTTCTCAAGGTCACCAACTATGACACAAACTGTCATCGGCTAAATTTAAAGTGTGGTCGAAAATATTAGGTACTTGCAAAAGAAACTGCGGATTACTTCTGAGGGCAAAAGTTTTTTTTGTTTGGAAGTGTGATGTTCCGGTTTAAATTGTATTCGATTGTATTATTATTGTTGATTTATTTTAATTATTTTCGCAACTATTGTTATCATTGAACATTACATTATTTTAGGTATAAGATGACAGATCAAAAACTCGTGTTGCCGGCGTGTCTTCTCTATGAGTTCAAAATGAAGAAACTAGCATCGGAATCGCAGATAGAGTCTCACTAGAATCTTTGTGAAGCATTCGGAGAAAACATTTTGAGTGAAAGGAGTTGCCAGGAATGGTTCCGACGTTTTCGTGAAGGAGATGAGAACTTGGAAGATGAGCCTCATGGATATCGTCCAGTTGTCCTCGATAATGCGGCGTTGCTGGAGATTGTCGAGTCGGATCCAACTCAAACTTTGCCCGGATTAGCCGGATACTTCAAATGTGATCCAAGCACAATTCCTCAACACCTTTCGCTCATTGGGTCCCACCTGAATTATTCCCTGAGAACAAAGCCAATAGAGTCTTATTGTCTCGGATTCTATTGAAAAAGGCTACGGGCAGTGCTATTTTAAGCCCGTTAACGATCGACGAAAAGTGGATCTTTACAAACAGCTGAAGAAAGTTGCTGAAATTCTACGAGAAAAAGGTGTTAATCCAAGGACAATTCATTTGCTCGCTGACAATGTCCGGGTACACACATCAAAATTGGCTCAAAAGACGATCGAAGAATCAGGCTGGAAACTTGTGCCTCATCCGCCATATTCTCCTGATATTGACCCTTCAGATTACCACTTACTCCGATCGATGCAGCACTCTCTTGCAAAAAAGTTTAACAATCCTCAAGAAGTCGGAATTTGGGTACAAGTCTACTTTGCGTCGCTGGACCCCGAATTTTTTGAATCAGGCACCCGAAGTCTACGCAAAAAATGGAAGAACATAGTTGGTAATGATGGTGAATATCTTTTGGAATTATGTTGTTTTCTTATTGATTTTTGGGTTGTTCGAATGTTGGTTATAATCCGCAGTCTCTTTTGCAAGTACCTAATAGTAACAAGTTCGAGGTTTTGTTCAACTTTTCTTTAAGGTTTATAACTATGACACAAATTGTCATCGCCGCAATTGTGGACGCGGAATTTGGGAATTCTGGTCAACGTTCTACCAAGTTCCGCCATACGTGGTCTGCAAGAAGAAGTGATTGTTCAATTCAATGTTTCAATAAATCTCGAAACAGTTTAATAAATCTTCTCAAAACAGTTTAACTATGCATGATTTACAAAACTTATTAAAAATTTTACATTTACTACAGATTTTAGCCGATCTCACCGAGTTCTACCATGCTGATTCAGTTTGATTTTCGAATCTGTAGCAAAGCATTAACTTTTGCATTCGGCTGAAAAAATTTGCAAACAAAATAATCGCCAAGCCTATGACTCGATTTGGTATTTTGATCTGAGCCGATAAATTTCGCAAATTCTCATAAGAAACGAAGTAGTCGATAGGCTTTTGCGTAGAATAAAAGCAAGGTACAAAAAAAAGAAACGTAATATCAGCTTTTCCTCAATCAAACGCAAGGATCCTGATAAATACGTTTCTCTCCGTGAAAGAATTTCCGGAATTGTGACGGAAAAACGATGAAATTGCATTGTTCTTTTTCGATCTTTGTTGCCTATATCTTTGTTGTGATCTTTGTTGATTCAATCTGTTCAGCTCACTATTATCTATTATCTAAAGCGAGCTCGAGATTTGCCTCATCCAGCAATGTTTTGATGAGCTTTCAATTTACCTGGGAAAGAATTAGACGCTTTTACACTTTCACTTTTGAAAAGAGCCTTAGTCATGTTTAAAAGAAGAGCCAAAATCACTTTCACTTTCTAGGAATTGGTATTTGGTCAGCCAGCACTCTTCAAATCTAACTTAACAGATACAATATTTTATTTTAAATTCTTACCAGAATGCTTAAAAAGTCATGAAAACGGTTTCCAATATTTCATTGGCATCTTCGTCGTATTAGATCTTTTCAAAGCCAGCGCTCTATCACCCGTTTTGACCACGCAAGCGCCGCAAGCCTGTCTACCCGGTCACTCTTGAATGGATGGACTCTTGAACTCTTGAATTTCATCGTTTCATTGAACTTCAATTTTTTGGTTCAACTTAAATCGGCTTGGTTTTTTGGATTGTGAGAAGTTTGTCGGCGCTGTTTTAAACGTTTTCTATTCGGCGCTGTTTTAACAACATTCCTTTTATTGTTATAGGTCTTTGTTGCGAAAATGAGTGCGTTGAGACTACGATCGGTACACTTTTGGATGGTATCTCACCGGAGAGTAAATCGTACAAACTCCAACGAATGTGCATAAACATGCTTAGATGAATGGAACAATTCATTGGAGCGATGAAAGTTCATCTGACTATCAACAAGACGCATGAAGAGATGCTGGGAAAAGATCGTATCTTATAGTGAGAAGTATTTTCATGTCTTAAAAGTTTTAAAGTGTGAATGGGACTATTCTTCAAAGATGTTCAACTTCAACTCCAGTGATTGTAAGCTGTCAAAGGGGAAGCTGGTATTGGAACAGTGCTGGTTGGGACAGGGCAACTTACATGATCTGTAAAATGCAATAAACTAGACAAATTAAACTATTTTGATCATTTGAAAACTTTCGCTGCTTTTCTATGTTACATAAAAATTGATTAAAGGCAATTTATTGGTGACAAATGAAAAAATTCAATGTACACTAAAAAAATTGAATAAGAGTTTGAAAAGACTTTTTGAAAAACGCAAGAAAGCCCAAAAAGCATTGAAATTTGAAGTGACAAATTAGTTGTTTATTCAATTTTTAAATGTTTTAATAACAATTCCAAGTTTTTGATATAAAAGTTGATCAACTTAAAGATTTAACACTCTAAAATGTTTCTTTCAGTAGTTTTGCTTCTCATTGCTCGAGTAGTCAGCCAAAAAGAGAAGCTTGGAGGTTAGTGTGTTTTCTGCATTCATTTCAAAGCACTTTTAGCTTACGTCATCCCACCGCTGCCTGGGAATGTGCTTCCTATTTTGCACCAAGTTTACCTTTGGGTACGGTATGGCTTTTAAAATAAATGCAAAAGATTGGCAAAAGATCGGCGAAAGATTGCAAAAGATGAAATAATTCTTGATAAATTGCCTTTTATCTCTATAGATTCCATAATGTTTAATGTTTTAAAAGCTTTGTAAAAATCGTAAATGAGATCTAAACAGATTTTGAGCAAGTTAAGCGAGATCTTGACAAAGCTACCGTAGCCAAACCCAATTCCACTTTTCTTGTGGAAAAGTCGTTTCTTGTCCGATTGCTCTGAAATTTTGTCTACAGCTAGAAATCAGGAATTCTAGTGTAGATAGAATTCCAAATCAGGAATTCTATCTACACTATCCTTTAGCTATTCCAGAGTTAACCAGTTAGCCATTCTAAAGTTAATTTTAACACATATAATTCGATTTGGCCCACTAGACATAGCGAAATTCCAACCCGAACCTAATTCCACCTTTGTTTTCTTGGCCGATTGCTCCAAAATTTTGTCTACAGATAGAAATCGACATTTTCAGCTTGTAGACAAAATTTCAGAGCAATCGGACAAGAAAAGGCCGACAAAACGAGAGTGGAATTTGGTTTGAACTGGAATTTTCCCATGTCTACTCTCCAGTACTTTCTATCAGAATAAAGACTTGTTGAAATCTTGCAAATTCTTATGACCTACTATTGAAACCAACCTTAAGTAGATTATATTTCAAAATGAGCTCTTTTTCCAGATAGAGCCTGATCCACGTGCACACGCGCCATTGATTCGCGGAGATGTCAATATCACCGTGGAAGTGGTGAATGAAACTCGGGAAATCTTCTTGAACAGCAAGAATCTCATCATCCGTCAAGTTAAAGTCGACGGAAATAAGGTCGAATTTTTTGCTAAACAATCCTGTAAGTCAGCTGTTATTTTAAGAACTTTTAGGTTTCGTGGGAACAAGTAGAGCCTTATTTGCTAAATCTTCATTCAAATACTCTTCTCAGTAAAGCGTCAAAGCATCAAATTTGGGTTCTTATGACAAAATCAGCATCTCTTAATCCTCTTTAGATTGAATTTGACATCATAGATTCAAATCTTGCTGTCGCACTTGCGACGATTGGTATCAAAAGGGATAGCTACAACGACACGGATGGTCGAGTACGGTAGATATTTACACCAAAATCAACTATGATAAAATAACATTGAAAGTGATTTCAAAATATAATTAGCCAGCTTTTCAAAAGACTATTTTATTCAACTATTTCATTTGAAATTCATTCATTTGAAATTCATTCTTGTTCGGATATAAACGAGCGCTTGCACTGCTTAACTTCTGAGGAAGCCATTTCCCGCACCAAAACGCCTTTCCAATGGCGTGGAGATGCTCATCAATGGTAGAATTTGAAAATAGAAACTGTCGAGCAAGTTCACGCGTCGTTTGACATGGATCCGATTCGATTGCAGCCCTCAAAATATCGTTGTCTACCGCTTGAGGTAGACAACGATATTTTTGACGAGAGTGTTCATCATCCTCGAGACTTTCATCGCCGTTCCGAAAGCCTTGGAATCAGGCTCGGCATCGGCTTACGGACAATACATCATTCCCAAATACTTTGACCAAATCTCGATGGGATTCCGCAACTGTTTTGCCCAGTTTGAAGTCGTAAAGTAGGCAGACGCGAACTTGATATTTTAAGTCAGTCATCTAAAGCAAGAAAAAAGATCTTAAAAATAAGAAATTGTCCGTTTGAAAAGATTCCAAATATGCACAAGATAACGTACTTTTAAATACAGAAAAGACATGTTTTAAGAGCTTCTCTCACAACAATAAGTTTAGTAACGCTTGTTTATATCCGAACAACCTAATAGGTACTATGTGAGCACTCAAGGCGAAGAATTCGGCGCGCATCTCTATGTGCCGTGTTTCGACGATGTTAGCATGAAGGTAAAATATAATTGCTGGAGTACAAAAGTTAAAACGTTTAGAGCCAATGGTCGCTTACAATTAAACATCCGAAAAGCTACAAAGCACTCTCCAATGGAAAACTTCTGTCAAGGTATTGGGCTGACCAGAGAGTCTTTTCGTTCCTTTTTGTACTTTCGTTTAAAACAAACAAACAAATGGGCCAATTGCAGGGTCATTAGAAAGGCCAATTATTTCTTTGCAAAATCACATTAAAACGGATTTAAAATGTCTTATGCTTGGATTTTTTTGGGATCGTGAAGTCGGGTAGGTCAAAATGGTGACGGTTCGATGATGCGGAGACACTTTGGCTAAGGAAACCTATCTTGGTGTCAAAAAAAAAAAAAAAAAAATTTTAAAAAAAAAAAAAAAATAAAAAAAAATATAAAAAACAAAAATCTCTTTATAAATATTTTTATTTTTTTTAAAAAAAAAACCCACCACAACCAAAAAAAAAAACAAAAAAAAAAAATTTTTATAAAAAAAAAAAAAAAGATTGACTTAAAAAAATTAAATAATAAGTTTTTATAATTTAGAGCATCTTTTATTTAGGACAAACCATAGGTTAAATGGTGAATTTGTTATTTTTCAACGACAGTACGAAAAGGAATGAAAAGGCTTATTTACGAAAATTTATCGTGGGACCTGGCACCGGAGGTGGCCGAGGGGATAGCGCGTGGATCTGTAGCTCTGAGGGTTCAGGGTTCAGGTCCGATGGGTTCAGGCCCACATCGCGGGGTTCTCTTTAACTTTTTTGTGATTCAATGAAAGAAGTTGTATTTGCTATGAACACACTAAAAGATTGACAGACACTACGGTAAATGCCTGGAATTGCCATTGGCTTTAATACCTTATGGGCGCTCGAAATTCCCATTTAAAGTGTTCGTCTCTTCGTATTCTTTCGTAGTCCCCACATTCTTTCGCGTCAACTAGCGTGAAAAGTTACCTAGCAAACGTAACAGTGGCTTCCACGATGGTCAAATTAAAGTAAAAAGATGGGAAGATTTTTCTGGCTGTTACCTCTATTTTTAGCTTTAACCAGCGCTTAAAAAATGACTGAAAACTGGCGAAAAACCGCCAATTTTTTCCACTTTTTAGTTATTTTTCTAGCAGTTGGTTAATGCTAAAAATATACAGGAACAGACAGAGTAGGAATGACAGATCAAGGCTAGATTTGGCCCAGATAGGTTTAGTTTCTAGCGGGCTCATAGAGTTTCTACAGTAAAGCAGAAAAGCCAGTTCAGATCTGCATTGAAAACTGAATCGGGGTATAGGCCAAGAGAACCAATCCTATCTTAAATCCCAAAAAAATTGCCTTTGGAAAAGTGAAAAATCTAGTGCAGTTTATTCCAAAAGTCGTCGTAGCCGATCAGATAGGAGTCTTGCCTCCTAGTCTTGTCTCCTAGTCTTGTCTCCTAGTCAGGGGCTAAAGGTTCGATCCCAACCGCCAGAAAAATCCGTTCTTTTTCCCATCATTATCGGTTTTTTTCTTAAGAACATTTAGGTAATAGGAGTAAGTAAGGGAAAAAGTTCCCTCCGTTGTTTTGTAATTCATTGTCGAATAGATATACTTTTAAAAGTTCCAAATTTGCCGTGCTTTAGAATCCAGACGATTGACGGTTATGCTATTAGCAAATTTGAGAAAACTCCAAAAATGTCATCCTATTTGTTCACCTTCTGTCTATCCGAGTTCAAGAGTTTAACAACAAAAGCGGCAAATGGAATTCCGGTGAAATGGCTTCTTTCTTAAAGTAAGAGCTTGCGAATTTTAGTTGACAATCTACATGAAAGAGCCTGAGTTTACCAAAAATGGCTCTTCCGGCCTTCGATATCTAAATGAAACCTTCAACTTTTTAAGCAGCGCGCTGCGACCATCGTATCCTCTTCCGAAAATGGGTTTGTTTGACAAAAATGTACTCTAACTCCAAATAAGTAGGCCTAAAGCCTAATTTTTACTTTTGAATCCTACTCGAGTACTTCAGATGTCTTTGTGGCTCCCTGGGAAGGTTTTTCAATGGAGAATTGGGGTGTCATCACAACTGGCGGTGATGGGGTAAGAAAAAAGAAAATCCCGTTTTAGCTCAGCTTTTCAACTTTTCAAGCTCATCAACTTTTCAATCGAAAAATTTGTTTTAGATGGATTTTGGCACCACACAGCACGAGCTCGCTCATCAAGTAAGTGTCAAGAAACTTCGAACTTGTTTCCAAGTAAATTCGAGTGCAAAAACTAGTTTTTCGTAAGAAAAATTCGATAAAAAGCTTTACAAAGAAACTGGCTGAACAGATTATTCTGAAAATTTGTCTATTCACCTAGTTTTGTGCTCTATCTTTTATCTATCGACGCCAAGATAGGTTTCTGTGGACCTAAGTGCTTAAATCGCGTCATCAAGTCGTCGCCCTTTTTGCCCCGACTTCGCATCCTCATAAGAAACCAGAAACAGAATATTTTAGTAATATTTCAACAATATTTTGTAGAAAAACAATTGATCTCTATAATAAAGTAAACCGTAAGCCAATTGGTGAATCGCTTATTTAGTGAGACAAAACAGAAGTTCAAAAAAAGTGGTCAAGACTAATTCAATAAGCTAATAAAACTTGAGAGTCTCACTTGAGAGCTAAACATTTTCTTTCAGTGGTTTGGCAATTTGGTGACCGCCAAATCCTGGGATCAGTATTGGCTTAACGAGGGTTTCGCAACATATTGGCAGCTTCAAAATTTCCCCAATGAAATAACCAATGTTAGTTCTTATTTGTTGCCATGTATTGGAGCAAATATATACTTTAGATTGCCTTGATCAGAGATTCCATTTTTGTGAGGGATATGCTAGACGATGCTTTGCCAATTGTGGCCGTAGGTTTTTTGTACTAGCAGCACTGAGCAGAACTAGCAGAACGTAGCATAAAACTCAGGCAAAGCGAAACTTGGTACAAGCGCCTTGGAGTCGATATGGTAAAGTATGTGAATCACAAAAATTTTGAATCACAAGTTAAAAATAGGGAGCCTTGCTATTGTGCATGATCGACGGGTTGATCGGTAAACAGAATCTTTGGAATATCATGAATGTGAGTTTAATTCTTTGCAATGTCTGGCCAGAAGGCTGGCCAAAAAGGTTGGTCAGAGGGTTGGCCAGAAGCCTGGGCGGAAGGCAGACCAGAAGTCTGGGCGGAAGGCGGACCAGAAGTCTGGGCAGAAGGCGGACCAGAAGCCTGGGCGGAAGGCGGACCAGAAGTCTGGGCAGAAGGCGGATCAGAAGCCTGGGCAGAAGGCGGACCAGAAACCTGGGTGGAAGGCGGACCAGAAGTCTGGGCAGAAGGCGGATCAGAAGCCTGGGCGGAAGGCAGACCAGAAGTCTGGGCGGAAGGCGGACCAGAAGTCTGGGCAGAAGGCGGACCAGAAGCCTGGGCGGAAGGCGGACCAGAAGTCTGGGCAGAAGGCGGACCAGAAGCCTGGGCAGAAGGCGGACCAGAAACCTGGGTGGAAGGCGGACCAGAAGTCTGGGCAGAAGGCTGGCCAGAAGCCTGGGCCGAAGGCTGGCCAAAAAGTCTGGCCAAAAGTTGACCAGAAGGCTGGCCAGAAGCCTGGGCAGAAGGCTGGCCAAAAAGTCATTTTGTCATTTCGTTTTTCAGAACCTCTAAACTGAACCACCAGAGATTAAAATGCTCTTTTAGGACTTTTTTCTAATAAAAAGTTTTGTAATAATCAGTTTTCCAATCAAGATTATCTGTAGTAAAAAAATTTATTTCAAAGAAAGTAAATTTTTGTGTGTATTTTCAAACAAAAACTGATTCCAAAAGAAATAAAAGGCTTTTAGACTTGAAATTGTTTCAAAATACAGTAGGCTGTCTACTGTCTTATAAAAATTCATTTGAAATTTTGAAGAAATGCATGATGTTTTGATAAATAATGATAAGATAAAGCTGATAAACGAATTAAAAGAACGTGAATTCGGAAAAAATGAAATTTAACTCGGTACTCAGTACGGTAGCTCAAGAATTTCTTCCATCAAAACTTGCCAAAATATAAAGTTGTGCCGCTGTTGATATTAATATTGATCTCGAGCTCAAGCTCGAGTTCAAGCTATTGATCTTTAATTTTAACCTTACAAAAGTTTGGTAGCTGCTTTAATTGAAAACTTGGGTGGAACGAAAAGACTCTCTGGACAGCCTAATATAAAAGAACGAGGAATTTTAAAAAAACAAAAAACAAGGAAATTTAGATTATAACACACTTGATTCTAATCCTTTTCTGAAGTCCAGCTCATTTTTGAAATCGATTTAGGAATACTTGGAAGCCAACGCCTACAAATCTGTGGTCACTGCACAATTCTTCGCCTCTTTCGAAACGTTTTTCCAAGATCAACGCGGAGAACTTGCTAAAATCAATATCACTCGATTCGGTTACGATTGGACTCATCAAGCAAGCTCTTCTCTTAAATTAGACTTACCCAAACCCTCAATAAGAAAATTGATAACTTAGATCGATGTAAAGTCTATGTAAAGCTTTAAGAATGTTTTGTGTTTAGATATGTATTGAATTGAAAAGAATGAAATGGCGCCAAAAAATTCAAGAAATTTCTAAAACTTCTAGCAGACTTTTAATAGAGAAAAGCAGCTAAATAACAGATTCGCTGAAGATGCGCTGAAGAGATGTCGACTAGCGCTCATTCAAGCACTTGTTAAATGAGTTGTATAAGTCCAATCGGAAAGCTTTTGGTAGATAAATGTTGCCGAGAATTAGGGTTGCAATTCTCTATTGAACACTTTCCAGGTTTGAAATAGATTAGACATTTCGCAGCTACTTTTTCAAAAAGTTGTAGCTAGAATTAGCGGTCACTCTATATTGGATTGTGGAGAATGAAATCAAAGGAATTACTAACTTTTCCAATCAAAGGACTTCTTCAAATGATACGCGTTTGATATCAGTAGAAAGGCTAACTAATTCTCTTCAAAATGACATTTAAAAGAGAACTTAAACAGTGCCTCAGTTCAACAAAAGGCCATTTTTTCCCACAATCTATAAATTGTCATCTAGAGACAACGGTTCAAGGGATTTCCCAAAAAATTTGACAACTTATGTAATTTAGTGTGTTCTATCTTTTTTATGTAGACACCAAAGGAGGTTTATGTGGAAGAAACTGTTCAAACGATGAGTCGGACGCCATTTTGACGAGCTGTGTTTGGTAGTCAATAAACTCCACAAAAGAAAAGCTTTATGGAATCTCGCAAAAGTCATTTTATAGAGAAATAGTGGACCCTTTGAATGAAACAAAACGTTTATTTAAATAAGGCTTTATGCGTGCAAAAATTTTCTTTAAAGTTTCGCGAGTTTCATTCTCCCCAACCCAATATTATAGTGTCATCATTTGAAATTTACTGCAGTTATTTGTAGGAAAGCCTTGTTTAAATGAATTGCTAATAGATTTTCTTTATACGACTAATGTTTATCAGCAAAAAATTGTCTTTAAAGTTCGGCGCCATTTCATTCTCCTCAATCCAATAAATTTACAACGATCTTTCTCCATTGCATGGAAATTTTCAGGCTGGTTACCCAATTGTTTCGATTTCAAAGAATGGGGAAAATTATATTCTGACACAAAAGTCGAGTAGCGGAAATGGGTATGGCTTAAAAGTGCAAACAAAACTGGCTTGGCGCACTGGAGTAAACATCTAGCCTGGCGCACTGGAGTAAACAAACCCAGCCTAGCGCACTGGAGTAAACAAAGCTAGCCTGACGCACTGGAGTAAACAAACCTAGCCTGGCGCACTGGAGTAAACAAACCCAGCCTAGCGCACTGGAGTAAACAAAGCTAGCCTGACGCACTGGAGTAAACAAACCTAGCCTGGCGCACTGGAGTAAACAAACCCAGCCTAGCGCACTGGAGTAAACAAAGCTAGCCTGACGCACTGGAGTAAACAAACCTAGCCTGGCGCACTGGAGTAAACAAACCCAGCCTAGCGCACTGGAGTAAACAAACCTAGCCTAGCGCACTGGAGTAAACAAAACTAGCCTGGCACACTGGAGTAAACAAATCCAGCCAGGCGCACTGGATTCTTTATCACAATATCACATCACAATCAGAATTTATGTTACAATAAGAGTCAAGTGCGTTAGAAAAGGTTTGTTTTCATTTGAAAAAGATCAACAGCTTAAAAAAAACAGATTATTGATCAATAGAGCAGTTGAATTGATTGAATCAATTCCAGTGAACGTTGGGATATTCCTTTGTTTATCCAAGAAGACTTGCTTTGCAGCAAAAATAACTACTCTATTAAAGTTTTCCCGAAAGGTGAGACTCTTTAATTTGGATTAGAATCTTCCCTCCATTGCAGAATCACAAAATTTGAAGCTGCTGGTGAGCTCCTTGCCTAAAAGCCCCAATTTCAACATCGGATATGGTTATTACAAAGTAGAACTCGACGAGGGTTTGTTCGATGAACGAGTTGAACTCTTTGAGGACAAACAGGTAAGCTGGGATTTAAAGAAAAAGTAATATCAATTAAAAATAGCTGAATAGCTGAATTCTGGTTAAAAATTCTGAAAAATAGCTAAATTCTGGTTAAAATTGCATGAAAACGATTTGTTTTTAGACGAACTGTGACTCATCAGCTCACTATCGTTTCCTGGTTGAAGGGACAATCAATGCGAACAAGAATATTCGTAAAAAATCAACAAATCTCTTGAAGAAACATTTTCCCGAACGCCAGGAGAAGGTACTTTTGAAATAAAAGTTAGCTAAAATATAATGTTTAGCAATTCACGGACGAGTCTCAAAAATTACGACTTGGTCTGGGAATTTTTTGAGTGTTGCGATTGGGCTTTTTATTTTGTAAAAGATTGTTTGTAATGTAAATTTCGCGATATATTTTGAAGATAAAATTTTCGGCTTTTCATAACGATTTTGTGGTTTTCGTTTTCCCATTCACAAAGATACGGCCCACCGGCGGACCGTATTAATGTCTTCGCACTTAGGTGTTCCTATTTGCGCAGATCACAACCTGCTTCCATATTTCTCTATCCCTTGCTATTGTCGTCCAGTGTTTCCTATCTTGGTTGTTCCTGGTTCGAAGTCTTCGACTTGCTTGTGCTGGTGGTGGTTAGCAGTCTTGTATGGCGTGGATATATCCGAGGTCAATCCCTGCGTCGAGGAGGACTTGTGTCACTGCGCCATGTTCCACTGAGTCGAATGCCTTCTTGTAGTCGACGAACACCAGGATGAGTGGCATTCGGAATTCTCGTATTCTTTCGATCAGTTGGGTGACGGCTTGCATGTGGTCGATCACGGAGAAGTTCTTGCGGAATCCGGCCTGCTCCACTGGCTGGTAGTCGTCCAGTTGCCGCTCTATTCGTTGTTGGAGAATCTTTGTGTAGAGCTTGTACAAGACCGATAGCAGAGTTATTGGCCTGTAGTTTCCGATGTCTTCACCAACCCAATACTTTTAGTGTCAACTCGTTTTTGAGGATTTTTGTTCTTTAGGAGGATTGTGCTACAATTCAATCAGAAATAGAAATTAAATAAAATGCCACCTTTGCACACTTGCAAAAATTGCCTTGTCATTATCTCAAAGAAAACGACTAAGAGTCTGATCAAGTTTGGCATTTCTTTATTAGAGTGTTCGATCGATACGTTTTCTAAAACGCATTCCCGAGAAAAAGTACCATAATCGTGTAGAGAGAAATACAAATTCAAGATATGTAACAAAACTAAGTTGCTCTATATTACGAATTACTATGCTTTCCCTTGAATTCACTAGATAAGGCCAGACCTGTGCGCTACTGCTTGAATAAATAACAAAACCAAAATTATCTATTGGGTTGGTGAATTGAAAACTGTGGGACTTTGAACTAAAATTTATTCAATATAAAACTATCAATTATCATTCATTCCAAATAATTTCCATTATTATTGACGACTTCTGCCCATTTTACAGGCAATTTGCGAATTCCTCTTTCGTAGTAGGATTTTGGTTTGTGGGTGAGACAAAAATCGAGGACTGCAGATTTCCCAGTTTGAGCACTTTCTTCAAAAGAAACCCATTTTGGTGTCAATAGAAAAGTTGTAGAGAATCAAAAATTAGGCTTATGGCCAAACTTTCAGAATGATTCAAAAACTGGTTTTCTAGAAATGCCAAATTTACGAATTTTCTTTCCCTTTTTTGTCCAGCTCTTCGCCACTTCCTGTTTCCAGGAAGTGCCCAGAGTGCACCACGAGGAGGTGGCTGAACTTCGCAATCCGCCACCCTGTAGTCCGAAGACTCTTGGGATCCGAGGTCCACGTCTGGTCCTTGGCGATGGCCCCGACTCCCGCAGCAAGAATGCTCAGCTTGCTAAGGTGCGCGCAGCGTAAGTAGAAGAATGCTCCGAAGTTACACTTTGTTGATGCTAAAAGGGATTGATCTGATCCACAGTCGGTTTAAGAACCTCACGGTTCCTCCAATGGGGTGTCCAAACTTCCGCCATCTAGACGACTGTCGAGTAGCGGACAGCTGACGGAAGCCGGGGCCCAAAGGGAGCATAATTGTAATCCGGTTACGAGCAACAGACCATTCTGCCTCCCTCCACGGGTGGCAGTGCGAAATAGTAGCGATTCCACGAACTTCAGCGGTATCCCTCACGGGAGACTGTGGGTCTTTCCACAACATCCTTTCGGTTTTTTGCTGCTCGGGGCTATTCGTACAATCGACCTGGGCCAACCCACGGCTCCGGGCGCCGCCTTCCATCACTGGGTTAGGCACCGACCAAGCGAGAAGCAAGCTTCCGCAAACTCTGTCTCCAAACATTGTTTATACTCGTGAAACCAGATGGACCAATGTGCGAGTGGCCACAAAGGCGAGAGAAGAGCGAAAAGGGTCCCTATCTGTAAAGGCCCTCTGTCAGAAAGTTCGCGATTGTGCGCACGCTTGAGTCATAGGCTTGGCGATTATTTTGTTTGCGAATTTTTTCAGCCGAATGCAAAAGATAATGCTTTGCTACGTATTCGAAAATTGAATTGAATTGAATTGAATCGAAAATCAAACTGAATCAGCATGGTAGAACTCTGGTGAGGTCGGCTAAAATTTGTAGTAAAAGTAATTTTTTAAATAAGTTTTGTAAATCATGCATAGTTGAGCTGTTTCGAGAAGATTTATTGAACTGTTTCGAGATTTATTGAAACATTGAATTGAACAATCACTTCTTCTTGCAGACCACGTATGGCGGAACCAAGGGGTTCGATGACCAGAGCCCCCAAATTCCGCGTCCACAATCGTGGCGATGACAATTTGTGTCATAGTTATAGACCTTAAAGAAAAGTTGAACAAAACCCGGAACTTGTTAATATTAGGTACTTGCAAAAGAGAAAGCGGATTATAACCAATATTCGAACAACCAAAAAATCAATAAGAAAACAACATTATTCCAAAATATATTCACCATTATTATCAACTATGTTCTTCCATTTTTTGCGTAGACTTCGGATGCTTGATTCAAAAAATTCGGGGTTCAGCGGACGTAAAGTAGTCTTGCACCCAAATTTCGACTTCTTGAGGATTGTTAAACTTTTGATTTGCAAGAGAGTGCTGCATCGATCGGAGTAAGTGGTAATCTGAGGGAGCAATATTAGGCGAATATGGCGGATGCGGCACAAGTTTTCAGGCTGATTCTTTTATCTTCCTTTGAGCCAAGTTTGATGTGTGTATTCGGGCATTGTCAGCGGGCAAATGAATTGTCCTTGGATTAACACCTTTTTCTCGTAGAATTTCAGCAACTTTCTTCAGCTGTTCGGTGTAGATTTGAGAATTTGAGATTTGAAATAATCCGCAGTTTCTTTTGCAAGTACCTAATATTTTCGACCACACTTTGAATTTAGCTGATGACAGTTTGTCTCTTGGGACCTTGAGAAAAAAATGGTGCAAGTTATAAAGCTAGATATGCTTAAATGAATTATTTTTGATGCTATGCTATTTCTCATCGATTTATTCGACTACAAACTCACAACGAGCTTCGAACCATTACCCTCATCATCACAAATATCTCCCTGAAAGTCAAACGGAGTACCATCAATCCATTGATAGGATCCATTTTGCTGAAAAAGTTGTTTAAGACTTGAAATTGCATGAGTAATACTTTAAATCCTCCAGTAAGGTACCATCCATAAGTGCTGTCGTGCCCAACGAAATTGCAGCCATTTTCACAACAGAGACCTTGAAATGTTTTAATAAGATGTTCCAATTGGAAGGTCCAATTAGCTTCTAGAGTCTGTGGTCCAGGCCTAAGCCAGGTTGCAGTAAAATCAGTCCAAAGTCCGTATGCTGGACTCGGGCAATTTCCTTGGGGAATTCGGCTAGTTAATTAATAAATTTGTTATTTTTCAACGAAACTACGAAAGGGAACGAAAGAAAAGACTTTCTGGAGAGCCTAATATCTTTGAAACACTGGTTATAAACTATACCTGTAATGAAATCGTTTTCTGCTTGACTGTGAATTGATGCAAGCTGGGCTCCTTGGGCTTGACAAGCGGCTTGAGCCTTGGTGGAGCTTGTATCGTAAATCACCTATCATGGGAGGCAAAATTCAAGCCGACTACAACCTTCACCTACCAAATATTGATATCCCGTGTCTGGCGAGTATTGCCAACCGTTTTTACAATTGTACAGAGGTTGTTGTTCAACTGAAATCAAAATTTTTAATGAATAGGTTTTCGAAGCTGACCAGGTAAGCAGAGTTGGGGTTGAGAAGTGACGGGTTGAGAAGTGACGGGTTGAGCAGTGGTTGTCAACACTAAAGCTTCACAAAAGAAATTCCTTGCCACTGACAGTCCTTTGATTTTCCATAGGCGATCTCTCGAATCCAAGACTGCATCATTGCCTTTCTCGGCTGAAAAAGTGCTAGCGTTTGGCCAAGAATATAATGTGTAAATCTCACATGATTGCTGAAATTGTTGATAGTCAAACGGTGTCCCATCAGACCAAGTCCACGATCCATTTGCGCTCAATGCAGCACCCAGCCAGAATTCGGCGTCAAAACCGGTCACATCTGAAAAATTGAAGGGAATGAAGACGACTCAGGCAACTATTCAATTAACTTAAAAGAGGGGTCAAAATTTATCTAAAATTGTAGACCAATCAAACCCGAGTTCCATTTGGCAGACTCAATCCAATGTAAAGCTCTAATCGATTCCCCGACCCCGAAAACCCCTGGGTATAAATTTACAGCTGAAGCCAAAGAAAAAAAATATAGGGTGCTTCCCTTTTGGAATCCGTAAAGGGGAAGGAGCGGTGTGCGGCTGAGTTGAGCTCGTATCTCTGAAAAGTTCCGGCGGCATCTCTGATCTTTCCGATAAAACCTCTGGGGTTTTCCCCCGGGGTGTGCTTTTCTTCAAGAAAGTTTCCGGTAAAACTCCGCCGGAACTTTCCGAGGAACTTTCCAAGGAAAAGTTACTACACGCGAAAATCATGAAGGTTTTACCGGAAAGACCAAAGCTGCCGCCGTAAAGATCAGAGGCGCCGCCGGAACTTTTCCCGGAGCTTAGCATTTGGGCTCTGGTTTCGTCGCTTTGCGCGTCATTATGCCCTAATTTCTGGGGTCAATTTTTGCCTTGAATTTAAGCTGTATTTTTGGCTGTATTTTTGCCACAAATTCCACATCCTGTCAAAGCAAGATGCTGCTGATACTCAAGGCTGAAATTGATCTGAATTTAGAGCCCTCTCTTAAGAAGGTTTTTTCTGTCTGCTCAATTTCTTCGCAAACTAGTTTGCCAGTCGATGCTGGTATGGGCACATAAAGCTTTTGAAGCCTAGCAAAATGGACACATAAAGCTTTGCTTACTTCTTTGAAGTTGAGCCAAAATGTTGTTCTGAATGGTGTTGTGAATTGAGACAAGATTGCCTTGTTTTTGTCGACAATACGAAGAGGCTGTTGACCAGTTGGTAGCTAAACCGGTTTTTTCTTATACTTATAGATTTAACTCTATAACTTTAAATTACCAAGTTTAAAATATTGGGTTGTCCAGTTATGAATGCGCGTTTTTACTATTTTTTGAATTTCTCAAGATATCGAACAGATGTATATGAGTGCTTTATATCATTCGAAAGCTGAAGATCTCCTCTACATTTTGGAATAAAAAAGTTTTTGAATTCATTCAACTTTTTGGGGAATTGACTGCACAAAGGGAGAGGTCGTTTTCGAAAAAAAACCCATTCCAGCTTAGCTCTTCCTCAAGTTTTATGGTGTAAAATAACCGCTCAGAAAGGAAAAGAAAAGTAAAGATGCTCTGAAATTGTTATATTTAAAAAAAACTTGTATTGATATATCTATTGGCCAAACATCAAACGGTTAACTCAATTTGAGCGGAGCCAATACTTGATCCAAAGGCACCCTTCCATTTTTTGGCCACCTCTTCTTCTGTGCAGTCAATTTCCCCAAAAGCCGAACAAATTCAAAAACTTTTTATATCAAAATGTAGAGGAGATCTTCAGCTTTTGAATAATACTCATATATATCTTTTTCTTGATTTCGGTATCTTGAGAAATTTACAAAATAGTAAAAAACGCGCATTCATAACTGGACAACCCAATAGTAATAATAAGCCAGTAGAATCACTTACCGTCCATCGTTTTATACATGAGACAAACGCCAAGATCACTTTGATAGGAGTATCCATTCGCACAATTTTGAGCATCAGTCGAGAAAACTTGCAGAACAACAAACGCGAGAAATAAAAGTTTCATTTCAGCTTTGAACCCTCAATTTACGGGAGCTTTTTAATGAATGATGTGTTTATCAGTGCTAGCCACAATCGAAAAATGTGCTGATAAATCTTTAGACTAGAAACAGGCTTCTGATGTCAAAGGGTGACCCCTCCCTTCGCCGTGATAACTCCATGATTTTCGCGTTTTGTATTTTGTGTCCTTTCCGGAAACAGTACGTATAAAGCTCTTGATCTCTGGAAAAAATAGAACCCAAGATTCAAGAAAATAATGAAAAATACAACACTTGAAGATTTGAAAGCTTTTTATTACCAAATTGCACTAGTTGCTGAACAGAACTTTGAAGAAATCCGTATGATTTGGGTTATTGGGTCTTCTTTGAAGTGTTTTGACAATGTTTTTTGTTTTGAATGTTTTCATTTGTCACCAAAAGAAATGTTAAAATTGCAATTATAAATAAAGGTTACTAGAGGTTACTATAAATAAAGTTACTAGAGAAACCAAATACAAATATTAGGCTCTACGGAAAGTCTTGTTTTGGATTTTCTCTGACCTAGAAAAAGACAAAAAGAAATCCTCTGAAAAATAAAACTTTTTTTTGAAGTTTTTTGAAAAACAAGCTTTTTCAAAGACTTAAAGGGTCAGAGCTTTAAATTTTTTCAAAGTTTTCGAACTTTTCCAAAAGTTCTTTCCCTTTTTTGTCCAGCTCTTCGCCACTTCCTGTTTCCAGGAAGTGCCCAGAGTGCACCACGAGGAGGTGGCTGAACTTCGCAATCCGTCACCCTGTAGTCCGAAGACTCTTGGGATCCGAGGTCCACGTCTGGTCCTTGGCGATGGCACCGACTCCCGCAGCAAGAATGCTCAGCTTGCTAAGGTGCGCGCAGCGTAAGTAGGAGAATGCTCCGAAGTTACACTTTGTTGATACTAAAAGTGATTGATCTGATCCCCAGTCGGTTTAAGAACCTCACGGTTCCTCCAATGGGGTGTCCAAACTTCCGCCATCTAGACGACTGTCGAGTAGCGGACAGCTGACGGAAGCCGGAGCCCAAAGGGAGCATAATTGTAATCCGGTTACGAGCAACAGACCATTCTGCCTCCCTCCACGGGTGGCAGTGCGGAATAGTAGCGATTCCACGAACTTCAGCTGTATCCCTCACGGGAGACTGTGGGTCTTTCCACAACATCCTTTCGGTCGAGAACTTGATGCTGCTCGGGGCTTATCCGTACAATCGACCCGGGCCAGCCCATGGCTTCGGGCGCCGCCTTCCACGAATGGGTTAGGCATCGACCAAGCAAGAGAAGCAAGCTTGTACAAACCGTCTCTGGAAAAAACGTTTTTACTCTTAAAACCGTTCGGGACCAATATGAGAGTGGACACAAAGCACCAGGAGAGCGAGGCAATCTGGTATATGGAAAGGCCCTCTGCCAGAAAGTGCGCGATTGTGCGCGCCCCCAAAGAACACCAATCTGCCTATTAAGTTCTAGTTAGTTCTAGTTTTCGGGCCTTTTTCTCAGCCATGCTTTGACGGATTGGGCTCATTTTTTGTCAAAAGATGCGCTTTGAAAAACTGCGTCGGATGGGAAAGGGCTTGTTTGGCAAAAAGTGAGTTTGAGTGGGTAAAAACGTGATTGAAACTTTGGCTGTGATCTCAATTCCAGTGCAAATTTGGCGATTGCCTGCTCAAATCCAAGGAAATTCTTTTAGAAATTACATAATTAATGTAATTTGCTAATGATCAAAGCAAAATGAAGCCAACTTACCGTGGAAATTCGTGGAAAAAAATATGAAATCACTCATCCAAGAAATGCGCCCCTTCTGGTACAAAAGTGGAATTCATTTCGAAACAATATTTAATCTGAGAGATCAACCAAAAGTCTTGACTCGAAAGCCACAAAGAAACAGCCAAAATATTAAAAGTATCCAGAAATGCGTGGCTACAAGTTGGCAACAGATTTTATTCTATAAAAGTTGTGCTTGCCTCTTTTCATTGACTGTTTTCATTGCTCGATAGAGCAAAGGCAATTCTCTGTACATCCAAACACCTGCTCGGGTAATCGCGAAACTTTTTAAGTTTCTTTTGCACACTCTACACATTTTAGATATTCAGGTGTTTTGAAAATTGTTTCTAGGGTTTCTGGGGTTTCTTATACGCAAAAATGAAATGCTATTGATTTCTTGTAATGCTTGACTCATTGAGTTCTGAGGTGATCTGGATGTTTCGGATCTACAATTACATCATCATTCTACTGTCTGCTTGTTTTTGCTCTATTGTTGTATATGTATTATTGACGAAGAAATCCAAAGACGCTCGAGCATCTTTAATATATTTGTCTATTACACATGTATGTGGTTGGTAATACTAGAGTGTCCTTCTCAGCCATTCGCATTCTAAAGCGTGTCAACTTCAAAAAACCTACCGTAATTTTGCGTCTAGCTTTAACAAGTCTATCTATTTAGTACAAGCGTATAGCCAGGATTTCACGACTTTCAAATTATCTACTTTTTGCTTGATTCTAGTCTGAATCAATCCAAAAGCCTGAGCCTGAAGGATAATACAGTAGTCAAAGACTAACAATACAGTAGTCAGGATTTCGCGACTTTCATTCTAACGGTACGAGCTCCTCGAGGCTACCCCAATCAATTTCCGACCAAGAGATTATATTTTTCAAAGATTCCAGGCTAGGCTTAGACCATAGCTACCTTAAATACTGTAATTGGACCCCATGGGGTACTATTTTTTTCCCTCCCCTCTAGGGTGGGGCACTATTAGAGCGGTGGGGAATGCTTTCTATATTTGGGTGGGTTAGTTAAAAATAACTACCGTAAATACTGTAGTTGCACCCCTCTACTACCCCACCCTAGAGGGGGGAAGAAAAAAATAATACCCCATCCTAGACGGGCAGGGGAAAAATAGTACCCCATAGGGTCCAATTACAGTATTTAACGGAGCTATGGTCTAAGCCTAGCCTGGAATTTTTGAAAAATATAATCTCTTGGTCGGAAATTGATTGGGGTAGCCTCGAGGAGCTCGTGCCATTAGACTGAAAGTCGCGAGATCCTGGCTACTGTATTGTCCTGGAGATCCTGGCTACTTCAGGCTCAGACTTCAGACTAGAATCAATCTAAAAGTGGATAATTTGGACAGAAACTTGGGTCAAGATTGCGATAGCTTATGATTATATGTGGATGTGAAAACTTCACGTCCAAGGAGTTAATTCCAAAGGTTGACACTTTTTCTTGTTCAAGAACTGAGGCTTCTTGAGAGACTCATTAAACAAAGCACAACAGTTGAGCTTAAAGGATTTTCCCCAAATTTTAGAACAAACCATCATGCTATTCAGGTGATTGTTTTCTGTGTGGAAATGCTGGCCGTTTCGGCTGATGCGGTGGCCGTTCTCCCATATCTCGCATTCGCAATCCAAGGCTTTTGGCTTCTAGTGCCCGTAGAGCCAACCATTCTACTCGTATCTCTTTATACAGTCAAACCTCGATAACAAAAACCTCGATAGCAAACAAATCTTAATAGCAAAAAGATTTTGAGGTCTCATGAACCATTCTTTACAAAATACTTTAGCAAAAACCTCGATAGCAAAAAACTTTGTTAACAAAAAGACTTTTCCGTCTTCCGACAAGTAAAATTAGTATAATTTTAGCCTCAATAACAAACATTACGGCATTCCACACTTCACTAACTAGGTAAAGGCATAAAATTCCCGTAAGTTTTCGTTTCCGGGCCACATACATCTTACTAAATCGAGTATGGAGATTCATGATCTGAGATCAAAATCTGCAAAGGATGGCCGCGTAAAAATCGTGGGATGGCCGCGTAAAAATTAAATTGAAATTTCGAGGACAAGCTATAAAGGGCACTCTTCAATCAGTGGGGTATGGGCACTGGTCGCCCAGTGGATCGTGGGATGGCCTCTCGGTAGTAAGGCTTCCGGTTCGGTTCGGTCCCGAGCTTTTTTTGGTTTTTTTTCTTTCTCGGGAAAAAGCTTTTCATTGTGATGCCAGAGTTCAAAGGCAAATTTCCACTTTTTTGGGATTTTGTTGGCATTCTTCACAAATGTTAACAGTTCATCACAATGGGGCTCAGGCATCAGCCTGAAAAGCTTTTCCCCGAGAAAGAAGAAAATCAAAAATCGAGAGCGGGATCGAACCCCGGCCTTCTTACCTGGAAACCGTCCCACTACCCACTACGCCACCAGTCCCCATACCCCACTGATTAGCCTCTTTGGGCAACTTGTTTGATTGAATACTTTGTGTTCTGTATTGGTATCAGTTAAAAGTTGTGCAAAAGAAACTACCGAATTTACTCTAATAGAAAGTCTCCTGTAAGCAGTAAGCTTATTATATACAGTAAGCTTATTGTATACGGTAGGCTTATTGTATACGGTAGGCTTATTGTATACAGTAAACTTATTGTATACAGTAAACTTATTTGTGTAAATGAAAACATTAGTAGTATTAAAGCAGACATTTTTCTACATTTCTCTACATTTCTCTACATTTTTCTACATTTTTTTTACTGTTTTTAGAGCATTTCTTCGCATTATGAGGCAAAAATCTCATAAATAAATAGCAAAAAAAATAACAAAAAGGTTTTTCGAAATGAAATTCCTTGAGTTTTTTGTCATCGAGGTTTTACTATATTTTCCTACTTATTCGATTCTCTTTTAGGTAATCTTTGTAAGTTTATATTGGGCTGCTTGCGTGCTGATACTGAAATGTCTCATTTTTCGAGTGTATTTGCTGTCGGGCGAAAGAATTTGGTAAAAGATTTGTAGAAGATTTGTAAAATTGTATCAGTATCTAAAGAAAGTAATGCGTGTTTTTTGATCAAAACTATTTATTGAAAAAAACTCAAACAAGCAAAGATCAATCGGTAAGGTATTCTCCATTTTTATCGATGAATTCTTCCAATCTTCCGCGTAGATCCCGGAGCGCATTGTTGAATTCAAACGGTTCCTTAGGGGTAAAGTAGGCGTGGAGCTATGACTTGAGCATGATTATCAAACTTGGAAAATTGCCGGCACCGGGAAATTCGTAGCGCGCATTATCTTCTTTACACCCTGATAGATTTCTAAAAGCAGCTAGTTTATTTTGTGTTTAGGAAGTTTGAGATCTCTGAACGACACTTTCATCTCATGCAACTCTCATGGTATTTCTACATTGTTCCGGTTTTGTGGTTTATATCTGTGATGAATGTGGAGAAGAGCAAAGTTCCGATAAGCTACGATGTTGGTCCAAAAAATCACTCATAGGGAATGGATTTTTAACTCAAGTCAATCTAATTATCTAGTTATCCTGGGAATCACGGATCCATCCGTTTTCAGTTTTACTGGATTTTGAGGTCCATTCCCTAATTAGAAAGTTGGAAAGATTCAAAAAAATAGCTGCAATACCGTAGCTTCTTCCTAGGTTCTTCCTAGCCTCCTAGCTTCCTTCTTCCTAGCCTCCTAGCTTCCTTCTTCCTAGCTTCCTAGCTTCTTTCTTCCTAGCTTCCTAGCTTCCTTCTTCCTAGCTTCCTTCTTCCTAGCTTCCTAGCTTCCTTCTTCCTAGCCTCCTAGCTTCCTTCTTCCTAGCTTCCTTCTTCCTAGCTTCCTAGCTTCCTTCTTCCTAGCTTCCTAGCTTCCTAGCTTCCTAATCTTAGAAAACAAGCAAAGTTTGAAAGGTTTAAGTTTAAGTCAAAAGTTTAAGAACAGGCAAAACAGTCAAAACCTTTTCTTAAAACAGTCCGGAGATTGAGTTGGAACTAACTTGAAGTCTGAATTCTCTGAATAACTGATTGTTCTTCAACTTTTAGCCTGATACTTTTGAACTTTCTAGAACTTAAAAACTTTTGAACTTAAAAAGCCCGCCTTGCAAAAAAAAATTCAGAGCTACGATTCCCTAATCTCACCGCGCGTTATCTACTGGAATTTCTTTCTCAATTCAAACTCGATCTCATGTGCTATAGTGTGGACGATTTTAGTCTTGATCTACGGATTTTTAATAATCGTGTGCTTGTTCAAGTTTGCTTTTCGTCTACACCGTTTGATCAAAAGAAATTCAGAATTTTCTATGCTCTCAATCGAAATCAAAACTTCAGTCAACGAACAAAAGATTTGCATAGAAAAGCCGTCTATTCGTCGGTATTTTTGGTGAGATTTTCAGCATTGGACGAAGCTCTAATCCGGTTCACATTGCTTTTGTTTTCAGATTGTGCCTTCGTCTTTGTCAATTTGTTCAATTGTCGTCATCATGTTTTCATTGTTAGGGCTGCAAAAGCTTGGAGTTGATGTCTCATTTGTGTGTAAGTGCATTGAATACTGGCGCGATGATCGATCAAAATTAGTGATAGATAGAAAATTGATTATAGAATCATTCTTATTAGGCTGTCCAGAAAGTCTTTTTGTTCTTTTTCGTTCTTCCATTTAAAACCAACAAATGCACCAATTGAACTAGGGTTTCTTTCATTAGAAAAGCCAATTATTTTTCTGCAAAATAGCATTAAAATGGGTTTTAAATGTCGTACTTCTGGTTTCTTTTGTGAGCGTGAAGTCGGGTAGTTAAAAAGTAGGCTCAATGATGCGTTTTAGAGACTTTAGCTAAGGAAACCTATCTTTGTGTCTATAGATAAAAGATAGAGGACAAAAAGTTAGGTATATCACTATAAATAAAGGAATGAAAAGACTTCGAAAGCTTAATAATGAACCTAACTTTCGATACAAAGCTTGACTCACTCAACGACCGTATCACTTCCACCAGTGAACTGCATGCTGTTTATAATACTCTCGAAAAGGTCCTGATTTGTGATAATCGCATATGGTAGATCTTTGTCCATTGATTGATCGGTGATGCGGCTTAGCCTTTAGAGAGAAAATTGATCATAGAATCATTACTAGGTCTCATAATCAGGTCCGATACTGATATCGGTACTAATCCGATACTGATTCATTACTGATTCTGTATTGATTCGGTAATGAATCGGCTTAGTCCTGAGCTGTTAATAATCCAATCTGGTAATGATTCGGTACTGATCCGGCCCGGTACCGATTCGGTACTAATCTGGTGCTAATCCTGTACTGGTCTGGTTCTGATTCAGCACTGATTCGATACTGATTCTGTGTTGTTCCAGTACTGATCCAATACTGACCAAGTCACTACCCCGATTCGGTACTGATTTGGTATTGATTCGGTCCGGTTGTCACTAACTGGTGACAACCAGGTTAACTAGGCCTACTAGCCAAACAAGTTATAATTCCATTTAAAATTGAAAACATTCCAGTGATTCCAGTGATTTGTCTTTAGTCAATTTTCAGTCATAAATCGTCTAATCCCATCTACAATCATTGGACATTCAATTGTGATTGGAGTGAACACTTTATATCATATGGGATACGATCAAGTGAAGCTCTTTTTCACACGATTGAGTGGAAAAACGTTACCAGTGGAAAACCAAAATTCGAGTACACTGGTGGTGACTGGGTACTCGCAATGATTGTGAAAATGACAGTTTTTGTTGATTTTGGAAATCTTTTAATAAACATTTTGCTCAGAAACCCTTTTGTGACACCGCGAAGAATTTATAAACACAATTTTATCAAAATTCTACGCTCAATGGTTTAAATCTTTATTTTCTAATGCTTGAGTTTCAGCTAAAGGCGTTCTTTAAAGAATTCAAAAATCAGAAATCAAAAATCTTTGAACACTTGCACAGTCTCAGCTCGAACCCTTGGTAAAGCGTGTAACACCGGGCCTTCAGTTCCCATTGCATTGCATTGCATTGCATTCTCCAATGGTGGTACATCTTCAAGAGATTCAATATCTTCTCGGAATTGGTCAAACCACAGCTGGCAGGATCTTTTGGTCAGAATCTTTTGGTCTTTGTTCTCCAAAAGTGGGACAGGGATCACGATGTGATTCGGCATAGATTTTGCGCATCTTGAAATGTAGAGAAGACACGAACGCACAACTTTTGATCCTTTTGATCCACGACATACTTTTGATCCACAATGATCTTAAGGCAATATCAATTAAAAAGTGAAAGCTTTAACTTTAACTGAAAACTTTCGTACTCTTGAATATTAAAGAGATAGGGAACCAAACTTGTTGAAATCGGGAACCTTATTTACTTTAGAGTAAATATTCAAGAGTACGAATATGCAAAAGAAAATCAAAAAAGCTTCCCAGATTAAAAAAAGAGAATATTTTATAACAAACGAAATTTCTTTTGCATCAACCTAGTAGCTGAACTAAATTAAGAAATTGCTTTAGGTGCTTTCTTTTGGATTTGCAAGAAATGAAAGATAAACGAAATTATAATAAATTTGCCATTCTGCAAACACAAAGAAAATGAAAAGATAAAGGATCGAACGTGAACTGGACTTTTTTTGTAAAGAAGGAATTTCAGTATCTTATTTTTGCCTAATTTTTCAATCTTTTGAAATTCTTTGAAAATCAGAAATCGCAAATCTTTGAACACTTGCACATTTGAACTTGAACACTTGGCTAGACTTTGATTGAAGATTAAAGAGGAAAATTAAAGATGAAGATTAAAGATGAAGGTTAAAGATGAAGGTTAAAGATGAAGATTAAAGATGAAGGTTAAAGATGAAGATTGACTTTTCTGATTGAAGCACAGATAAGAAACGGACTATAAAGCAAAAACTGACTGTTCCAGTTGAATTTCGCTTAGAAGAAATCAACAAACAGTTCATTTTCTGATTCAATACATTGATTTAAGATGAATTCGTGGCTTCAGCTTTTTCATTGAGAGTCCTATCGTAGCAGATATCGGCCTAAGTGCTGGTCAAGTCTACTTGATATTCAGGCAACTTGACAGTAAAAGTCAAGCCTTTTTTTTTGTTTCTAAACGTTAAACTTTGAGTTAACGCTTGATTATTCAAGAGCTCATTGGTGGATTCCCTCGATTAGTCTATTCAATCATTTTCAAACCCTCAATGCCCTCGTGGATGGGTTTTATTATTATTATTAGCTAAAAAAGAAATGTGTCGTGGGAGACCATCCCATTTGAACACAATCATTCCGATTTTCCATGCCGTCACTATTCAAAAGGTGATAAGAAACACGAAAAATAGTCCTGAGCGATTGTATTGATTACCCAAGTAAAGATTTGAAAGATTTGAATTGATTTGATTTGAGTTGCGTAAAGATTTGAAAACATTTTATATCGTCTCAAGCTCTGTTAACGATAAAGCCAAAAATGACTTCGTCATGAATGTGTTAAGACGAATCAAAAGACGAATCAATAGACGAATCAATAGACGAATCAAATCAATCAAAAGCTTTTCAACGAATTTCTTGCTGGCATCTTGCAAACGTAGCGTGCATAGAGCCATGTGCTGAAATTGTATCCCCATCCTTTCGACTGGCAAGACTCATCGTTCATCACCTGAAACGGCAAAAAGATAAGATAAACTGAAAGTTGAGTTGACAATTGTAGACAATTGAAGTTCACGTTGACATCTTAGCCTTTAGCTCACAAGATTTTAGTCTAAGCTAGCTAACTAAGCCTAAGCCTCAAGCTCATAACTCACAAGCCAAAAGTAGGAGTTCGGGAGCTTTTGTCCTAGTCCATTATAATCGACTAGTGATCCGTCAGTCCAAGATCCAAAATTGAGGCCTCCATTTCCATAATAACCGATCCAAGCACCGGCATAGAAACACGGATCATTCGGAGTTTTGTCGGGGACAACATCGGTAAGATTGGCTACGTTTGAAATGACCAGACCTCAAAATGCAGTATTAATCAATTACGAATCTGTCATCGGTTCATTCTGCTTTTAATATTGAGCCTATTTGTTCCATTTTTGAGCAGAAAAAAGCAAATCTTACAAACTGGAAATTAAATGGAAATTAAACTTGTTTGGCTAGTAGACCTAGTTAACCTGGTTGTCACCGGTTAGTGAAAACCGGACCGAATCAATACCAAATCAGTACCGAATCGGGGTAGTGACTTGGTCAGTATTGGATCAGTACTGGAACAACACAGAATCAGCATCGAATCAGCGCTGGATCAGAGCCAGACCAGTACAGGATTAGTACCGGATTAGTATCTAAGCCTAAAATCTTTACGCAATAAATTCAGTGCTAGTATTTTCTTCAACACAACTCACTTTGCACAAAGTCATCCTCTTTCTTCGAATGAATCGAAGCCAAATGTGAGCCGAATTGTTGACAATTGCTCTCAGCTGTCGTCCAGCTATAGAGTTGCCATTGAACTCCGTCAGTGGTGTAAAATGGCTGTAAAAGAATCAGTAAAATCTGTAAAGTCAGCTTTAAATCGTTAGCTTTAATCTGCTTTAAATCAAATGATTAAATCTCATAGGTAAAGCTTTGAATTACCGGCACATAATAACAGAAATTTGTATCCGGATTGTAAACCCATCCACGAGGACATTGAGGATCTGTAAATGATTGAATAGACTAGTGTTGACTAAAGTAGAATGATTAGAATGACTAGAATGACTAGAATGACTATTCTAGTCATTCTAATCATTCTACTTTAGCTTAATTCACCATTTAGCTCTTGAATTATCAAATTTTTGATATTCTTTAAAGAAAACTCAAACTAACTTTAAGGTTTAGTTCCTGAGTTAAGCCAAAAATAGGGCTTGTATTTTACCGTAAATCTGACTGAATATCAAGTAGATTTACCTGGCACTTGAGCTTGTATTTGCGAAAATACTGTAGTCAATAGAAAGATTGAAGCTAATTGTGAGGATTTCATCCCAAACGATCCTTTGAATCCGAAAATCATATTGATTTCTTCTGAATCTTTCAAAAAGAGAATTGGAACAGCGATTTTTCTGTTTTATAATCCTTTTCTTATCTGTTATTCACCCGGAAAAGAGTCTAGTCAAGTGTTCAAGTTCAAATGTGCAAGTGTTCAAAGGTTCTCGATTTCTGATTTTTGATTTCTGATTTTTGAATCCTTTAAAGAACGCCTTTAGCTGAAACTCAAGCATTAGAAAATAAAGATTTAAACCATTGAGCGTAGAATTTTGATAAAATTGTGTTTATAAATTCTTCGCGGTGTCACAAAAGGGTTTCTGAGCAAAATGTTTATTAAAAGATTTCCAAAATCAACAAAAACTGTCATTTTCACAATCATTGCGAGTACCCAGTCACCACCAGTGTACTCGAATTTTGGTTTTCCACTGGTAACGTTTTTCCACTCAATCGTGTGAAAAAGAGCTTCACTTGATCGTATCCCATATGATACAAAGTGTTCACTCCAATCACAATTGAGGTCCAATGATTGTAGATGGGATTAGACGATTTATGACTGAAAATCGACTAAAGACAGATCACTGGAACGTTTTCAATTTTAAATGGAAATGAAACTTGTTTGGCTAGTAGACCTAGTTAACCTGGTTGTCACCAGTTAGTGACAACCGGACCGAATCAATACCAAATTAGTAACGGATCTCGGAGTAGTAACTTGGTCAGTATAGGATCAATACTGAAACAACACAGAATCAGTATCGAATCAGTGCTGGATCAGAACCAGACCAGTACAGGATTAGTACCGGATTAGTACCGGACCGGATCAGTACCGAATCATTACCAGATTGGATTATTAACAGCTCAGGACTAAGTCGATTCATTACCGAATCAGTACATGATCAGTAATGAGTAATTGATCGTGTCCCATATGATACAAAGTGTACACTCCAAACACAATTGAATGTCCAATGATTGTAGATGGGATTAGACGATTTATGACTGAAAATCGACTAAAGACAAATCACTGGAATCACTGGAATGTTTTCAATTTTAAATGGAAATTAAACTTGTTTGGCTAGTAGACCTAGTTAACCTGGTTGTCACCAGTTAGTGACAACCGGACCGAATCAATACCAAATCAGTACCGAATCGGGGTAGTGACTTGGTCAGTATTGGATCAGTACTGGAACAACACAGAATCAGTATCGAATCAGTGCTGGATCAGAACCAGACCAGTACAGGATTAGTACCGGATTGGTACGGGACCGGATCAGTACCCAATCATTACTGGATTGGATTAGTAACAGCTCAGGACCAAGCCGACCAAGCCGACCCAAGCTATGGATCACTCTAGAATTTGTACCCTTTTGTCGAGAAAATTGTTTGCCCCTTTCACTGGGTACATTATGTGAAAATGAAAAAATTAGACTCAAAAACAAAGGCCAAAAAAAGCCATGACTTTTTTGATGGCTTATGCTGGCTTATTTGAGTTGCAGTGCAGTTTGGACTTTCACCGTTGGCAACTTGAAACTTTTATCAATCAAAAATATCTAAAATTCAAAGGGCAATGACTGTTATCTCATCTTCATCACTTTGCGAAATTTGTTTGATCGTTTGGTTTGCTATTTCCACGATTTCTACCATTACTTCATCATCCGTTCCATCAAAACCAATTGGTCGAATCAATTTTTGTTGTGTTTCTCTTTGTTTTGGCCAAAATTCGTAGCTAGTGAGACTCTAGAAAGTATTAGTTAGTGAAATCGCAACCATGAATTAGATTACAATAACAAAATTGTAATATCATCAAACCAAACCTGTCTCATCCCTTTTATGAGTGGGAAAATTTCGCCAGCACTTGGTCGAAGCTCTCGATCAAAGTTGGTGCATCTACAATTTATCAAATTATCGTATCTCTCCGTTTATGGTTGGCACAAAGCTCAGACGTAAACAGGAATGTTCCAAACGGTGCCTGTAAACCAGGTCGAGTCAAGCTTTGAGGCTATAACCTTCTAAAACCAGCCAAGCTTCTGGCTTCTGACCTGACTGCCTGACCTGACTCAGTTTTTGAAAAAACCCTGCTTATACAGCGGTTCTATTCTTTTTGTTCTACCTGTTAATGATTGATCTCAAGCTTTCCTCGCATTTCGGATCATCCAGCTTAGCTTCCCCATTTTTAAGTTCGATTGCAAATTGGAAAAACTTAAAATTTGAAGGACCACCATATTTTTGAAAAACCATCCTAAAACTGTTCACTAGGAACTGCTAAAGAAATCTCAGCAGACTTTCTCGCCACTATATGTCCGGAATGAAACGTAATCAACCGTAAATTTTTAGCTTAAGCTGGAGATTTCGGCTCTTTTCCTGAATCCTGGTCTTTCAAAAGTTCCTCAAAAGTTTCAAAAGTCTTCGCCAGCCAGCTGTCGATAGGCTCGAGCCCCCATCACCAAAAAGAAAATACCGGCAATAATGCAAAAACTGATGACGAGATGAATGCTAAAGCGGATAACAATGCCCTTAGAGGGCGCTGAAGCCGATAACGATGCTCTCTTCAACTCAAGCCCATAGAGGTAGAACGACATCGTTATCGGCTTCTGCCTTCTTCTCGTCATCAGTATTTGCATTATTGCTGGTAGTTTCTTTTTGGTGGTGACGACGATTGGACAGGCACTCGACGCCTGTTCGCGAATCGACGGCTAGCTGGCGGTCTCACCTCAGCAAAGCACGAAGCATCACAGGCTACTTACCACCTTCCCTAGGATTGTTCTCTAAATTCTGATCAAATAAACTGGTGCATGTGAAACTTAATAAAATGCGTTAAACAATTTCAAAAGAATTTTTGGTAAGAAAACAAAAAATTGCAAAAGACCACGAAGCGGATGTTTTTGACAAAAGACCACGAAACTTTCAAGCGACCACGAAACTTTCAAAAGACCACGAAACTTTCAAGAGACCACGAAACTTTCAAAAGACCACGATTCAGGGAAAGAGCCGAGATTCCATTCCGGCACACCGTAGTGTGACAAAGAATTCAGCTCCACAGCAAAAGCAAGATTTCTAACTTGCGTTCAACGATTTCCCAGAGAATCAACCCAACGGCATAAAGATCACTTTTATAGCTTGGCTAAAGGAAAATTCTTCAAAAAAAAGGTGTTTAGCGTTACTTGAGGCGCTCCTTGAAGCTCATACGTTTCCAGAGCCATATATCGGTAAGTTCCAACGTTTCGATGTGAACTTTCGGCCTGGCTGTTCAAATCTTTCACCAGACCGAAATCGGCAAATTTCAGTGTATAATTAAAAGTGACAAGAATACTGAAAATAAGTTAAAAGAATAGAAAAAAAGTAAATAACTTGGAAGGCTTTATGTCTCTATGAAGCAAAGCGATCTTTTCGAAATAGGCCAATCCGGCGAACAAGTGCTCAGCCCAGTAATAAACCGTTTTCATACTGTAGATTGTTTTCGGATCATCGACAACTAAAGAAATAAGTTTTTCAAGTAATTCCCAAAGCAAAAACCTTGTCGAAGATTCCCTCTTTCACATAATTCCATACTGATCACATAGAAATCTTTTTCTTCAGAGAAATCGTAATAAACGATCACATTTGGGTGCCTCATCCTCTCCAAAGCTTCACGTTCTCTATTGAGAACTGCGTCTGGCTTTGATCGGAAATTCTTCCAAATGTATTTTTTGGCAATTGGTCTAAGTTTTATATGTTAGGATTAAGGATTTAAGGCAACAACTTACGGATTCTCATTTCGATTTACTTTAACCACAGCAAAACCACCTTTGCCAAGCTCTTCTTCAGCAGCATAGTCCTGAATACTTCTATATTCAAAAAAATAGAAAAACAAAACCGCTGAAAAAGATTTTGTTGGGTTTGATGGGTCTGGTGGTACAGCATCTGGAGAGAAACGCTTGAAATTATCCGTTTGTAGCTCAGATTTTTCCCCTAAACTTGCGCATTTAGTTCTCAAGATATCGTAACGTTTAAAGATATTGTCACGGCTTTTACGTTAAAAATTTTTATGCTAGTTTCCATATTGTTAGAGCTCTTAACGTCAAATACACTAGTTTTCATAATGTCTTTGATTGGCTAATTCTATCTATTGAGTTGGTGAATTGAAAACTGCCGGCTATTGTCATATGTCACAGTTTGAGCACTTTCTTCAAAAGAAACCCATTTTGGTGTCAATGGAAAAGTTGTAGAGAATCAAAAATTACGCTTATATCCAGATTTTCAGAACGATTCAAAAACTGGTTTTCAAGAAATGCCAAATTTACGAATTTTCACAAGACTTGCATTTTAAGTGAAACTACTAAGTGTATCTTTTTGGAAATTTGGCTATAAGCCTAATTTTTGATTCTCTACAACTTTCGTATTGACACCAAAATGGGTTTCTTTTGAAGAAAGTGCTCAAACTGGGCTAACAGCTGACATCTCCAGTCCTCCATTTTTGAGTCTCACACTTGTCTCATACACAAACCAAAATCCTACTACGAAAGAGGAATCCGCAAATTGACTGCAAAATGGGCAGAAGTCGTCAATAATAATGGAAATTATTTGAAATGAATTGATGGTTTTATGTTAAATAAATTTTAGTTCAAAGTCCGGCAGTTTTCAATTCACCAACCCAATAGATAGTACTGGCTAATTCTATCTAGTTGTTAGTTGCAAAAGTTTGCTAGTACTAGCGACATAAAATCCTTGGCCAGTGTTTATCTCACAAAAATAGAAATAATATTTAATAGTATTTAATTCTATAAATTGAATTCTCAACTTCGAGCTGAGGCGTCACTTTGAGGACGTCCATTGTCAGTTCACCTTTAGCCGCGATGAAAATTCTAGGACGCCTTGATGCGCGTCTCGGCAGTGGGGGTGGAGGACAATCGTCTGTTAATACGGAGCTTAGGCTTGTGACGGTCGTTTGTTGTACGGTAGGCATTGAGGGAACCATTGGCTTAGCCTGAAAAATTGGCTTGGGCGGTCGCGCTGGCCGTTCCAGATTCGATGCTTTCCCGGAGAGAACGTTTCGAGGATCTTTTTCAAAGTTCTCCGGTTTGATTGGTGACGCATCTGGCGTATCATTCAAAAATATTTGCGGTGGCAAAAATTGGCGATGATCTGCCGAGTCTTCCAGTTCTCCCGAGTCTTCCAGTTCTGCCGAGTCTTCTAGTTTTGCCGAGTCTTCCAGTTCTGCCGAGTCTTCCAGTTCTGCCGAGTCTTCCAGTTCTGCCGAGTCTTCAGTTCTTGAAAGGAATTCTTCTGAAGAAGAAGATTCCTGAAGCCTAAAGACTTAAAGAGACTTAAAGAGACTTAAAGACTTAAAGAGACTTAAAGATACTGAAGACTTAAAAACTTAAAGAATTTTATTACTATGATCTGGTTCAAAAATACAAAAAAAAAAACAAAAATGTATCGCTTAGACAAGATTTAGAAGTAAGTTTATGTCGCTTTTTTCGAAAGCTGACACGTTTTAGAAAGGACTTCAGTCAAGAGGAAAAGAAACTCACTTTTCTGGGAGCATCAAATGTGATTGAAAAATGAATTGGTTCAAAAAATGATTGCAATAAATCGATTGAATCAATTGTGGCTCTCCAGCAATAAACGGCTTTCAAGAGAAAGCAATAAAAGACTTATCTGATCGTGGATTCAAGAGAAAAAGTTTGGCTTAGTGTCGTTCATTTCTAATTTTTCAATTTTTGTGATAAGGGTTCAAGGGGAGCTTCTTATTTTCTGGCTGGCTGGCTTTCTGGCTTTTTTGAGTGCAATTTTCACAAATTAAAGCAGATTAGTATGTGATTTTTACAAAAATATATTAGTTGTATTTAAGATTTGATAAGGTGTCTAGAGACCGTACCAATGACAATTTTCAGTTAACAGAAATGCATACACTGAACTGACAAGAGAAGGTCACGAAATGAAGGTGGCCAATCAAAATGAGACCTGTAGACCTATTCGATGCAGAATTTGACGCGGATTCCGAATCTACTGTCCTTTTTTGCTAAATAGGTCTCCATCGCAAGGCATTTGGCAAACAAGTTCTTGGCCTCTCTTATAACGCTTGCACGCGCGAAAAAGAAACGCGACAAAGTTGCGTAGTGTGGCGGATAACGCATCGGAATGCATAGCTGTAGGTCGAGGGTTCGACTCCCTATAAGTTTTTCTTTTTTGAACAGCTGTTTTATGGAGTTCCCTAATCCTATTTCTCTTCGTAATTGCTAAATATTCAAAAATTTTGTTCAAATCTTTCTATTGGGTTGTCCAGTTATGAATGCGCGTTTTTTAATATTTTGTAAATTTCTCTAGATACTGAAAGCAAGAAAAAGATACATATGAGTATTATTCGAAAGCTGAAGATCTCCTTTTTTTTGAAGTTTTTGAATTTGTTTAGCTTTTGGGCAAATTGACTGCACAGAAGAAGAGGTGGCCAAAAAATGGAAGGGTGCCTTTGGATCAAGTTTTGGCTCCGCTCAAATTGAGTTAACCGTTTGATGTTTGGCTAATAGATATATCAATACAACTTTTTTTAAAATATAACAATTTCAGAGCATCTTTACTTTTCTTTTCTTTTCTGGGCGGTTATTTTACACCATAAAACTTGAGGAATAGCTAAGCTGAAATGGGTTTTTTTGAAAACGACCTCTCCCTTTGTGCAGTCAATTTCCCAAAAAGTTGAATGAATTCAAAAACTTTTTTATTCCAAAATGTAGAGGAGATCTTCAGCTTTCGAATGATATATAATCCTCATATACATCTGTTCGATATCTTGAGAAATTTACAAAATAGTAAAAACGCGCATTCATAACTGGACAACCCAATATTTAAGTGTTCAACAGCAAAGAATATAAATATCATAACAAACAAAAACTTTAACAAATATAACAACAATGAAATGAGTGAGTAATGAAATGTAAAACATAGTCTATTAGATACACAGCGTGCGCCACAATTGTCCCAAAAAGATAAAGTTCTGATTTTAAGGCAGACAAGAAAAAGACAAATTTTAAACTGAATAACATTTATTGTACATTAACAATTATAAATCAACTATCAAATTCGAATCGGCAATCCTTTAGATCAACTATTCACCCAGGCTGAAGGCATGTACATGGCCGTAAAAGTAGTCGAATCAAAAGTGACATTAGAAACAGAGCAAAGGGTTTGGAATGCCTGCTTTACATAGGGAAAGTTTGATGTCTGTAGCGTGGGAGCCTAGAATTGTCGTTTGTGATACTTATGGAAGCAGATCACTTACCAACTTACTTACAGATCACTTCACTTACAACTGCACCCATTTAACCACCCAATACGCCGTTTTTTTCTTGCTTTCTTGCTTTTTTCTTGGAGTTTCATTGGCCGTAAGCTAAAAATCTTTTACTTTAAGAAGTGGGGTTTTAAAAGTAAGATTCCTTTCAACCTGATTAACTAGACCATTAAGAAAATCGATGATTGCCTAATTCGCATCGTTTTTTGTGTTCAACGAGCTGTTTCTAGTTGCTTGTTGTGAGCTGAAATATTTCTACAAATCAGGTATTCAGATGAATAGACAAGGAAACAAATAGACATTACATATAGTCACTTTTAAACTTTAAAAACATCGCTTCTAGATTTACGATGGTGTGCAGTCTTTTCTTTTCTGAAAATCTTTCCCGGTTTACTTCCGTTTTCTATTCAAACATTGAAGTTAATAAGCACTTGATTGCCAAGTTCCGCAATCGTTTTTTAATTGGCTGGAGTGAAATGGAAAAGTTTAAAAAAGAGAAAGACTAACGAGTAAATTGAGAGTTTCTTTTCAATTTACACTTTCATTTCGAATTTCTTGAAGATTTTGAAAATATTTCTTTTATGAATCAAAGCGAACCCTATACATACAATGGTCGAGTTTATTGGCTATTTTCGCCAGCATTTTTCACGAAAACAAATTTTCCGGTAGCAATTGGGACAATCATTGTAAGTTTAACAAAAAAAAGTTGATTCCAATGAGAATTTAGACTGTCAAGTCAAATTAGGAACAAGTTTTTCTTCAAATTTTCATTTCGATTCAGCTGTGTGCCTTCAACTTTTTTACTTGTTCGATTGCAATCCGATTCACGGCAAAAAACTCAGGGCTGGGTATTAATGTCAAGGTAAGAACAGTTTAAGCACCTTAGCATTGATCTTTTGTAATCAGAGTTTAAAACACTGCACTTTTCTTTTCTTTGCTTTTTCGCTACTTTTGAACGGATAGGTAGACTTTACTTGCCAGATTAACAATACTGTTTATTGGGGCGGCGAAAGTTCTGTCCTTTTTATTTTGATTTTGTTATTATTAATTTTGTTACATTATTAAGATTTTGAGAATAATTCGTTCAAAATTTCATTAAAATATACTGATTTTGCGCTGAGATATTAGAAATTTAAGAAAGGGCCAAGACTTAGTTTACAACCTAATAGATATGTCAAGTCGAACTGCATTGATTTGACTGCACCAAAAGGAGTGCGTTTTCATTCTTGTGCTTTCACTAGAACGTACTTTTTGCTTTCAGGTTTACATTCTTTGCGACCTCATCTGTCGCCTTCAGCTTTCACTTTTTCTATCCATGTTCACAAGTTGTCTCATGACCAACAAGTAAGTATCTATCTTTGTACTAGTGAAGCCCAACCATTTAGCTTATACTGTGTTCAAATAGACGCACTCAATTCTGGATATCCATTTTCATTCTTTAAAATCAACACCTATTTGAGCAGCCTCACTTTGGCCTTACAGAAAGGCACCGTATTTTTCCAATTGGCGTTATCGTTTAATAGGTAAGTGTTTTCATTCCTAGATACTCTTGAAAGTGGTTCAGATTTTTTGCCATCTTCTATCAAAGTCAATATTACCACGTTACTGAGCGCTTGTTACCTCTTCAAGTTTGTTTATTCTTTGGAATTCCTTTAGTGCTTTATGGTGGAATGCAAACTGGAGGTGAGATTTGTGATGTTAAAAAGGATTGGGTTCATGAAATGTTTTCATGAACCTGATTCAGGGATAATGATCATAATGAAGGATCATAATGAAGGGTCATAATGAAGGATCATAATGAAGGGAATTTTGCTAGCCTAGGCTAGGTTAGAGCAGAAGTCAGATCCTAGGTTTTTCTGGTTTTCCATTGCCTGATTTAGCTGCAGGCCTGTCCCACTAAAAATTCTTGGCATGCTAGAAACCAGTTCTGAAGCTGTTTTCTGATAGAAACCAGTTCTAAACCTATTTTCTGATACAAAACCAGTTCTAAACCTGTTTTCTGGCCTCTTCCTGCAAGCTTTCGATCTTGACTGTAATCCTTGACTACAAGCAAAATCAAAACAAATTAGAAAATCAATAATATGCACAGTGTCTCAAATTTTCAGTCAAAATATGGAACGATCAAGGAACGACAAGGTATACTTTCGGTGGTCCACTGTATGATCCAAGAATGGGCGCTTTCACAGTGTTTTATGTGCGGAATCGAGAATGGAGGCAGCACTTGAAAGTATTTGATTTTGCTTTATGGTTCTAACTAAAGTCCTAACTAAATTGCTCCACTTTCAGGCCTCTCTTGAGTACGCTTCAGCAGCTGTTGATATAATCATTTTATTTCTGGATTTGACTATTTTCAAGAAAGTAACCGAACAGCAAAAGGTAACAATTGCAAGTCTTAAAATCAAAATTTCTTTTTCATCAAATTTTCTAATTTAAATTTTCTGCTTTAAATTTTCTTCGTTTCATAACTCAAATTTTAGCAAAAAGTGTTTCACGCAAACGGAATTGAGCGTCGACTTTTGAAGCAAGTAAGTACAGAATTCGTAATCATTTGAGCTTAATCATTGAGCTTAATCATTCGAGCTTAATCATTCGAGCTTAATCATTGAGCTTAATCATTGAGCTTAATCTTTGAGCTTAATCATTGAGCTTAATCATTTGAGCTCAATCATTTGAATTCGTAAGTTAAAGCAATGGAATTTCAGATCATTTGGAATCACGTAATCTATTTTCTTGGCGCCATTTGTCAATGGGGTTTCGGCGCGTTCATCAACAGTTCGATTCTCGGTTTTCTGGTACCAACTCTATTGATGCCCTTTTGGAATGGAGCTTATGCGTTAGTTGTTTGAAAATATACTTGTTTCTCAAAATACTCACAGATAGAGTTCGGCAAACAAAACTAAAACCAAAACAGACCAAAACCAAAACCAAAACCAAAACCAAAACAAAACCAAAACTCAATTTGCATATAAATTAACATGTAAATTTAAAATTGTAAAATGCAAATTTTACAATTTACAAATACCGAAAAAAGGACCAAAACACGACCTCGAAATTTCTGTACAAAGGAATAATTTAAACGCTTGATATGACTATACATCAAAAATTATTCATCATCTGAATCAACTCCAGTTCAAAATCTCTCCAAAGCCAGATCTCCAGTACGAGTCTCGGTGCTCTCGATAGGTTTTTGAGCTGTCCAGGAGCAGGACCAGGAGCAGGAATGTGACCATACTTTTGGCACGAGCATCTTGTTATAACGGTAAAATTTGTGCCGTTTTCCGTCCACTAAATGTTTCTCCCTTTTCCAACACTTTTTCCACCAGGTGCCCGATCACAAAGGTGACAATGTTGAAGAATTCCAGCCTTTCGAATTCTATCAGAAGATACTTGGGCTTCGAGATAATTTTCTCTTCATCCGACATTGTTTAAACTTTTATGACACAGATAAAAGCACCAAAAAAACCAAAAGAAAATAGCCAGAGCCCTAAAAGCTCTAAAAGGAAAAAGGCCCTAAAAGCCCCAAAAGGTTGGGCAACTTTTGCCCCAAGCCGTGACACCAAGATTTCCAGTACGAGTCTCAGTGCCATCGAGAAATTTCTGAGCTGACCAACGAATGTGACGAAAAACGAAAACGAACTTTTAGCACGAGCATCTTGTTGTGGCGATAAAATTTGTGCCGCTTTCCGTCCACTGAATGTTTGTTGACAAGGTTGAAGAAGTAATTTCAGCTTTTCGAATTCTACCAGAAGATACTTGGGCTTTGAAATAACTTCCTCATCGGACATTGTTTAACCTAAAATAAAACCTAAAATAAAACTTTTATCACACATATAAAAGCACCAAAAAAACCCAAAAGAAAATAGCCATAGCCCTAAAAGTTCTAAAAGGAAAAAGGCCCTAAAAGCTCTAAAAGGTTAGCCACGCGAAATGTGAATAAACTCTATTTTGAGCTCAAATTCATTTTATCAATTGATTTTTATGGGGACACTGGATTATTATCCCCACACTGTATAATCGCTCCCCCGTGGGAAAACTGCAGCATTGCCCCCACTCGACACTGAAGTATTGCGCCCCACCCACGGTTTCTAAACTTCAGTGTTGCGTGGGGGGTAATGCTGTAGTTTTCCCAGGGGGGACGTAATTCAAGACTTCCGGGGAATGTATTATCGCCCCTCCCCGCCGCTGTATTAGCGCCCTCCACTCTAATTAAAACCGTTCTGCAGTGTCCACAAACTGCAGAACAGCCGCTCACGGAAACTGCAAAATCCCACCCAATTTCTTTAATATTTTAATCTAGTGGGGGCGATAATACAGTTTTCCCATTTTTATCATTTCTAGCAATAAATATATATGCTTTATTCAGTTGAATAGCGACAAAACGATAAAAAAATCACAATAATTACCCGGGACACACAATAATTACACTCAAAACACACCCAAAAGATAAAAAGATACCTCAAGAAAGAATCACAGAGCAGTCAAATCAATTGCCGAAATTGTGGCTTTAAATCTAGCCAAGGTGGGAATATCACGAACTCCCAAAACTCCCAAAAGAGGGGGTAAAATGTTCCAAAATTTAATAACTCGATTAAAAAAGAAACTTTGGGGGCTTTTAGAGGAAACGGAAGGTTGGGGGATGAGAAAAGGTCCCCTTCTGGAGGCTTCTGGAGTAGAGAGCCGAATTCAAAGAGACCAGAAAAAAGGGGGTCGGGATGAATGCCTTTAACTGTAGATGATCTGGTCTTGAAGCTCTAGTGGATTCTTAACGTTTTCTGTGCTACCCGGAAGGTTAGCGGTTGGAAACGGAAAGGTTGGCTTATGAGAAAAGGTCCCCTTCTGGAGGCTCAGGCTTAGGCCCCGTAGAGAGCCGAATTCAAAGAGACCAGAAAAAAAGGGGGTCGGGATGAATGCCTTTAACAATTTTAAAGCATTCCACTAAATCGATGATAAAGCGGCGTTGGTGTAACATTTCAAACATAATAAAGTAACAAATCTAACAAATAAACACGAAATAAATGAATTTTCTCGAAAAATTTTTAGTGAGAATAGGCCACGATTGTTACCCTTCCTGGCTTTCAGGGTTTTGAGATTTCGTGATGTGAACAGCTACAATACCTCCTACTTATGCAACAATCACAAATTTGAATCTTGAAATGAGCCTATAGAAAAGTACTTTATTATTTGTGAAAGTGTACTGCTAGTGAGCTGTAGCTGTGTCTTTTTTGGTCAACAATTGCGCAACCATGATTAAGCCCACTACAGTAAGCCCTTCTACTCTTAGTTATCGGACACTCTTCGACCATCCAATCCACGCAAGCTACTCAAATTTCTGCCTCGTTAACGCCTTAACACAATCAGTGTCAATCCAGCACCTCCTGTTTCTTCTAAAAGGTTGAAAAAGAGAAAACTTTTCCATTGGTCTCTCGTTCTCTCAAGAAAGAACCAAGGATGGACAGTGTTTTGTCTTTTGTGCGGAGAAATGAATGGGAATCCGATCAGCTACAATACATCCTACTTATTCAACAATCAATCACAACAATCACAAATTTAGCCTCGTAGTCATCTATTTCATTCGACCGAGAGCCGAGTCCGAGATTCGATCCGTTCAGCAATCCATTATTTCAACTGTCAGCCAAAGTAAAGCCTTCACTCAAATTGCATAATAAATGGTGCGTGAAATTCGTTATTTTGCAAGTTTCTTACATGAATTTGAAAAAACAATGCCCAATTTTACTTTATTTACCAATAGTTTAGCACTCAAAAAGTGGATCAATCGATGCAGACATTGGAGTAATCAAAATGTGCACAAGAATTATTCTCATTCTTTTAGAATAGATGAATTGATGATCCACAACGAGTCATCCAGAACGAGGCATAACCCATCAGGACTCAAAAAGCGGATCAATTTTTGATCAACACGATCAAAATAGAATCGATGGATCTCGAAGAGACGCCGTTTTGACTCTTTGGAGTGCTCGGCTGGGGAGTTGTCCGCTTGTTAGACAACTCCTCAAGGTCAAAATTTTGGAACAAGTAACACTACTTCTAAAAGCTAAAAGCTTATACTTAAAGGCCTTATTGCATAAGTTCGAATTTCAATAATTGTAAACGATCTGATCCCCAAGTTTCGTCCTCGTCTAGCTTTTGCCAAACGTCTAGAAAACCAACTTCAGGATCAATCTTTTGATTTAAAACTCTTTTTCTTTTATATTGTTTTAGATTTTTAGATTTTTAGGTTTTCTAGAAAAGAAGTTCAATTGTGATGGACCAGACAACTTTACTGGCACGATTTGAGGAAGGACAAACTTCATTTTTCATCCCGAAGGAGGATTGATGGTTTGGACAGCTTTTTCCGCAAGTAGACGCGTTCAATTGGTATTCGTTCCAAAGAAAATGATTTCAATCCAATATCAATTTGTGTTCCGTCGATCACTTCTTCTATTTTTGCGCCAAAACCAGCAGCAAAACCTAGTCTTTATGCAAGATCATGCTCCGATTCACAGGTCCGAGTTGCAACAACTATAAACGATCTGATTTCCCAGTTTCGTTCTTATATAGTTTCGTCTCCATATAATTTTTGTCAAATGCCTAGAGAACCAACTTCAGAATCAATCGTTTGATTTAAAATCCCTTTTTGTCAAACGAACAGGAAACCAAATTCCGAATCAAATCGTAAAACAACGTAAAGTCTATCGTATCTGAGCGTGGCGAATTGCCGCTGCTTCAATACACAAGTTAAAATTCAAAGTTGAAGGATAAACTACCGTAATCAGCCACTAGACGATATTCAGTTGTCCGTTTGCCGTAGCTTGTGTAATTAAAAACCCATTATTTAAGCTTTGTTTTGAGTCAGTCGTGGGCTCCCTTTTTCTATTGGTTGAGTATGAACATTATGGATATTTGTAGCTTTATATGCAAACATCGACTGCGAATTGAAGAGTACGGTGTTTTGCATATTCTCAGGGGCGAAAAAAACTTCATTGGGTGAAAAAAAACAATAAAACGCATTATCAGAATTCGCTTGGCTTAAGAGAATGTAACTCACTATCAGAATTAATATTCTTAGATACAAGAAATCGAAAAAATAAAAAGATTTCAGCTTTTCCTCAACCAAACCATCAAAAAATCTAAAAAGCAAGTTTCTTGTACCCAAAGATAGAAAAAATATTCTTTTTCATCAATGATTTGTCGATAAAAACGCATATTCTTTGATGTTGGTCCCTCAAAATTCGAGCAAACTCCATGAAAAAGAGCTGGGTTGTAAATAGTCAAGTCTTCTTGATCAAGTGTTCCCGGTTTAACTCTTTGTAATCCTTTCGATTGATGGATCAAGTTATGAAGTTGACTGTAACAGCTTTTTGCACTTAAATTCTCATTCAAATCTTCCCATTCCAGCATTCCTTTTAACACCAAAACCATTCCAATTCCAGCGTCTTGATTTGGGAATTTCCCTTGCAATAATGATTTTGCAAAGTCTAAGTAGTCATTCCATGAATTTGGCCAGATTTCAAGCGTCTTTATGCTCGTTTTATATTTATTTGACCATTTGCTAAGCTTCATCGATTTATTGTCGTCAAAAATTGATGACTCAAGCACTTTTTGGAACATTTGAGAGTCTTTTTCCTCCTGAAGCCAAAGATTTGCACAATCAACAGCTTTCAAGTTTAGCTTTTCAAAAAGAAAGCAAGCAATTGATGGCTTAAGTCGGATAGTTAATTCATTACAATATCGCAGATTTGTCAAGAATTTCTTTGCTTCAAAACACTCTTTGAGAAAAGGCGTCACTTTTTCAGAATCGGTTTCTTTTTCGATTCGAATTGAGAGATTTTTGCATGATCTGACTCTTGCTAGTTGTTGTGAAAGTGAAAGAAATCGGGAATTCAGATCGGTGAATGCAAAATCTTCTCCGAAAGACGCATAGGTGATGTTGAGATGAATTGTTGGTTGATCTTCAAAGGAAATCCGAATGTCGTAGAGAAATTTTGGCAAGATGCCGAATTGAAGAGAGAATTTCCTAAGAGATTTGTTGACTTTTAGCAAATCGGATTTTCTCTCGTTTCGATCGAGAATCAAGAATTGCAGTTCTTGGGGAAGAGTTGAGAATGAGCACATTGGAGAATGAAATGAAAGATTAATGGGATGTTCGAGGAGTAGTGTGGTTTTCTAGGAGTGATGAAATGTTCTAGGATTAATGAGATGTTCTAGGAGTAGTGAGCTGTTCTAGGAGTAATGAGCTGTTCCAGGAGTAATGAGCTGTTCTAGGAGTAATTAAATGCTCCAGGAATAGCTAGAGTTCTGAGTCGGAAATGCTAAGATAATAAAGTTCTCGAGGAAATTATTATAATAAGCAATAGATAGATGGAAGACTTATACTAAAATTTGAGACTGAGCAAGGTGATTCAAGCTTTGAAATTCCCTTTCTCGAGTCTTCCGTGTTTTCTGGGAATTCTTTTGCAAGCTCAATGAGGGTGTAGTCATGGGAATCTTTTTAGTAGAGTGTCTTTTCTTGTTTAAATAAGAGAGTAGAGTGTCTTTTTCTTCGGAAAAGAAGATAAAACTAGTGAAGTTTGCCAGTTTCAAGTTCAAGTTCAAGTTTTTGCTATTGCTTGTAGCAAACAAAACAGAGAAACGTTTGTAAAGGAGTTAATTTCTAATGATACTTTGTTCAGAACAATGCACATAAAAAAGAAACTAATTGAGGTTTGAGGTTCCTCGTTTCTAATTGTAGAATTCGTATCTCTTATTTCCCATGTGATTTGAAATGTCATTAAAACTTTGTTGACTTTCAGTTTTTAAACAGCTCGTAATCTTTGCCTTTTGTACGTAAAAGAGGCCGAGAAGTGTGAACATTTTGATCTAGACTTATATATTTTGATTTTTCTCAGAAAGCATTTGTCTTATCATACTTGAAATAAGATATGCGTTGCTGAAAAGCGACATTTTCGGAAAACTACCGTAATTAAACTGCCAGTTTTCATTTAATAAGCCAAATTTTGTTATGATTCGATGGAGATCATGGGGCTCGGGCAAAAACGGAAAAATTCGGCTGATCGAACAAAAACTGGCGGTTTGCTAACGGTAGTTTTCTGGGCGTCTTTTAGAAAACGCACTAGCCTCCAATACTTCAGCTCCAACTCTGCTCCAATACTTTAGCTAGACTTTTTTTTGCTTAAACAAATCAAATTTGTGTCAATGTGTCAATGTCAAAGATCAATGTGCTTCTTTATTCAATGATCAAAGATTTTAGTATGTCCGATGTGGATCCCGACGCTTACACCTATAACAATGTCACCAATTGGAGATTTCAGCCGGCTTTCACTCCGAAAATCAAGCTTTTTCAGGCGTTACTAACCTTGATTGTAAGTTTGAATCAGAGTTGTGGTTAACTTGTTCTGGCCAGCTCCAAACCTGGCTTCCCGGCTTGATATCGTCAATCAGATAAGATCAGATCAGTTCAAATATCAGTTCAACAAATCTGAAAAACAAGGCAATTTTTCAGCTCTGTGCTCTCTCCTTCACCCTATGCTCAATTGGTATTTGGTACACTCAAAGGCATCGTGGTCTTTCTTTAAGCATCAAAGTAACATCGTAGAGTTGTAATTCCAAAATCCTGTTCAGGTTTACATTGTTTGTGATCTTTTTTGTCGACTACAGCTCGCGTTTTTTCTGGGAGTATTTGGGACGTGTCTTTTCAGCTCAAAGTGGGATATCAACTTCTAAAAAGATCATAGAAAACCTCAGAAGCTCATAGAAAGCCTCAGAAGCTCATAGAAAAGTTATATAGGACGACCGCGAATTATAGCGGCTCACTTTTGAGGGTCTAGCTCAGCGAGAACTCAATGAAACCGTGTGCGCTTTTTGGAGCTGACTTTTGCGTATGTCTCCTGTAGCTAAGCCTATTTTCTAACTGATTGGTGCTTCTAGGATCTTTATCTGACCTTACAAAGTTGAAAGTCGCGATACACCTGTCCAAAGAAACGCAATTTAAGATTTTTGAGAGTCGTTTTAAAAGCTATTTCTCAAGAAATAGCTTTTAAAACGATATGATCGTTTCTAAGGCGAAAAAAGATCAAAGTGAGTCGCTATCTTTGCAATCTTTGCGGTGACTCTGTATAAAATTGCACTGTTGTACTAGTATCTGTAAAAATCGTACTTTATTGGAAAATCTTGGATAGCTTTAGTTGGTATTGTATTCAAACTGATGGAAAATCCTTGTCACTCTTCGATTTCAACAGTTGGATTAGCATCTTCACGATCGCTTTACAAAAAGCTACCGTACTCTTTCAACTAGCAATGGCTATGAATCGGTATGTAAATTCTTCAAATCAACCCCTCCAGTTCTAGATTGTTTGCCGTTTTCTTCGACAGTCAGTATTATGAAATGGCTGGCCGATATCTTCCGCTACAAATTTCGATTTTCTTCCTCTTGCCATTAACTTTATTTGCAATTCAGCACACAAACAGTTTGTTTTCACAGTACTCTTTTCACAGTACTCTTTTCACAGTACTCTTTTTACAGTACTCTTTTCACAGTGCTCTTTTCACAGTACTCTTTTCACAGTACTCATTTTACAGTACTCTTTTCACAGTACTCTTTTCACAGTACTCTTTTCACAGTACTCTTTTCACAGTACTCTTTCAAAAGCTACCATAATTTTAGTAAAATTAACAACTGCAAAAGTGCTTCCATATAACACTCGTTATTCCTTCGGTGGTCCTTTATTTGACCCTCGACTGGGTGCTTTCAATCAGTTTTATTTAAAGAATCGTGAGTGGAGAACACATGTAAAGGTAAGGAATTTAAAAAGAGACGATTTAAAAAGAGAAGAGTTAAAAAGAGAAGAGTTAAAAAGGGAAGAGTCAGAAAGAGAAGAGTTAAAAAGAGAAGTTCCACATTGAAATCCGTAAATTGTCCTTAAATTGTGCTTCCATATTCACCGAAACTTTTAGACTAGTATCGATTTTGCATCAGCTTCAATCGATGTCATCATTTTGGTGATAGATCTGGCGCTTCTTCAGCGCATTCGCCAGCAACAAAAGGTTTGGAAGAAATCTGGAATCTGAAAAGAAATCAATAATTGTCACATTGTAACAATATTGTTAGCTAGTCAGTAGTCAGTAGTCAGCTTATTGTTATGTAAACTAGCCCTTTCAGCTAGTAAACACTGTAAACTAGCCACTTTCAGATCAGACAGCTGAGCAGTGGGGTGGAGAGGCGACTGCTGCAACAAGTTTGGCCCTAGCAAATTCCATAATTCAGAAATCCTAGATCATTTTCAATCACATTGTATATTTTATGGCCGTCTGCAGTCAATGGGGTTTCCAATTTTGCATCAATTCGCCGACTTTTGGCTACACAATTCCAACTTTACTCATGCCTTTCTGGAATGGGATTTATGCGTAAGCTTGCAAGCATTTACAGTATTTAAGAATATAAGCTACATTTCACAACCATTTTCCAGATCTTTACGGTTAACGGTGGGCGATAGCGATTATCGGCGAGGGTAGCGATTATCAAAGCGAGCCAATTTTTTGTCCAACTTGCAGGTCGTCTTTAGACACCTTAAACTTGTCAGATTAGGAAGTTTTAATAAGATTTAAATAGCTTAGAACGTCAGCTTTCAGAAACTATTTGTTTTATCAAAAGTTATTAACACAAATTTCTATAAAATCGGGCTGCAAGTTGGTCAAAAACTTGGCCTCCGCCGATAATCTCTACTCTGCCAATAATCGCTATCGTTAACCGTAAAGGTCCCATTTTCCTTCAGTATCATCGTCATTTACTTCATTCGACCTCGAAAAGAATCAGAAACGAAAACAATTGAAGTGACGCAATCTATGAACTTTTCAACGACATCTCAACGATCATTCACTAGCCGGAAATCAATTAGTACCAGAAAATAAATGTTTTTTTCATATTTTATTGCTTTGCCTGATGTTTGATTATCATTTTATCTCTGTAGTCTTTAATTAAAATTTTCGTTGTGTCTTTTTTTTTGGAATTTTTCGCTCAATTACTCACAACTATAATGAGGTCTTTCCTGATTAGAAAAGAAATCTCAAAATTTACTTTTAAGTTCTTTTTGAGTTCTTTTGAGTTCTTCGTATTAATTGTGGAATTTTTAAATGATTATGTCTAAAAATTAAGCTATATTGTACTGCAGAATTGCTAAAATTCCTCCAATTCAACTCTTTCCCATTTAGTTCAAATGTCACTCACTTTCCCGCCATCAATCGATCATTTCGATCATCAAAATCTCTCAAATCCGTGTCCTTTAAATGGCTATAAAGTCAGCTATTATGATATTTATCCGAAATTCGATTATGGTTACATCTACGATTGTAATTATTTCTTCAATTGGGAAGGAATGCCGGTGGTAAATTGGAGAACGATGAAGAATTATGTCTCCACGATCTATATCGTTCCCATGTTGATAGTAAGTCTGAAAAAGAGTCGTAGATGAGTGGAGTTTATTTTTTGGGTTTGCAGGGTTAGGTCTAGCCTGGTTCTGACCCTGGTCCGGTCCAGACTAGACATGGGAAAATTCCAACCCGAACCTAATTCTACTTTCGTTTTCTTGGCCGATGCTTGGCCGATGCTTGACCGATGCTTGGTCGATGCTCCTAAGAACATTGTAACATATTATAGATTGAGTATCTGTTTATGATCTTACAAAGTTACAAAGTTTCCAAATAACTCTTTAGCTTGGAGTCATCGGAGTCTCAGCAACTCTTATCTCCGGTCTCTTCGTCATTCGTACCGACATTTTGGTCACCACAGCCAAATATTACCTTGTTGGCTACTCAACTATGGCTTGCTACGTGAATTTGCAAAACTTTTATCGAGTTCACTGCATGCTGAGCTTTGATCCAAACAATGCTGTCTATAATCATACATATAATAGGTTAAAAGTTTTGATCGTTAGTAGACAAAGCTCCTTTAGCTTTCCCTGTTTGAATACAAATGGTTACCCCTATTGTGGATTTATGTTGAACGAGGTTTTCACCTCGTTTTGGTTATCTGCTGTCTACAGCATGTATTTGATCATCTTTATCTTGCCAACTAACAGGTGGTGAAGAAATAGTTTACAATGAGTAGCTTACAATGAGCTCAAAACGCAAACGCACCCTTTCCGGTGTGCTGAGTTTGGTCTGCAGCTAGCTTTGCAAAGAATTTTACCTTGAAATACACCCAGCTGATTTCTGAAAGTTCCAGATTCCTATCCTACTTTGAAGAAGCTAAACACTACACCCGATTTTGTCGCTTTCCCTTGCTACAAATCGTTTTTATCATGCTCATCCCAGCCGTTCCCATTTTAGCGTTGATTGGTCATGGTTGGTAATAAGAGAAGCCAAATGGCCTAACATTGGCCCCAAATGGCCTAACATTGGCCCCAAATGGCCTAACATTTCAGACTCCCTCTACTATCCAGATCCGCTGAAACGCATTCCACCACGAGACAATATCTATGGAATGTTTTGGAGCCCGCTTACTCAAATGCCATATGGTGGATACTATCAGCGATGGAACTTCTTGCATGATCTAGATCCATGTAAGTGAAGAAAAGATCTGATTTATTGAAGGTATTTTATAATCAAAATGGAAGACCCACCATCTTGAGAGCTTAATCTTCATCTTTACTGATTGAATAATCAAAGAAAGACTTTAATAACAAAAGGTTTTGAACACAAAATCCACCGCAACTAAACCAGGGTTGAAATTCTCAAACTTCAAAATCACTTGCCGAATCTCTGCGATTGAGTTTAGCAAGTTATCACAATCGCTAAAACATCAAATTTCAATCAAAAATTTGCCAATGAACTTGTAAACAGGCAAACTTTCAGTGAATGTAATTTTAAAGGCGCACAAAGAACATCTCGTCGATCATTTTACACAGCGAATCTTCTTTTGTTCTCGTGCCTTTGTCCTGAATACTTGAAAATATTAAATTTAAATTCAGCTCTTATATCATCAGCCTAAAAGGGATTTTGTTGTGAAACGATAAGCGAGAAAATTCATTCATTTCAATTTCATTTCAAACAATTCACCAACCACTTGTTCAACTAAAAGGAAAAGAGCTTCAGTGCTTTGGCTTTTCATCGCTCCGCATGTGCTCACTTTCTTCGCCGAGATCTCTTTCATGCACAATGTGAAGAAATTGGTATCAACAAAAGAGTAAAAGAATTAATTTGAGCTTAAATTTTAGGCAACTGTTTCCCCAAAGCAGTCCTACATGGAGTCAAGACTGGCTAAACAGGTTTAATTCAAAAAAATCTAAACTTAACTTAACCAAACCAAACCAAACCAAACTCGAAACTCTGACATTCAGATGTTCATCACCCATTTGGTGACTGTGATTGGCTGGCTGATCCAATCGATCTACGGGATTTTCATCATCGATTTGAGCTTAACGGTGACTGAGCCTTTTTCAATTTTGAAAAACCGGTGCCTCGGCTTTGAAGTCAAAATTTGAAGTCATAAAAAGTCATATGAGTATTTTCAGAACGCTTCAATGACTTGGTTTATTGTACAAAATCTCAACCCGATCTGCTTGGCAATTGTTAACCCGTGAGTTTCATAAATTTGCATAAATAAATAGTTTCTAGGATCATCATCGCTTACTTCTATCGACCGAATCAGCAACTCGTAACCAACAACAAAAGAATTTGAAAAATTGCAAGAAAACTTACCAATAAATTTTTTGTTTTGTTTATGTGAATGTTTTTTACGAAAAGTATGAAAGGTATTTATCTGATATCGTAACATTTCTGAAGGTTATGTTTGAGTAGAAAGTATTGCAGAGAAAGTCGATTCAAAAATATGCTAAGGTTTAGTTTGTTTCATTTGATTTCTCATATTCTGCGTGTTTGCGTGTTTGCCAGATGAGCAAATTGGCGAAACTTTTCAATCGAGGCGCATCGATCCAAGCACTTATCGAGCCCGGGAGGAATTTCATTCGTATGTGACGAGACCAGTGACACTGAGTGAAATTATTGAAGCATTTCGCGAGGTATAAATTACAGTAGTCGGGTGGGTTTTCCTCTGCCGGTTCACGAAAATCACCACTTGATCCTAAAAAATTGAAATCCCTGCCGATTCTTTGAATGGCCAAACTTGGTGAGTTGCGCTGATGTGGTGATGGTTGACTAAATCTAAAGATATTCTGTTGAACTTTACACTGAGAATTGTGTCTTCAGCTAAATCTTCATTAAAACAGTTCTAAAGTAAGTAGATATTATGGTATTGAGTCAAAGCCCAATTTTGAAAAGTTTTGAAAGTTCTTACGATAAGAAAACTCCAATTAAAATCTTTTAGCCGATTCCTTGAGTACAAATAAAATCATGCAGTAAAGAGGTAACATTTCTGAAGGTTATGTTTGAGTAGAAAGTATTGGAGAGAAAATCGATTCGAAAATATGATAAGGTTTAGTTTGTTTCATTTGATTTCTCATATTATGCGTGTTTTCCTGCGCATTACACGGAATCCTAACAAATAAAATGGAAAAGCAAATTAATTATCGGCAGAGCACAACTCAGAGAAAAAGGGAATAACTTTTGAAACTTTGAAACAACATAAACTTTGAGAACTTTGAAACATGATTTGGCATTCGGTTCAATTCAAAATTTTTGAGCTCTATAGATGATAAAGTTGATAAAATCCTCAATGTTTCAATTTCTGTCTTAACTTTAATTAACTGAACATACAACGTTCAAGGAAAAGAAAAGCTTTGTCGGTTACATGATTGTATTTTTTACTTCTATGCATTTTCACTAATAAATTCGGTTTGTCATTTCCAACAGAAATCTTATCATTCCCTCGGAAAGTCACCATATTGATTGAAAGAGGAAAATTGCTTTTTTTTCTTTTGCAGGAAAACGTTTTCTTTTTGAAATCAAGACTTTAGTTTTCTATTGCTTATTCACTTTGAATTTTTTCTCTCTAAGCAAATCTTTTGCATGGATTTGGATTTTGACATTGATGAAGTGTCTAAATGGGGGAAAAGTCTCGGAGCTGGTTCTTATGGATGTGCTTATCGCATCTATCACAATGAAGTGTGGGTTTTTTCTTTCATAAATTCACTTTCCAGTGTTACAAACATAACTTTTGCACCACTATACCAATCAAATGTTTAAGTTCCCTTTTGGTTTTCTAAATCGATTCTTTTTTCAGTGCCATGGTCATCAAGAGATTCACACAGCAAAGCAACGAAAGCGGATATCAAAAAGAGGCGGAAACCATGAAAAAACAAAGCCACAAAAATATTGTTCGTTACTATGGCCCTGTAATCAATAATGAAAAACTGGTTGGCATCGCAATGGAATACTGTGAACTAGGAAATCTTAAAAAAAGTACTACCATTATTTTCGTAATTTAATCACAACCTTCTAGAAATCTTTGATCCTACATTAATTTATTCAATTCGCACGTGTAAATGGTGGGCCCAACAGCTGTTGGAGGCTTTAGATTATCTCCATACTCGTCATAATGTCATTCATCGAGACATTAAGGCGGACAAGTGAGCTGTTTAAAGAAGTACGTTGACAAGTGCAAACTTAGCATTTTTATGGCTGTGGATTATTCGCTGAAGATCGGCGACTTTGGGTGCGCTTTTATGACCGAGAGAACTGTTGATGGAACGGCTAAAGGGACAAGTCGTTACAATTCTCCCCCACAAATATCACCCGATGGAGAGAGTTTTACGAATGCACAGGTAGTATAAGAGCTTGATATGCAGCGGATAATTTAAATCATCACGGATAATCTCAACTAATGAGTATCTCTTCACCAGCATTCCTCTCGGCTAATGTGTTTTTTAAGAAGCACGCTTTTTAAGAAAATATTGTAATCGAACCACCAGAGCCCGAACCATCACCACGCGGGAAAATTGCGGACGGAAACCTTTCCCACGCATCATCACCTAGTGGGAAATAAGGGGGAAATTTCCCGCGGGGAAATCTCCCTCGCACCGTCACAATCAAGTTTCCCTCTGACTTTCCCGCGCAAATTTGGTGGGAAAAGAAAAGTAAATCACAACGACATCATTAAATGCTGCCATTCGTGGGGTGATACGTTTCCGCCAAATTCTTTCAGTAAAAGACCCTTTTCCCCGTAAGTTTTGAGCACCTTTAGGAAATGAAAATTTAGATTTTAGATTAAATGCAAAGTTGCTAGCATTTTCCACGCATCATCACATTTCCTGCGGGTAAAATTCCTGTGTACCATTACATTTCCCGCGGGAAAACTTGAGGGAATCTTGAAGGAAAATCAGTACCATCACCTAGCGAGAAATCTCCTTTCCCGCAAGGTGATCGTTGCCCGAACTGAGGGCAACGATCTAACTCAAATCCTAACTCAATGAAACCTGATCCCGTCAGGTTTTGGTTTGGTATCATTAGCTGAGGAATCATCAGGATCAGTTAGTAATACAAAAATCAGGTTGATTAAATGAAGCCGCCTTGACGGTATACACTTTATTGTCAATATATTTACATTTGTGTTGTGATTCCGATACGGGAAATTATTCAGATTTCGGCCCGAAACGATATCTATGCTTGCGGGCTTGTGCTTTGGGAACTAATTGAAAGAAAGTTGGCAGCCATCTTTTTACGTAACTACAATTTTAGCCTCATTTTAGACTCGTGTATTTGGAATACGGATCAGATGGTCATTTCAGAAGGTCCGACTTTGATTATGATGTTCATCAAGGAAAGTTGACTAAGTTGACGGAGCCAAACTGTTCATTTGAACCATTGAAAAATCTCGTTGTCAGGTTGGTTTTCGTTTTAAAAAATACTATCTCTTAGTTGTCAAAAAGTGCCACACTGCACCTATAAGCGAAGAAAAACTTTTCAGAACCACAGTCTTTAATCGCGCAGAGAGACCAACTGCAGACGCTGCTTCTCAAGAGATAATCAGCGTACCCGGGGTTTGCACAGTTCTCAATCCTAGCTTAATCATAATCAATCAAAAGTTTAGAGTCACCCGCAACTTAAAATGCTCGATCTCTACCCATTTTTTGATGAAAATCAAAAAATTCTTTTAAAACCAATCGGTTTCGATCTCACAACAAAGAGAGTCCCGGTATATGAGGAAACTTACTCTCCCTCAGATATTTCATTTTCACTCTCTGATGAAACACCAATTGTGGAAGAACAAATAAGCCCAGTATTGCAAATCAAGGATTCTCCCCAACCATCAAAACTACGAGTTGCCTTTACTCGCAAAATTACAGAAAAATTTGCCACACTGAATCTCGAAGAAAAAAGAACATTTTCCAGCCGTTTGTCACAACTCGGGGAAGTTGGAAAGAAGTTGGATTATGAGTTTCATGAAACAACCCGAGTCATCCAGAGAATCAACCAGTTGCAGGAGTCAGAATCAGACGACGACTTGATGGAGGGACTCTTGCTTATCGATTATCTCGAAATGACGCGGCTGATTTGCCAACTTTTTCACCTACACGAGTATGAAGCTCGGCCATATTTCTTTACCAAACAAAGTCATTCAAAAGCTCTGGACTTTTACAAAACGTTGCAAGAACGTGTCGGAAGCGCCTACACAACGCGATTCGGCTTTGCGCAATACTTTTCGACGGTGACAAGGGATGAATGGCTTCTCTTGGAGAAGCATGAAGAAAACCAAATCACTCTTTTGAAAAGAAATTTCTACGAATTGAAAACATTGAAAGGTGTGTGGCTAGAAAACCCAAAAGGTAAAACTTTTTTGCCAGATGAGCAAATTCGCGAAACTTTTCAATCGGGGTGCATCGATCCAAACACTTATCGAGCCCGGGAGGAATTTCATTCGTATGTGACGAGACCAGTGACACTGAGCGAAATTATTGAAGCATTTCGCGAGGCTTGTGGCTACATTGTGCGTGATGGCATAGCAGAAAGCTCAAAAATGGTCTCACTCGAAGACACGGACGAAAGAAATGCTAATGTCATTGGAGATCCGACTCTCTTCCACCAGCTAGCCTTACCAGGTTATATTTTTCAATTGCGAAACCCGCCTAGACGCAAATGTTGTCACGAGCAAATTCATGAACAAGCTAGTTTCCCAGAAGATACAGAAATCGTCGAAGATACGGAAAACGAGACTAAAAGTTACGAGAATATGTTGAACGTGGCCACTTCAGGTCTTGATCTTAAGTTCCACACATGTACGACCCAAGTTTTGCTCGACTATCTCATGTATTTCTTTCACGATACGTTGATTTTACAGGAGCTTCTTGCTTTTGAAGGCGACGCAAAAACAGAATTTCAATTGGAGACTTCGGAAAAATACGTGAATTCGAAACATTATGTCTTCAATCAAGTGCCCAATTATCTAAATACTGATGAGAAGTTTTTGGTTTTACTTGACCACCCAAAAAATTATCGAGACGACGAGAGAATCTTTTGTTTTGATTACTCATTGAATACTTATGCTATTTTTGCAAGTGAACTTTCAGCAGAACTCGAGAAAACCCAACCAAAAGAACGGACCTATTTCGTGATGTGTCCCGGACCAAAGTATTTCATCGCAAACGCGATGGGTGAAAATATAAACGAGCAGTATTTTGACAAAACTATTCACCAAGAACTGGAGCAATCAAGATAATTTTGTTGTCTTTTAGATTTTAGATAATTTTGTTGTCTTTTTCGGCTTGTGCTATCATACTTTCTCTTTACCTTGGAACTCTATTCTTTACCTGATTTTTGTGAGTAAACTTTATCTAATAAACATTTTTAATGGTTTTACAAATAAAAAGAAACGTTTAACAAAGTAGAGAAGATTCCAGAGGATTGGGAATTTTGATTTGTATTGCTTTGTTTAGTAATTGTTAGTTGAAATTGCAAAATTCACATTAAAGCGCACTTTGAAAGTGATTTTTGATTATGATATGCAAGCAAAAATTAACCTCGTAAGAAGTCACCTCGGTTCCCAATTTTCTTTCCAGAGCTTCTAATAAAAATTTCAATGACTTTAATTAATAAAAATTTTCGTAAACACTCATAAAAACTAACTTCGGCCAAATTTTTTTGCAGTTATTCGTTTTGGCGATGGAGTTCGTTTTATTCGGTGACCAGTGAACAGGGAGGTGAGTCTACCAATGAATTGGCTTGATTCGCTTTCTAAAATATCATATTGCTTTTAAAATGACAAAGCTTCTTGTTTTTATGAACAGATGTTCATAAAAACAAGAAGCTATATAAGTTGATGACTTGGCTGTGGATAGAAAGCTCAAACTAGTCTGCCACAACTTCTCGGTTATGTCCCCCCAAAATTCGCATTTTAAAAAGCTTAGTGAAAACCTCAGAAACAATAAACAAATGGCACTTTTTGTTGCAACAATGGCACAAATCCGATTTGTGTGCAAATTTTCTTAGGCTTCCAAGGGGATGCAACAAAATGGCTGTAGCAGATGATGACGCCGTTAAGATGCAAACGCCTATCCGACACGGGGAATCCGATGCTGTAGTCAGATTTTGCCCATATTCGCAAAGAAAAACATGTCGCGAGAAAAACATGTCCAAAGTTTGGGTATCTACTCGGGAAATCGTGCCGCGGACTTCTTGCTTGACTTCTAAAAGCTCTTGGCTTATAAAAGCTCTTTGCCGAACCTCGAAATGTGGCCAGATGGCGTAGTGGTAAGTGCGCGCGTACTAGAACTCAAAGAAAACGTCTTTTTTTAAACTCACCACTCATCATATCGGAATTTTAACACGTTGACGACATTGTCACCTGATGCTGTCTGACACATATTCGTTCGCCTGGGACATTGTCACCTGATGTCAGGTGACAGTACCAAAATTGATTTTTTTTGTGCACATTTATGTTTGCTGATGATGGATATTAAATAAGCAAGTAGGGTAGTATCTATATTCGACTTGGTCCCGGAAAATGTCGATTTAAATTTTATTATTAAAATTTTAATTTTTTAGGTGACAGTTTCAGGTGACATTTTTTGTCGAAAAAAAACAACGTTGTCCCATGCGATTGTTTGTGCAAAAACGCCATTGTCGTCAACGTGTTAAAAAGCAAAAATATTCAAGGAAGCAAATTTGCGCCTTTTTGTGTAGTATACTTAATGATTTTTTGGTTGGCAGAAAATTCTTGCAAAAGCTCAAAAATTTGAACCACTTACTAGCCTTAGATCCAATCTCTTAACTACCCAAAGTCAATGGGCTTTTTGCAGCTTGTCAGTTGGACTTTTTTCATCTTTCTAGGTCAATTGCAATTGTTGAATTTGTAACAAGCTTTTCAAAATGTAACAAGCTAACAGTGTAAAATTTATTGTTCAATAACATTGAGCAATCATTTCTTTTTGCAGACCAAATATGGTGCAATATAGGAATCGGAAATCTTAAAACCCCAGATGCCACGTCCGCAATCGCCATTCTTACAATCAAGACCATAATTGTAGATCTAAAAGCTTTATTTTATCTCATTTTATTAATTCTTTGAAGATTAACAATTTGAGTACTGAGCTAGGGAGACTAACGTTGATATGCTGTCCGGAAGAACCCAAATTACATCCTTTGTTCTCATAATCATAAGGAGTGCCATCAGTCCATTCATATACTGGTCCACTTTTCTGAAAACAAAAGATTTATCAAGTTTGATTCTCAAAGTGTGATCTATTAGTCATCAGGATCTGGCGATTGACTGGTTCATAACTGAATTGTTCATAACTTAAATTGGTTTGGTACCAAGTCTGGATCAGCAAAATCAGCTAGAATCAGAATCAGGCCAGAATCAGGCCAAGCCAGAATCAGGCCAAGCCAGAATCAGGCCAGAATCAGGCTGGCCATTGGCATGGTCTTAGGCCTGGCCTGGATAAAGACCCGGCTCGCCAAAAACAGGCTTGGACCTGATTTTCTGGCCTTTTTCAAGTTTATAGCTTCTAAAGTCAACTTGTTGTCTCTGCATGTCATCCTTTATCTCTGCCAATTAGCCTTTTTACCTTTGTTCCTCCAGTGAGATACCATCCAAGAGTGCTGTAATCATGTGCAAATTCATTACACCCGCTTTCACAGCAGAGACCTAGGAATAACAGAGTATCAGTTTAGATTTTAGCATTTTCCTTTACCCGTAACAAAATCGTTTTCTTGTTTGCTGTGTATTGAGACAAGGTGAGCTCCTTGCGATTGACAAGCTGCTTCTCCATCAATGAATTTCTTGTCAAAAATCACCTGAAACGAAATTCAGCAATGGACAAAGATGTTAGTCAAACCAAATATTGATATCCGGTATCGGATGAATACTGCCAACCTTGTCGACAATTGTAGAGTGGTTGTTGTTTAGCTGTAATCATAGCTATCATACAAAATAGTAAGACTGTGACTGACCTGGTAAGCAGGGAAGCGGTGATTGGCTTGGTGTTGGCAGAACTGAGGCGACACAGAAGAAATTTCTAGCTGGAGTTATTTGCTGCCTATTCCACGTTCGGTTGGCTGAGTTCAGAGTCGCGAAATCCCCGCTAGCGTCTAAATGCTTTATTGCTTGATTTATTTTCTTCATTTCTTCATCTAAAGATGTGCGCACAACTCTTTCATTCTCTTTTCCACCCGCAGCTTACACTCACGTTTTTGCACTCCACCAATGCTTCCTTTAACCGAAATTCTCGTAAAACCCTACTATTATCATCTTAACAATTGGCATTTTGAATCAAATAATCTTTAATGATTTTTCTTTGGCTATTTTTCTCATCTGAACTTTTATTTTGACTGGCCAAAAGCTTTGATTAAAGGTGTATCGTTTAGAAAACTTGTGATGATCAAAATATCGATGCTATGGCGTATAATCTATGCATTGCAATGATTTTCAAACGCACTTGGGCCTTGAAATTGTTGATAGTCCATTTGTGTCTCATCAGACCAACTCCACGTTCCATCCTTTCTGTAAGCACCCAACCAGAATTCCGCGTCGAAACCAGTCACATCTAAATCGAGTTGATTTTCTGATCTTCATTTAATGGCGAGAAAATCATTTAATCAAATCATTTAATCAAATCATTTAATCAAAGCATTTAATCAAAGCATTTAATTCTAGTTTTACTGTTTTAAATTGGAAAATAGATTGCCTGGTGGAATTCCAAGATATTTCAATTGAAACCTAGGATTCCACTTTGCTTAAGCACTCTCCCTCTTTACACTTTCTAGATTTTCTCGCCATCCAATAAACCATTCGCAATGGTTTATACTTCAAAAAATGCGTAAAAAACAATGCTATCGAATGGTATTTTGAAATTCGTCTATTAGTTTTTAAGAAAAGAACTAAAAACTAAAAATTCAGAGAGATTCAGAGAAAACTATAGAATGCGAATGCTAATAAATCCAAAACTGTGACAAGAACCGGATTTTTTCTGTTTTTAAGCCTTTCTACTCACTTTTCTGTAGATCGACAAACAAATTATTTTGAAAAGCATTATGAATCGAAACAAGAGTTCCCTGTTGTTGATCACAGAATAAATAGGCGTTTGTCCAATCCGTTGTGTAGCCACTTCCTAGAACTCTTTGATCATCGAATTATTAAATAAATACACGTCAAATTCATTTGAATGAATTGGTTGATGTAGTAATCGAGAAAGAAATGGATTAATTTGATCATTTTTATGACTGCTATTGTTAAAATGGAAAATCCAGAGATTTGCTTTACAAAGTAGGATCTGTGATTCTGGTATTTAGAAAGATCAACTAGAAAATCCACCTACCATTCATCGTTGCATACATAAGACAAACACCGAGATTATTCTGATAGAAATATCCATTTGGACAATTCTGGGCGTTCAGTAGAACTTGAAAAGCAAAGAAAATAAATAAAGCTTTCATTTCTGATTTTGATGTTTTATTGTTCGTGCGAATCTTTTGAGAATTGGGTATTTATCTGAGAAAAGCTGATAACGAATCAGACCGGGAATTGGTTTTTTCAACTCCCACTCATTCAAGAAAGCTCTGTACATCTGTAGACAGGGAATTGATAAGGAAAAGTGGAACGAGTTCTCTGTCCGAAACGTCTAAACCAAGAATTTCTAATGTTTACATTTGAAAACACAAAAACTTTAAGGCAAAGAGGGATTTATTTCTTTCTGCACACAGCATTGGATGCAAAGGACCGTCAATTTTGGTCCCTTCTTTTTCTGTGCCAAAATTTTGACTGATTTGTTTATCTATTGGGTTGTCCAGTTATGAATGCGCGTTTTTTACTATTTTGTAAATTTCTCAAGATGCCGAAATCAAGAAAAAGATATATATGAGTATTATTCGAAAGCTGAAGATCTCCTCTACATTTTGATATAAAAAGTTTTTGAATTTGTTCAGCTTTTGAGCAAAGTGACTGCACAGAAGAAGAGGTGGCCAAAAAATGGAAGGGTGCCTTTGGATCAAGTTTTGGCTCCACTCAAATTGAGTTAACCGTTTGATGTTTGGCCAATAGATATATCAATACAACTTTTTTTTAAATATAACAATTTCAGAGCATCTTTACTTTTCTTTTCTTTTCTGGGCGGTTATTTTACACCATAAAACTTGAGGAATAGCTAGGCTGGAATGGGTTTTTTCGAAAACGACCTCTCCCTTTGTGCAGTCAATTTGCAGCCAAAAGCTGAACAAATTCAAAAACTTTTTATTCCAAAATGTAGAGGAGATCTTCAGCTTTCGAATGATATAAAGCACTCATATACATCTGTTCGATATCTTGAGAAATTTACAAAATAGTAAAAACGCGCATTCATAACTGGACAACCCAATATTTTCTTATATTTCTTTATCTATCTTTAAAGAAAACTGATAAAGAAATCTGAAACCGAAAATCTATTCTGATCTTTAAAAGTAACACCCAAATGATTTTTCCGGCAATTTGGAAAGATTTTTATGTTTTTAAAGTCAAAGATCTTACTATTTTTGGTACTCAGCCAACGTGAAAAGGTAGATTTTTCTAAAAACTCAAGATAGAACAAAACCTAACCTGTTGAACTTCAACTTTTAATTGCTCAACATTTTTTAACCTAATCCAAATCATGCAGCTGTATTCTTAATAAAAAGTACCAGGTTTGCCCTCTTTTAGTTTCAGTTCTTGTCAAGTTTCCTGTAAGATTTATCAGTGAACCAGCTTCGCTTTTGGATTTGAAAGCAATTTGGAAAGATTCTTATCCTTTGAAAGGCAAAGATCACGGGTGTGTTTCTCGTATGCAGACGCAAATCTTGTCACCGTGGCGCAGTTGGGAGCGCGCTTGTCTACGGCCGACACGGCCCGGGTTCGGCCTCCCGTAGTGCCACTCAATCTTGACTTTTTTGATTTTAAATGGCACAACTATATTATATTTTAAGACTCTTTTAAAAAATTTCAGTTTTTTTGGCCCAGAGACGGCTGGGATAAAGCCCGTACAGACGGACAGACAGACACTATTATTATCCGCCATACAGCCCAGACTTGGCGCCTTCCGACTACCATCTGTTCCGATCAATGCACCACTCCTTGGCCGAGAAAAAGTTCAAGAACCGCGACGAGGTCCAAATTTGGGTGTCCAACTTCTTCGAGTCGCAGCCGGTCGAGTTCTTCAAGAAGGGCATCCATTCTCTGCGTGAACGTTGGCGACAAGTCATTGATGCAGATGGCGAATACCTTTTGGATTAATGTATTGTTATCTTGTTTTTATAATAAAATAAACTTTTAACGAAAACGCGCATTTCTTTTTTACCAACCTAATATATATGTGACGTCCTACCTAGAAATCCGTCTGATCTAGGATGAAGTTAGGTCAAACGTTCGATCTAGAATCAAACCGATCACTCTAAATCCGATTCAGAGTTAGATTTAGAGTGATCTGCTCTTTTATATATGTTGTAGCCGATTTTGAATGAAATTTTTTGACAAACATTTCTAGTAGAACAACCCTTTAATCTATGAGGACAATATTATATGATTTTGAAGAAAATTCAATTCTGCGTCGATTGGTCCCATATTTGGGTGTTTAGGATTAAAAGTTGAGGGCGCTACAACGTTTCATTCAAAATCGACGCGATCCCAATAGCCGATTTTGAATGACTGGGTCTATGCGCGTTCAATCATCAAGTGTTTGGTATGATTCAACGCCGAATCATTGATAATTATGTTAAATTTTTGAAATTAGAAATATTGGCTTAAAAGAAAAAAAATTAGAGTGAAAAAACGGTTTGTTCAAGAGAAAACTTTGAAGCTCCATAAAATTTTTTCTTTTTGTTCAATCTTTCTAATTTAAAAAATTTAACATAATTATCAATGATTCTGCGTTGAATCATACCAAATACTTGATGGCTAAACGAGTCTGGACCCACTCATTCACCCACTCAATCGTCCGGACCCACTCATTCATCCACTCAATCGTCCGGACCCATTCATTCACCCACTCAATCGTCCGGACCCACTCATTTACCCACTCAATCGTCCGGACCCACTCAATCGGCTACGACATATATAATAGATGAGTTTTTATGAGCTCAGACAGCGCAAAGTTCAACAAATTCCATAAAAACAATGATCAGCGTTCATTTTGGTTCGACTTTCGATGAATATGATACACTAATTTCGATTTTATTTGAAAAATCTGCCAGCTAGGTTACCTTTTGGGTCAGAGTAAAGTTCAAGAGTAAGATAAATCTTTTAAACCAACTACACTTGTAAATTGTAGTTCCTGTAGCACAAGCCATTCTTTGTCCTTTGTCCTTTGTCCTTTTTTTCCTATTTGTTCCTTCGCCTCGCCGGCCTTGCCCAGTTCCGGTCCTTTGGCCTGGCTTAGTCTATTTGTTCCTTTAGGTTCTAAAATGTTCAAGATTCGCAAAATTATTGGAAAGCTTTATTGAACAAATCACTCATTTCTTTTTGCAGACCGTATATGGTACTGTATCGGAATTAAGAATTGATCCAGAGAAGCCCCAAACTCCTTGACCACAAGCAGCGTGATGACAACTCAAGTCATAGTTGAAAATCTAAAAATGTTAAGCTAATTAGTCTTTTCCTTCTTTGGCTTTATAAAATTCTTTATCAAGTCAAAAACTAACAATAAGTCTTGATCCTTCACCATCATCAGTGCATGAAAGCGCTAAATAATCAAACGGAGTGCCATCAACCCATTGCCGCGTTCCATTAGTCTGAAAAGTTTTTTATAAAATCCCAATTTGATTCAATTTACGTATAACCCTCCGGTCAAGTATAATCCAAAGAAATTAGCATTGTGTGATCGAAATTCACAACCATTTTCACAACAGAGACCTGAAAATTAGAATTGGAGGCTCTTACAGATCTTGAAAACTACCGTAATCTGACCTCAGCTTTATTTAATCTAACTATTTTAGCTATCGCTATCTTTGGCTATCGCTATCTTTGGCTATCGCTATCTTTGGCTATCGCTATCTTTGGCTATCGCTATCTTTGGCTATCGCTATCTTTGGCTATCGCTATCTTTGGCTATCGCTATCTTTGGCTATTCCTGGGTAGATCGTAATTATCAGAGCTGCCCCTGGTTCTGTTAGCTAGTTACTGGTTCTGTTAGCCTAGTCAACTACACAACTGCACTCTCACTAGTCAACTACATCATGGGCCATGTGTCAGATATATTTTATGTTGTCTAATGTAATTGTAAAATTGATGTTGATCTTATTGTAAACTTCTATCTTTCTAACAATCCTTCTAAGGACTAAACTGATAAAGAGGAAGAAGAGGCGTGTCTTTTGACTCAACCCTAACTCCGGACTCACTTTCTATTCTATTTAGAGTTCTCCCTCTTTCCCCTAACAATACTCTTCTTAACTCTCTTATCGTCGATTACATAAAACTTATGTCTTCTACAATGAAACAACAAGTCAGGTTGGTCGTGCTCAAGAGAATTTCCCTTTACTCAGTCAAGGTGTTGAGCCGTTGTCAGTTGTAAAGAGAAGATCAGGTGCAAAGTCGGGTTAATCAAACATTTTAATCCAAACACACACATCCTAAGCCCTTAAATTGACTACACCAGAAATCTCACAAACGCCAGGTAAAGTCATTAAAAGAACTGTCAGTTCAGCTTCTTCCTAACCCGACTAAAAGACTTTATGATGGTACTGAAAGATAGCTTGAATTGGAAGCCAGAATCAAAGCAAGGTCAAGCTTCTGGTTAATTCAAGTATCATGCAAGTATCATTCAAGTATTCCAACAGAAAGCCGGCCAGTCCAGCTTTGCCTAAATTGGCCTGGATTTACCAGACATTGATCTGCAAAGATTTGCAAAGACATTGATGTGAAAGAAAATCGAAAATATCAAAAAGTAGCTTGCATTGAACTAGAGGCAAGAAAATGAAATTGTAGGTTAGAAAGAAACGTTTTAGGGGAAAAAGACTAGAAGATTGAGTGCCCTTGAGCAATTGAGGATGCCCGGTCATTATTCTTGAAGATACCTGTCATGAAGTCGTTTTCTTCTTTACTGTGAATTGATGCCAGATGGCCGCCATGTTCTTGACAAAAGCTTTCGGCTTGACCGACTTGAGAATCAAAAATCACCTAATGGAATGGTTACTAAAGTTGTTGAATCTTTCAAACCAAGTATTGATATCCGGTATCCGGCGAATATTGCCAACCCTTTCGGCAGTTGTAAAGCGGTTGTTGTTCAACTGAAACCATAAGTTCAAGAATATTTCGATGAGAGATTACCAGGCTTGCAGGTGAGTGGGCTCTGAGTGGTGTTGGGGAATGGAGTTGGCGTTGTCAATGTCTCACAAAAGAAATTCCTCTCAACGGTTAGATCGTTTGGTCTAGATTTCCACATTTGGTCACTCGAATCGAGAACTATCGAGCCGTTTACATCAACTGAAAATTGGCATTTATAACAAACAATATGGGTCAGAGTTTCTTTTCTAAAACCTGGCAAAAGTATTGTACTCTTGGCTCTAGTTTTATTCAATCTATGTCCGGTTTTTATTGAACAAAAGCTAAAGGCAAGAATACGGTACTTTTCAAAAGAGATACGTTTCAGAAAGCGCATTAGTATTGAAAACGAATCTCACTTGGAAATTGGAATCGTTGATAATCGAACGGCGTCCCATCAGTCCAAGTCCACGTTCCGTTTACGCTCAATGAAGCACCCAACCAGAATTCTGCATCAGAACCCGTCATATCTGAAACATGATTGTGGGAAATTTGATACGCGAGGCCCCGCCCCTTTGCCATTGGCAATCTAATTTTGCGCTCAAATATCTGACTGTTGGGCCGTCCAATTTGAATATTCTTGGTATCATTGGATGCGCCAAGGCTTTCTCTGTCGATCGGTACAAAAACTATTTAAATTGAACAGCTCAACACTAGGATACTTGAGCTCAAAGTTAGATTGCCAATGGCAAAAGGGGCGAGGCTACTGTGAGACCTTTCATACACGAGGCCCCGCCCCTTTTGCCATTGGCAATCTAACTTTGAGCTCAAGTATCCTAGTGTTGGGCTGTTCAATTCAAATAGTTTTTGTACTAATCGACAGAGAGACGTGGTGCATCTAATGATACCAAGAATATGCAAATTGGACAGCCCAACAGCCAGATATTTGAGCTCAAGGTTCGATTGCCAATGGCAAAAGAGACGGGGCCTCACGTATCAAATGTCCGATAACCCTGAAACATGCCAGTATAGTTTGCCAGTTTTATATAAGCAACTCATAAAAAAAGCTTTTGCTTACTTCTTTGTAGCTGAGCCAGTATATTGTTCTGAATCGTGTTGTGAATTGAGACAAGTTCACTCTGTTGTTGGCGACAAAATGCATTGGCATTCATCCAATTGGTGACAAAAGCAGTTCCTAGATTTAGGTCATAGTTTTTTAAAATCGACATGGGATTTTGAGGTATTAAGTTTTTTAGTGCTTTGAAAGGCGCGGCTGGTTTTCTAAAATGCATCCATCCACAATACCAGATGGCGTACTTTGGAATCATCGGTGCTTACGAACAAATCTAATATCGTATTTTTCCCAATATTAGTGCACCCCGGCGAGCCGAGTTGGTGACTATCTTACGGTTTCCAATTTTTCACAGAAGCTCAACATTCTAATCCCCCACTAGATCTCATCGTCAGCTACATTTTCCGATCCCACATCGATAGGTTCTGATAAGCGGCTCTCGAGATTTCTACACAATGAGCAGCTGTGCCAAGTTTAGCGGAGTCGAGAACGCTGCTTACTTGCGCTACATGAAGAACGCGACGACCTATTTTAGACCCGGTTGCAACAATGGTAAATGCTTTTCATTAGCTGATTAGAGCTCTATTCGACAAAGCTCTCTAACTAGGATAGGTCCCGTTTTGAAATTTCATCTTAAGTTGGCGACCTTCCCTAGTAAGTGTATAGGCTAGGTCGGTGAACACCGTATTTTCTCTAATAGTAGTGCACCCTGGCGGGCCGAGTTGGTGGCTATTTTACGGTTTCCAAGTTTTCATAGAAGTTCAACACTCTAATCCCCACTAGATCTCATCGTCAGCTATATCTTTCGACCCCACATCGATAGGTTCTGATAAGCGCTTCTCGAGATTTCGAGCAATTTAGGTGAAGCTTAGGATTAGGCACTACGATTAGGAAAAATACGGTAATTGTTTGAAAAGCCCATCTGGTTTTTCGAAAGGCACCAAGCTACAGTACTCAGTCTAAAGTTAACCCTGGCTACAGTACCAGACTACAGTACCAGACTACAGTACTTTAGAAGGCGCTGATGCTGACGGATTTTACACCAAGAGTTAAATACTTCTCAAAACTACATCAACATGAAACATGAACATGATCAACATGAAATAATCCACTTAAAAAAGCAGCAAAACCATGATCAACTTCTTTTAGCTGATCAATAGCCTAAAATCATTGCATACCATTTATCGTCCGTTGAAAAAAAAGACAAGTGTTAAGTTCATTTAGGTAGAAAAATCCATTAGGACAATTTTGAGCATCGATCAATAAACCTTGAAAAGCAACAAGACAAAGGAATGCAAATTTCATTTCCTTTTTGATTCTGCAGTTTTTAGTTTTTGATTCTTGCAGGCAATTCATTTATATGTGGGCTTGAACTCAGAAAAGTGATGATAAGCTGCAGCTGAAGGTGACGTAAGCTGAAGTCAAAAATCGGTCCATCATCACTCGAAGATTACCTTATCAATTTGTCATCGTAGCTCGTAAAAAGAAGCAAAAAGGTCGTTATTTCTTGTTCTTTCTTGTTCTGGTTTGCGAAAATCTTTTTGATGACAAAAGGGTGCATTTTTTTACTTTAATTGAACTGAAATTGAAGTGGATTTTGAACTCAAAACTTGAAAGCAAGCGATCAATGAGATAAATCTTTGCGTATTTCCTCGTCACATCTCTACAGGCTCCACAGGCTTCTTTCTTCTTTTGCTCGTAGCACTAAAAGCTTTGGTTCATTGCGCTAAAAGCTGTCTGTCTTACGTCTGTTTGTCTAAAAGCCAGGATTTACTAGGGAACTGTTTCGATTTACCAAAAAAACCGAACCTAGCTACAAAGTTTCGGCAATTTTTGGCAAACAGCGACCTTACCTATAAGAGGGTTTTACTATTGAAAAAATAAACATTTATTGGAACTTTTTGTACTTTAAAAACATCTTAATACTCACAAAAAACGTTTTTTGATACTTGCGACAAAAAAGCGAAGAATTTGGCGGCAAGCGGAATTAAACCCGCGGGCAAAAACGGGACAGTTTTCAGAGTCTAGCACACTATCCCCTAGGCTACTTTTACTGCCTTCCAGCTTGACCCATTCTTATATCGCGGTCTACCAACAATTGCCGAAACCTTGGACACGTTTTCTCGAAAACCAGGGCTCATAGGGGAAAAAATAAGAAATAGGTGTTTCTTAGAATTCTACTGTCTATTCTACCCGGGCGTTTTATAGCTAGCTCCGGTTTCGAAAATCGGTGGTGAGTTGAACAAGTTCTCTAGTTAGTCGATTATCAAAAAATTCTACTCTTTTTGTTTTAAAACCCACTTGTAATGCCAAGCCCTCGAATCCTCAGGTGTTTCATTGGGTTTCTCAATTGAAAGTGGGAAACATTCATCCAAAATCTCTTGTCGACTAATATTACTCTTGTCAAAGATGCTAAAAATGTACTTGTAGGTTGTTTCAAATACTTCAAAAGCCTTTTGATTGGTAATATAATTGGTAATCTTTTCCGAAAGTTCAACTTTAATTCACCGATCTTTTCATTCTTTGTGTCCTCTTCTTTCTAAAAGCTTTAATAAATGTTCAATCTTTTTTAGTTCCAAACTGATTCGATTGCTTTCAGAAGAACCAAAATTAAGAAAAGTTTAAATTTGACTCATTAAAGAAATAATTTTTTGACTTTTCAGTTGTCTAAAACTTTGTGTTTCTTCGAATTCATTATGAAAATTTTCAGCGTAATGTGTTTACTTGAATTTTTAAGTGAAAATGGCTTGGAGCTCTTTTTGAGCTTTAGAAATGCGTAGAATAAGATTTTTAATGTACTTCAAGTGACTTTAATGTTAAAGGAAGCTAAAAAGAGTTACATAAGAGTTTCGAGATGATCACATTTGCGGTGTTTAAGTGGTTTAAGTGGTGTTCAATTAATTAAACTTTACATTGGCACTGTTCAAATGTTAAAATGAAATGTTCAAATGACAAGGTAATATGAAACTTTTCCGAATCTCCGAATCCGATTTTGACCTATTAGATGTTTTGGTTTTCGCTTGCTAGCCTTTATTCTGAAAATTTCACGAGTTCTCCACTCCGAACGAGATTCTTTGAACACTATTTGTCTTCGATTTTCTCTCATCGTTCGGTGTACGATCCGAAATTTGATTTCTGCCCTTTTTGACCAAATATATTGTGACCATTCTGAAAAAGATATGGTTTACGAAGAAGAACTGTCTTTGTTATAAATTTTTTTTTTTTTTTTTTTTTTTTTTTTTTTTTTTTTTTTTTTTTTTTTTTTTTTTTTTTTTTTTTTTTTTTTTTTTTTTTTTTTTTTTTTATCCACTAAAACTGACCGACTAAAGTGTGTGCTGCATAAAACAAAATTAAAAACATTCTAAAAGATTTTTATTTCTTTTATGTCACTCTAAAAAAAAGAAAAAAAGACTGAGGAAATCGGGGGATAATTCTTCACAACGCACAAAGACCGCTAACAGGAGAGAGCACAAAATTTCCAAGAACGAGTTGAAAGACAAGAAGTTTATCTATATTTAAATGCAAGACAAGATTTGTCCTTAATCAAATCGATCGGAAAGTAAACAAAAAAAGAAAAACCATAAAAAATCTAAAACATTATAGACAATCGGAAAACAAAAAGTAAGCAATCATTACGCTATTGCAAGATTTAACGATATCGATTATTCGCTTACAGCTGTACATACCCGAGAATCACAAAATAATCCAGTAACGAAAGGGGAAATCGTCGAAAAAAAACTAGTTAACATCGTTTAGTCGACTTCAACCGTCCATCCTTCTTTCACCGCGCGGCCGTAGTGGATGTCAGTGATTGCGTCGTAGAGCTTCTGCATGTAATTCGGCTTGTAGTCCATCGTCGGGATCTTGAGTCGCTCGAATTTGCCATTGTGGTGGTGGACGATCTCTCCGACTGGCGAGACGACGGCCGCTGTTCCCGCTCCGAACATTTGGCACAGCTAAAATATAGTTTAATATAAAAGAGACATTGGTAAAATATTTGGTGAATGCTTTCGCTTTAGACTTTGTTTAGATAGCTTAGACTGGTATTTGTAATTTACTAAATTTGCTCTACGAAGAACATTGAATGTCAAGCCTTTAATTTATAAAGTTCAAAACATACTCGTCCTTCCTTGAGGGCTTTGCGCACTTCACCCATCGTAAACGACTTTTCGGTGACTTTCACCTCGTTCCACTCCCTCGATAAATCGAGCAACGACTGACGGGTGACTCCAGGAAGAATCAATCCCAAGTCGAGTGGTGGGGTCACCAATTCGAGATCACCCTAAAGATGAAAATTAGTAAAGCAAGTAAACTATTAAAAAAACTACTAACTCATCTCTAAGCAATAGATAAAATAGCAATCCTGAACTTAATTAAGTCAATGTATAACCTGTTCGTTCTTCCAGAGCACAAAGATGTTCATCGTTCCGACTTCAGTCACTTCCTCATCACCACCGTACAACCACATGATTTGCTGGCATCCGTGCTCTCGAGCAGCATTCTAAATTTAAAGATAAGTAACTGAAACTAAAAGCCAATCTTGCGTCTATTGTTTGCAAAGCACAAAACAGAACCCCACATGCCAAGTCTATTTGTTTTCGTAGATCTGTGGTGATAAAATTCGGGTCAGTGAAAGAGCTGTCTGTTCTCACAAACATCATTAATCAAACGAACACTTTTGCAATGAAAAAATCTTATTTGCAAAATATAGTGTCACCTTGTTGATGGCAATCGTTGGCGCGTAGTTGCAACCCATTTTGTAGGCTCCGACACCTCCGGGGAAAGCACGCACAAATCGGCTATCGGCAAGAAGAGAAACGGGCTTGAATCCGGTGGCATAGTAGGGGCCGACCGGTCCACCAATCACGAAAAGCTTCGCTGCCTGAAGAATCGTAAATTAAAACTAGATTATCTATTTTATTCATAGAACTTCTAATTAAAGCTGAATGAAAACGCACCAAAGAAGTGGCAACACCGAGTGTTGGATCGGTGCCAATCAACGTCGGCCGGATGTAGTAAGAGGCGGTATCCGAGTTTGGCACCCATTCCTTATCGACTCGGAGCTAAAATTAACAAATGTATCAACGCATTAAAATAATCTACGGTAGCTTGCATAATAAACTTAAAACTTACCATTTCAACCATAATTTTGATCAATTCCTCGGCATCAAAATCGGGGAGGGATGCACGAGCCGCAGTTCTTCTCATACGCTCCATGTTCATGTCAGGTCTAAAATAAAAAAATTTAGCAATGCAGAGAAGATGCTTCAATCTTTGTTGCGTTGGTGTAATCAAAACTTTAATGTGATGTAAAGTGCTTTAGTCTTCTAAAATAAGTCTTTAAAGGTACCTGAACATGCGTATCCTTCCATCAACTCCACGGTAGGCTTTAAGTCCCTCGAAGAGTTCAGCAGCATAGTGAAGTACCTAAAGATAAGAATACATTCAGTTCTAAAACATATAAAGTGGCCGTCAAATACTGAATTAGGCAGATTCTTAAAGTTTTAACCATTGGTATTTTTTGCACTTGCTGCTATGCTATTCAATTTCAGAGTCACATTGCCTTTCACAACGTAAAATCAAAAGCGAAAGTGCAAATACCTTTGCGCCAGGGTGAATTGAAAGTTCGCGGAGAGGCTCGATTTTCGGTTTCGTCCACCCATCGTCGACAGTCCAATCCACATTCACGAAATGATCCGAAAAAACGTGACCGAACGCCAGATTGTTGTAATCGGTCGGCTTTTGGTGGAGCTGGGTTCCTTTCGCACGAATCACCTAAAGTAAAGCTTTAGTGAAGGGATAAGAATAAGAGAACTATCCAAAACTTGTCAAAGATTATATGAACTGGTACATTATACGTTGCACTAATCTAGAAATAAAATATCCAACCTCGAGATCGTCGTAGTAGAAGGATTTCTGCGGGCTGGCGGCATCTTTCTTTTCCTCCTCTCGTTTACGTGATGTGGCAGCCTTGCCAAGGGTGCGCGAGTTGGAGACGAATCGTCGTGAGACAACGCTCAGCATTTTGGAGGGCTTATAAATTTCTGAAAATAAAAAGCTTAGTTTAATTAAAAAATTAAGTAGAAAACGAAAAAAAAATTAGAACAAAAGAACTAAAGAACCTAAAGGAACAAAGTGAAACCGAAAACCGTTTAGAGGGAAATCGGTTCTGAGACGCACATTGAGGGCGGGTGAAATCTTATATCCATGAGGGCAGAACCTTTCTCCTCAAATCACCCTTGTCAATCATGTGGAAATGGGCAAAAAGGAAGACAAAAAGCCGAAACTCTGAGTGTCACGTGGCTTTTCTCAAACAACATGGCGCGTTCTTTTCAATGACGTTTCAAGATAAAGCAAAGAATTCATAGACAAAAAATCACAAGCACAAAATATTGGCGGTGGGAAATGTGATTTGTCTCAAAAATAGAAAAACGAGAGATAAGATTTGTTTGTGGGAAAAAGAAAAGTAAAGAATAAGGGGCTACTGCTTGAGAGGAAATGACGTAAATAGACCAAAAGCAATGAAAGACAATGAGTGCGGGGCAAGTTTTTGATGAAAAGAGCGAAGTGTTCGATAAAAGCGCAAGGCTTGAAAATTTTGAAACTTTTGAAAAAGCAAAGAGAAGATCGGCAAACATTCGTTTTTCAAAAAAATCTGAACAACACTTTTCAATAAAAATCATCGTTCTGAAATTTAATTAAAAATTTGTACACCTGTTTGCGTTGAAACCTTTCAACACAAGTCAAAATTTCGATGAATAGCGAAATATGATTGCAAAACGGTGGTAAACAGCGCTCAATTCTCTCCTTTAAAGATTAAAAATGGAAACCATTGCAGAAAAGAATGTGATATTTATAGAACGACCGGTTTCAGCCGGAGAGAAGATTTTTTCTCACAAGTTGTTTTCATGGGATCTCTCAGATAATTTGTTAGGGTCATTATCTCAAGAAAAAGTTCGATCATTTTGTGAGAAAAGAGAGCGAAATTGCATGTCAAGAGGAGTTTTTCAAAGCCAACGAAGAATTTAAAGCAAACAAGGGTCAAAACACAAATTGCCTCGCGTAGTATCCGTTACGAGTTTGTAATAAAATCTAATCTTTTTTAGATTGGCTGTCAAGATTTTGACTTAAGTTACAATTAAATTAATCCGCGAACTGTTTCTAAAGCGTGCTACTTCAATTGGTTGTTTTCATTTTATTTATCTGATAAATCTTTCAACGGAAGCTTTTATGTCTAAAAGTTACAACTCATCTTATTTTTAGTTCAAAAGCTGCTCAAACACTGGTCAACAATTTCCGGGACACCTCACTGATATACGAAAAAAACAAGAGGAATGGCGTGATTACGAAAGAGATTTTTGAGAAAAGGGAGAATAGCTGGGGGATCGAGGCGCGGGAATGAAAAGGGGGACTGAGGGGTGGTGTGTGTTGTGGAATGGAGGGGCGAGGGGAATGTTGTGGCTAATGGAAATGGGGAGAGTGGTGGGGAGAGGGTGAGAGACGCGAGGGGAAGAGGGTAGCATAGGAATAGGCGGAGGTTGAGAGGAGAAGAAAGGGGTAAAGCTGAAAGGATTGGGGTTGAAGAAAGAAAGAAAAAGTCTGGCGGGAATTAGGAGTTGGAAGATGTTGAGGAGATGAGAAAGGGGAACGTTGGAAGGATTGAAGGTAGAGAAAGGCATTTCTGAAAAGAAGTCAGGAGTCAAAGAAAGTTGAGAGTTAAGAAATATAAAGGAGAAGAGAAAGATGAAGTTGAAAAGAATTACAAGCTGAGAAATTCAATTTTGCGAAAATATTGTTCAAAGAGAGGACGCTGAGAAAATTGTTGACAAGTCTAAAGATTCTGCGAAAAAGCTAAGAGACAGCTATAGAAAAGCTAAAAAGCAGAAAAAACAGAAGCTAGAGATGGAAAGAGATAGAGATAGTGTAAAGGATGACGATGAGTGAACGGGGGAAAGAGGGACCGCCGCGTGGGGGTGAAAAGGAATGAGATGTGCCTGGATTGCTCACCCTGACGCAATGCCCACATCCCTTTCCCCTTTTGCCACGAGGCGACAAAAAACGCGTCTTGCCCAGTTTACAGCTGCGTACTGCACATTTGCCCAAGGCTATCATTATGATGATGCGCTGGGAGGAATGGGCAAATTTCTTGGACAGGACAAATCACACCCTCAAACTATAAACTGCATAGACTTGAGAGTGGGTAATAGTTTTCGTAAAGATATATAAATTTTGATATTACAAGCAAAGCCTAGTCTAAATAAAGATAAAGTTATAATTCACAAAAACCTCTAATAGAGTTACCTATTTCCATTTCCCCATATTGCTACTAGCCCAAGAATGGGTAACTGAACCAGATAGCCCCAAAAAGCAAACTGATTCAATTGGTCATTTGCAAATTGCAATTCTGCAAAAAACTGATAAAATCAAAAATTATTGCAGGCTCAGTTTTCAAAAAGCAGCGCTATTTATCAAAATGACCGCGAGAGTGATGCAAGTTTAGGGGAAATTTCGCGTTTCTTTTTGATGAAAGCGAAAAGAAATAATACTCATCTTTTTCAGGAAAATCACTAACTATAACTATTGTCTATAAAACTTGTACCATTTTATTCAAAAGAATAGCTTTTGTTAGCAAAACAGAGCAAAACAGAGCAAAACATATCTGATCATTGCAAAACTATTGAATGACTTGTTTTCGAAAGTCTTTTCCAGACCCCATTTGCACTTTTTGCTCAAAAAACACCGAAAAAAATTAAGAAACAGTTCTTGTAAACAAAAGTCAAAAATTTAGGCAAAGATCGTTTACATTTCGGACAAAAAGATTAATGGGATATTCAGTGAATGTTGAGTGAATATTGAGTGCTCAAGTCTCATATCTGATCATTGATATCGATAAAGATAAAGGAATGCAATGCAAGATCATAGCTTGAAAAGTCAAGCGATTGGGAAAAGGGAAAACGATTAGATAAAATGCGATCCGTTATAAAATGTTTGATGTAACTTTTTTTGGAAACATTCAATGAAGATTCTACAACGAAAGCCTATTCTTGATGTAGAGAATTTGTGTCAAAAGTACAGTCAAATTTAGGGCAAAAATTGATCCCAAAAATTTGAGCATAATGAAGTACCAAAATATTATTTCTTTTCAACGTATGCCGAACTACAACGAATGTTTCACCAAAGATTGACTCTTCCAACATTTCGACTCAATTTCAGGTCCTTGCAAGAACTCCTCGCCAATCTTACTGTACTCAAGTTCCTCTCGATTTCCTATCGAGAGCGGTTCGGCTGTAGTCGGAGATTTGGAAAGAAACTTCTCCTCAAGTGGCTTATCTTTAGAAAAAAGAGTCAAAGAAAACGACTGTCCATCACTTAGCCTCTCCCTTCAACGATTTCTTGTCACTCGGGTCAACAGCTTTCTCTTTTTTTCAACGAAAAGTTCTGCTCCTCGAAAAGTCGCCAACCCCCCTCGAACAGTGTAAATGAAAACTCAAAACTGCGGACCCCTCGTGGGGTCTCTCAAAAACCTCAAAAACCATTATGAGTTTAATTTTTTTTGGAAGAATTTAAGGGTTTGAATAAACGATGTAACAACTTGAGTTAAAAAAAGATTTCAATCCGTATCAAAATAAAACAAAGCTCAAAACAAAATAAAGCTCAAAACAAAACAAAGCTCAAAACAAAGCTCAAAACAAAATAAAGCTCAAAACAAAACTTCCTGATTCTTTTAGCCAAAAGTAGAGCTTGGCTTGAAGAAATTATACAGTTCTAGTATTCTGTTCCACACAGTAAACCGAAAGAAAGTGTGAAAGGTGCCAAAGATATTCTGGAAAGGTTTTATCATTATACTGTACTAAATCAAGATTAGAGCAAGTATGACAATGTTCTATTTCTGTTCTAGGCTGGGCAAAATGGAAACTCTTTTGCAAGTGCATTGCGTTCTACTTTCCTTCTCATAACAAGGATTCTTGTTACAAATCCTTGTAACAAGAACGTCTTTACAAATTACAACCTAAAAGCCGTTCTGTTAGAGCTTTCTTTGCTTTGATTTTATTGTTTTCATCTGATACTCGATCTTTTCATCTTCAATCTCGTGACTTTTAATCATCACTTTTCGAAGCCTCATTTTCCCTTCGCATTTTCCGTCATTTTCCGTCAACTCGTCGGTTCAAGTCTTTTTTTACTGACCAGGTGCCCCTGATCAAATAACTTTTTGAAAGGCTCTCAAAAAGATGAAATTCGGGAAAGAGGAACGTGGGAAAGATCAAATGAAAAGCAACTTTGTGGAAAAGATGAGAAGTTGAGGAAAAAGTTTGACGTTTTTGGTCACAGATCAAGCGTTGATTTGTTCGATTTGAACACGAAAGCTTTGAGTTCAAAGGGATTTCGATAAATAGTTATTATTGGAATTGATAAGAACTAATATTTGGGAAACTTTGAACTTGATAATAAGGATCCTTAAATAGAAAAAATAGAATCAAAAACCTGAAGATCAAAGATATGACTCGAAAATTGATAAGGAGGAATGACTCAAAGGATCAAGCGGTTTGGTCTACAGAACAAAAACCAGTCAGTAAATGGTGGAACAGTTTTGGTCTAATGGAAAACAATCAAACAATCGAGTTAACAATGAATAAAGCTAAAAACAATAAAGCTAACAACAATAAAGCTAACAATGTATTATAAGAAAAGCTAATTCGGGAATTTTCAAAGACTAGATATTTCGTAATCTAAACAAGCAAAGGCTAGATTTGGGTTGATTCGTGGATTCGTGGAAATCTGGCAACTCTGCAAAATATATTCAATTTCTTTTCTGTCTAAATACGATTATCCTTGTCTTAATTCTGATTACCTTTAGCCTTAATTGATGGTTTTAAAGTGGTCTTAGGTGGTCTAAACGTGTCAAAGATTTCGTTTAGATTTGTGACGACTTCTATTGCAGTTTTTTTAATGAACGAAGCGTCAAAATTTTTTTCAAATGATCCCAAAATAAAATTAAGCGTAACCAAATACCAAAAAGAACCTAA